CGAGATATAATATTCCTTCTCCTCCTACATCTAACCATAGCTTAAGCATTTCCATCCACTCCCTTGCCAATCCCCTGCTATTCCAAGCCCGTACGCGGCTCTTCAGCCTCGCATAGCAAGAGAATGGCGCCCTCGCCACCAGACTTCCCACCTCCAAACCCCCAAGAACACCTCGTAACATTCTCCCCCACAGACCCCAAAAATCCCCGAAATTTCCCCCTCTGGCGAAAATGGTCCATCATAGCCTCCATAACTTTGATAGACCTTACAGTATCCTTTGGAGCATCAGGCTACTCCCCCGCAACCGAAAATCTCATCTCCCACTTCGGCGTGAGCGCTGAAGTGGGGACTTTGGGACTATCTCTCTATGTACTAGGTCTAGCTCTCGGTCCCATGTCTCTGGGTCCTTTGAGCGAATACTATGGTCGCACACCTTTATACATCTTACCTTATGGAACATTCCTGTTATTTCTAATTGGAACGGCTTTGGTGCAGAATATAGCCGGATTTCTAATTCTGCGATTCTTCTCTGGAATGTTCGCCAGTGTCACGATAGCGAATTTCGGAGGCACGATTGCGGATCTCTGGCCGCGAGAGAGTGTTGGACCGGCCATGTATATTTTCCTGTGGGCTGCGGTGTGTGGTTCTCCCATGGGGTTTTTTCTCATGTCTTTTGTGGCGGAACATCATGGCTGGAGGACTGTGTTTTGGGCTTTGGTGGGGATCTGTGGGGGTTCTTGGGTCATTATGGTGGTGGTGTTGGTGCCGTTTGCGAATGAGACGCGGCATTCTGTGTTGTTGAGACGGCAGGCTGGGGAGTTGAATAGGAGGAATGATGGGAATAGGTATGTCGTTCCTGAGGAGATGAGAGCGAAGACTGTGAGGCAGTTGTTTGGGGTTACGCTCTCGAGACCGTTTCGATTCTTGTCTACGGAGTTGATTGTGATTTTTTGTGCGCTTTATAATGGGTTCTTGTATGGTTTGTCTTTTCTGTTTAATGGGGCTTTTTCGCTTGTGTATGGCGAGAAGGGGTATGGGTTTGATACACGAGGGGTTGGACTTACGTTTCTTGGGTTGGTTGTTGGGATTTCTTTGGGGCCGTTCATCAGTATCTTGCAAGAGAGGCATTATCAGAAAGAGATAAGGATCGATGGTGCTGAGCAGGAAGAGGATGGGAGGCCGTTGAAAGTCAAGTACAAGCCAGAGGCAAGAGTCCAGCAGGGGAAGATTGCCGGTGTCACACTTCCGATCAGCTTGTTCTGGTTTGCTTGGACATCGCCGCCGCAGTATGATATCCACTGGTGAGTATCGCAAGCCTGGAATTGGTGTATCTTTTGGCTGACTGTAAGCAGGATCGTCCCAGTCATGGCGACTGCGCTATTCGGGTGGTCGTTCTACACGCTCATCCTGACCACCTATCTATATGCTGTACGTCCCTCCAATACCCAATGTGTCTGGCGCCAGACGCCTGAGCTTCTACCATCAAGCACTAATCTCCATCTCCCTCAATAGGAAGAAAGCTACCTCCACTTCGCAGCGAGTGCATTGGCAGGCATCGGTCTGATTCGTAACCTCTTCGGCTGCGTCTTCCCTCTCTTTGGCAAACAGATGTAAGATCTTCATGCCTTCCTCCACACGAACTCAACACTGATTTTCATCTTCCCAGGTTCACTGGCTTGGGATATAATTGGGCGGGAACAATACTGGCCTGCGTGGCTGTCCTCTTAATGCCCATTCCCTTTATTTTAGAGAAATATGGGCCACAGCTTCGGGCGAGAAGTCCCTACGCAAGGCAACATATGGATGATGTGGATTGAAGGCGAAGGTTGTAGATTCTTCCGCCATAAAATGTATCTTGTCTATGAAACACACCTGACCTCTCACCGCTGGTCTGTGACTCCATTCTCGTCTGATGCCGTGGTCTTCGATGGAGCCGAAAAGACCTTGTGTAGATGACGATTATCTCGGAAACCGCGCTTCGGCGGAAAGCACGTAGCGGTGTTGGAGGTCTTTCGAGGGGCCATGGTCTGACTTCCGAGGCAGTTCTGATTGTAAATCGTGTTAGAAGCGGTAGAGCACTRAGAGGATGTGCGTTAGAACACTGCTTCTCCAGACTACTGCGTATCTGAAAGCATACCGCAGCACTGCAAGTACGCTGTGCGCGTGGAAAGGAGGTGCGGGACGATGTGCTGCATACCGTGGAGAAGTAAGGTAGGCGGCAGTCTTGCGCGCTTCCTCAATAAGAGATGTGCGGCATGATCTTTTGCTACAAGATCTTCTCTCCCTGCCATGCCTGTAGCCATCGCTGATGTCTTCTCACGCCTGCGCGGCCTCTGCTTTCCTCAAGATACCTTGCGGCCACTTTCCCAACCCCTGGTGGCCTTCCTTCGCATGTAGACGCTCTCGCCAAATCTCCTCCGTCCGCTCCGGCGTGCCTCCGATGTCAAAATCTATGCCTTTGCCCCTGACGCAAGGCAGTAGGGTATGCTGCCAACGGTAGAGTCTTGCCTTCAGTGCTGCCCAGCTGTTGTTGTGGCGAGGGCCTGCACCATCGTCTTGCCGGCGGCTTACACTCATGGTGTGCTTGCGCTGCGCTTTGGCTCCTGTGCTGTGGTGGTGCGTGTGATTGATGCGGCGCTGCTGTCGTCCTTCGTGCCGTTGCCAGTGCTGCTGCTGCTGAGCCTCCCGCTGCTTGAACAATGACCCCCGTCCCCTCTGCACCGAGCCCGTAACGCAGCGCTGCTGACTGTCCTTGGCAGGATGTAGCACGCTTAAGACCTTGATCCCACTAGCGCCGCACTCAGGGCCCTCGTGTATAAAAGAATGGCTTTCTTCCAGCTCCTTCCCCATCAAACATCCACACAACACCATTCCATCCATCACCATCCCTCCCTCCATCCATCCATCCATCCCTCATCGGCCTCCTCCCTTGGTAAGCATCTCACTCCTTCCCATCCCTTCCTGAGAATGATGATACCACCACGTTCACTGAGTGCAGGCGCACAATGATTTGAACCGTTCGAGTTGAACGTAACAACACCGTCACATCGCACACCCCCCTTGAAGGTCAACCTGCTAATCCAACCCAAGCTGATGCCTCACTGCTGTTTGCCTGTAACTCTGAATCTCTCCTCCATGCTGCTCACACCTCATCCGCAAGCTTGCTGAACATTGCTGACACCTTTTCCTCCACCAGATTCGACACGATCCGGGCGCCACTGATCGTGACAGACAGTAGCGTTTCGTGAGTACATCCCCCTCCCTCCTCTTCCTTCCCTGCCTACGGCGATGATGAGACCACAAATGCTCATCAAATTGAGCGAACCCGCAAAGGCGCGTCGCGCCAGTGGTCCGCCATGATGATGGCTTCGGCCCCTGCACAAGATGAGCATTTGACCCTCTGAGCCAGAACACACCGCACAGCCTGTCGTCCCTGATGACCAAAACGAGCAAAGATACTTCATTTTGAGCGAACCTTCGGTCCGCCATGATCAACAACACCGCTCTGAGACACAATACACGCTGCACCGTCTGTTTTATGATTGCCGGCACAAAACATGATCGCTGACAATCCACTTTTTTACCAGATCAACCACGGGCCATGGGCCAGCTGCATGCAGCATCCTTTTCATCATCATCGTCGCCTTGTGCGATGACTTGGAGAAGAGTTTCGACCGCATCACAGTCTGACCCCGCCACAGCTTGACGGCAGAGATCTCATCTTCCCTCTTCTGTCCGAGGGGTGCCTCTGCTTTGTCCGAGGGCTCAGAGAAGATGACAACTCATGTCCGTTCTACGTAGTTTGTCATGGTGCGATGTTTGTTGGGTGTGCACCATGTTGGATTTCTGTAAAGAAGACACTGCTGGGCGGGACTGGAAAGGCTATGATGTGCCTGCGGCAACAAAAGCATGGTCGAGCTCGCAGCATGATGAACATGATGGCCTTTGACGGGTGCGTAAAGCTGTAGTCGCCTTTCTTCTGCTTGAAGTCGCTCTTACGTTCTTCTACTCGAAGCTACCCGCGTGGATCTTGTCGAGAGCGTGCTCTCTGCAAAAGGTAACCGGTAACCCATAGAGCACGATTGGGCGTCCACAGCGGCCATAATGCCTTCGTTCTCATGTGGGAAGCTCATAGTCGTCGTCCACCTGCTTGAGATCGTCCGACGCTCTCTCCTACATGTAGCTGCCTCGCAGTATGCTGCTGTTCCGGTCGAAAGCCTGCTCTCTACACAAGGCAACGGAGAGCTCTTAGAAGGCAATACAGAACAGTTGGGGATTTACGGCGGCCGCAGCTGCCTCATCCTTTTGGACCTTTTCTGGGGTGCTCAAAATCGTCGTCCGCATGCTCGAAGTCGTTTGACGCTTTCCTAGATCAATCTGCATCTAAGTATGCTGCTCGTACTGTGGAGAGCTTGCTCTCTGCACAAGATAACGGAGAGCTCTTAGGAGGCAATGTAGAACGATTAAGAGTTCACTGCGGCGGTAGCGTTTTCATCCATATTGGGATGCTCACAGTCATCATCTGCATGTTCGGAGTCTGACGCTTTCCTAAATCAAGCTGCATTTGAGAATGCTGCTCTTGAAGTAGAGAGCTTGCTCGCTGTACAAGGTAACAGAGAGCTCTAGGAAGGTCATGTAGAACAATTGGGCGCTCACGGCAGTCGCAGCGCCCTCGTCCCTGATTGGGATGCCCAAAGTTCTTTGACGCTTTCCTGGATCAAGCTGCATCTGAGTATGCTGCTTTTACTATAGAGAGCTTGCTCTCTGCACAAGATATCGGAGAGCTCTCAGCAGGCAATAAGGTATAGAACGATTGGGCGTTTACAGCAATCGTAGCGTCCTCATCCTCGTGTAGAATTCTCATAGGTAGTCATCCAGGATATCGTACGGAAGCTGTTTGATGCTGCGGAGCTTCCTAGACTCCTTGAATCGCAATGGTTCGATTTACGAGCCCTGTATGCGCATTTCCAGCCCCAGCAGCGTCCCATGGGCGCTGTGGTTACTCCAAATCATGGGCAAGGTGATGTTGCCCATCTCAAAGGTTACCTCGTCTTCAGTGAGCATTTTTATCACCTGGCGACGCCGTTTACGAGCTGCMGGGCACGATAAAGCTAAGGTAGTTTGAAGCATACTCCCACCAGGCGGGACAGTGCCTCGTTTTACGGCAATGACAGCCCCTAATGCGCATTTCCAGCCTCAGCAGCCTCTCATGGACGCTGCGGTGACTCTATCGCATCGTGAAGATGATGATGGCCATGCTGAAGGTCGTCTGACTTTCCGTGACCAGCCGTATTGCTCGATTTCGTCACAGGGACGGCGTTCACGAGCTGGAGGAGACGGTGAAGCTAGTCTGAAGCATACCACAACCAGGCAATGCCTCGTTATGCGGCAGTGACAACCCCTTATGCACATCTCCAGCCTCAACAGCCTCTCACGGACGCTATGGTGACACCAGCGAGTCGCGGAAGTGACGAGGGACATCCTGAAGGTCACCTCACCTTCCGTGACCAGCCGCATCACTCGATATCGTCACATGGACGGCGTTCACGAGCTGGAGGGGACGGTGAAGCTAGTTGGAAGCACACATGCGTCCTGATCGCGGCCCAGGCTCGACCATGGCTCGGCGGAGAAACGGAATAACTCGATGGGGAGACCTCCATGGATCTTTTCCTTCCAGGAACATGACTATTGGCATGAAAACATCTTCCGAGAACTCTCATATTGYCTTCTGCACCACAGGAAGGGCACACAAACCGCCGCAAAGCCAGCAATCACGGCGCCCGCGCCCGAACGACTCCTGACGCCACCGCGGCGCCGAGACGAGACTTCCGCACGAATCCTTCCGCATACCCCGAAACACCATCTCCACGAGCCAGATATTGGGCAATGCGACCGCAGAGGGCAATATACGCTCCTCATGATAAGGTGGAACAGAAGGATACGGAGAACCAGCACAGTATAGCCATGGCGCTATTGCTGGGAGCTCAGGAAGGACGAGAATGATACATTCGTGCGGAAAGCCAAAGCCGACACCTCCAGCGCAGCGCAAGGCTTTGAAAAAGGGCAATACCACAGGGCAATACATCCAGTATGCCAGTGGCTTATATATCCAGTCCAGCAATACCTCCAGATCCATCCAGTGGAACAGATTCCGGGCTCCTGGGCGCTCCATCCAAGGATCCAGCACAACGACCTTCCAAGCAGGACACAAGCCACTACATTCCTGGAGGATCTAGAGCGAGCGTTACGCATTGGATACATGGTCTGGAACCCACAAAGCAGTGCACGCCTGCTCACAGAATGGCAGAACCTGGAATGATTCTGATCGAGCAAGCATCAATTTCATGCTGCTATGTCCCACAGGCCTCAACTCCGGCCTTACGCTCGCCAATATCCTGATCGGCGGCGTGCTCGATCCTTGAGTGGACTCTCTACTGGCCTGGATATGGTCCGTACCCAAGGCTTGTCCATGGTACTTGTTGACCTCTCTTGGCATCGGCTCTCCAACAGATGTTCTTTTGGCGCTTCCAGGGTTTCCTGGTACCATGGTACCGCTCCCGCTCACCAAATCCAAACAGCCATATGATTGCTCCGGGTTGAGTCTCTGACATCTTGGCTGCTATCTGGTTTGTAGGAGACCAGCTCATGCTGGCTTCCTTCTTCTCACTAAAAGATGCCCAGCTCAGCGACTGTCCACATTCCAGAAAAGTCACCGAAATGGCTGCGGAATGCTGATCCGGAATCAAGCTTTCGCAATCTTTGGGCGTTGGGTTGGAAAGCTTCTCATCACCTCCCGCGGCTACTTTTGTAGCTTTCTGCTGCTCCTTTCGTGGACTGATATAGCCTTGCATCGCAAACGGCCAGTTCCGTCCCATACCCGGCCTTTGTTGGCCGCACTGTACTTTCCTGCTTTCCGGCCATCTCAGCAGCAAAGGAGGTATGTGCTTCGTCCAACGACCGTCTGGTTGTGAAGCCGTATCCAATTCGTATGCCAGGAAAGCGAAGGAGGCGCTCTGGAATGGGCTGATGCAGTACCTCCTGTTGCGGCCGGCGGGGCGGATCATGTCGGCGGGTCAATCTCTGGATATTGTAGCAATGGTCTTGCTTTCCCGGAGCGCACATCGATAGCGAACGGCAGACATACCATCTCCTCAAGTTCTCGATCCTATCGCGAGAGGAAGCATTCATCGCTTTTTGGCTGGAGATGTCAGGGAATGCTGTGATGCTGTAGCCGGACCAAACTCTCGCAATCCTCCATTGTCCGACTATGGGAAGCGCTGTGGTCGTAGGCTGGCTTTGTGTTCCCATGCTATATGCTGGCGCCGCGCCATCTTGTTTCTCATTCAAACAAGAGGAGCTGTCGTGGCGTCCTGATAGCTCTGCTGGTCTGGCCTATTCTCTCTTGTGTGCCTGTATGGTTCTTCGGCGCCGTCCTGCTCCTCCTGCCAGCAAAGAGACTCGGCTCGGTCGACTGGCAATATTCGGGCTTTGCAGCGCTACCTCTCCTATGCTGTTGCGATCCTTTCGTATCGTCGCGCAAGTACCGAGATGCTCGAGAGCGCATTCTTCGCCGTAGCGGAGGGTAGGAGGTGCTGGGGAGGTGTGCGGATCAAGGCCGAAGGACCAGCTCTGCCCGGACGAACAACGCCACAAGGACACTGCTGATGCGCGGTCTTTTGGATATCTTCTTCATGATAGCAGCTCATTCAATGCTGTAGTCTCTGAACACAAGGAGCCCCTGGAAAACAGGATGAAGAAGTATGTGGGTGGTGTGGGTGGTGGAAGTCTTCTCCGCGGCTCACAGCCACGCTTCCTGGACCTCCCGCGGCTCGCAACTATCGCCAGCAAGGCGACACTGGACCCTCAAACCTCACTGAGGGTACATAAGATGCGGCAAATCTGCTGTCTCCAACTTCAATGGTCTAGGTGTACTCCACCTCAGACCAAAAACACAAGATCATTCCATTCGAATGATCCATTGAAGGTGAGTCCATTCCTTCATATGTCGTCAATTCTCGAGTGTTGTGGGTGGCGGTAGCGGCTGTAGAGAGCCTTCTTTTTTTGTCGAGTTCAATGAGTCCGAGCCAGTTCAAGTCCACTCGGCTCGAACTGGCTCGAACACGTTTTACTTTTTGCAAATCTACCGCCACCATCAACAGAGAGGGTGCAGCATGCGAGGTTGGACTTTTGCCCTTGGTCGTTTCCGGAGATGGGCTGGCTGGAAATGTACTCCCTGCACGCACATTGCCTACTCGCACGATGGGCATAGACATGTATCGTTCTACCCGAGCTTCCTCCTTCAGTCATGGTGGAGCAGTGGGGTGAACAAGAATGCGGCAAGCTCCACTCAGTGCACGATGAAGGCATGGTCGCGCACTCTTGTCATGCACCCTTCGGAACTGCTGTACTGGAAAAGTGTAGTGCACGTGTGCTTTGCAGCAGCAGGATCGTCTTACTGTTTCGCTACTGTTCCGCTCCTGAATGCACTGGGACGAATCGCGTCAGGTGTTGGCTCTGACGCTGGCTACAGGCGTGCTATCCAAGAATGCCACCATCCCATCTCCATGTCTGCTGCTATGGAGAGCGGCTTCAGGCATCTCTGCGCATATCTTCACCTTGAGATTCGTGGCTGAGCACGCGAGACGAGTGTGAGCTGTGGCCTCGAAGTCTCGTGGTGTGGGGGATGTCGAACGTCGGCCAACTCACGACCAGCTCAGACTTTGAAGCTGAGTCTCCAAGTCAAGACTGTTAAGGGGGGTACTTCGGCAAGCCCGGCGGGTACCTATAAAAGGATGCGAGTATTCCCAGACTTCATCCATTGAGAGAGGCTCTGCCTAATGTCAAGCAATGCTTGAATCAATACGGTAAGTCGTCCCGGTGCGTGCTGTGTGGTGTTGGTGTGGTTGGGAGAGGGGATAGAGCTTCGGCTCCGCCTACGGGCTTCTTTTTTTGTCCTGCGTTCGAGCCTCCCTCTGGATATTCTTTTGGCACCAACAGGACCATAGGATATTGCACTGAGAGCTCCGTACGTTTTGGACAACATACGAGATCGAACTCGAGTCTTTTTTGGCCGCAGGATGGTCGAGGGAGGTCAAGAAACAGGTGTGGCCGTCCATGCGTTTCCTTCGCTATACAGTTACAACCGCAATCAATACCCGGCAATGATTTTGACCATCTCAAAATCACCGGCTCATCAAGGCCTACAATCCTATCCAACCAGCTTGTAAGCAAATGGTTTGGTGGTATTGGAATTCCTTTTTGTAGCTTTTGAAGTGTTGGCTTTGAGGAAGCGAGCTTGCGACTACGGCTGCAGGTGCGGCGTTGCTGGATGTCCGCCGGAAGGCATCGACTACGCACCACGAACGACTCCACGACGAGTACAGACCCCCTAGAACGTCCGCGGATCTGCCTTAAGGTAATGAGACAGTGGACAGGCTATGGGGCAGAGGCGGCGGCGACATTGAGCATCCGCCGCACCTGCACCACCAGCGGCGACGACAGCGACGGCGGAGACCATGTCTCCAGTGACAGACCAACAAAGGCGATCCATTGCCTCGCAGGCTATCGCGAGCCTCAGCTTCCTCCCCTTGATTCGACGCTCGCGGCACGGCGCATACAACGGTAAGGGGCGTTACAATAGGCAGGCTGAGGCGCGACTCAATAGCAGCAGTTCCCTAACAAGCACATGCCCCCTGCTACTACCGCCAGTCCGCTCTAGGGGAAGCAGATGTGGCATTGGGCCAGTGAGGGRGCAGGCGCCGCTGCGACAATGGACAGCCAACACCTCCGCCAGCATCTCCGCCAGTACCAGCGAGGACACCTCCTTCAGCCGCCGCTCGCCTGCGCCGCTTCTCCCCTACTACGATGATTCGCGGTCCGGTAGAAGACTCGGCTCCATTCTCTGTGATGCGACACCTACGGCTTTGCGGCGCCAGGGAGCATACAACGGCAAAGGGCACTCGGTGAGTACAGCGCGACAGCAGCATTTGGGCCGATAATAGCTTTACAGGCGGGACAATGGGCATATCATAGTTGCTCGACACTCACGTGTGCCTCACAGATACACAGCATGCCTCTACTTCGCCGATGGAAAGGCGCGAAGGATTGCGCAGGAAACTCTTCGCGGCGGCCAGGTCCCAGACAGGTCATAGAGCTAGTATGTGACAGGAACATTGGAGACAATGCGCGCTGATTGGACTTGACCGTGAGCTCTAGGACAAAGAGACAGCTACCTCTCAGCAGCACCGATGCTACCGCGAAGGGTTACTCTCCGGCCGCAGATCTGCGTCCTCGTTCGGTGCCTCCCTCGATCGATCAATTCTTGCGGCCAAGCCTTATTCATTATCCAGTGCTCCTAATTACAACCATACGCGGCCTCTGTATCACGGGCAGCACCACCGAATTGGCCTCCAGCCGAAAGACGAGCGCTGTAGAGGACCGAGAGGAAGATCAATAGCGGGCAGCTGCATGCAGTAGGATCCCGCCGTGCGGAGCTGGAGGAGCTGGCGGAGGCATTGACTATGACACGGTGGGCGAGGGATTGAGCTCCCCGGGCACAGACATGTCCCAACCAAAGCAACAACTCCAGAGCTTGTAGAACGCAGCATGTTCGGTGATAAGAGGTTATCTTTCGTGATTATGCTGGGTTGAAACAGACGCAGGGTACTGACAACAGGTCTGGTATATCGGAACGGTGGAAGTGTTGGTCGGGATGTTTCGGACCATATCAGTCGAGCGACTGCTGGGGTCGGTTCGGATGTTTCGGACCATGTCAGTCGAGCGACGGCTGGGAGTATGAGCTCGTCATGATGGAGATATGCTCGAGTTTCGCCCCGGAAGACATGCCTTGCTCGCGAGGGCGTGTGGAAAGGAGCGCTTGCCTTCTCAAGGGAGATCCACAGACAATGCGACTGCGACCCGAATGAGCTAACCTAGGAGGCGACTACCTGTTGCAATTCGGTCCTGGATGCACGGAATCCAGCCCGATGACCAGAAGATCTTATTGATCCTCAACCGGGTCGTGGCTTGCTTCTTCAATGGACATACTTCGACTGATGATGGATATGCCGGATAGCTGCTGAGCAGTATTCCCTGACTTGCGGTATCTCTGGGCTCCGCAATGCTGAGCTGGTTTTGACCTTTCAAATCCAAAACTCACGTCCTCAACCGAAGTCTGAACCCAAAAGTCGGGAGATAGGAGCACTGGTATGCTCTTGGCTGGGACTAATTGATGTCTATCCAGGAGTACATATGTGGATATCGTGGGCCCTGCGCAAGCTGGACGAGGCCGCACCGCGAAGTTTACGCCGATGGTGCCAGCAGGGAGTATTTAAATGAGGGATCATATCGATGCGGCCCCACGTCCGATATGTGAATCGGGCGTTTTCGCGGAGAAGCATGGTATAAACCAGCTGAGACAGTGGCCTCGTATCTCTGCGGATCGCGAGGTGAGGTGGAAGGATCAGCGCGAAAGTCTGATCATGATCCTAGTGGATCCACACCTCTCCTGTTCCGGGCCGCAGCCCAGGGGTCTATGCGACTAGTGGTGGGTATAGATAGGTCGCGACCGCTGGCTTACGGAGGTACGTACAACAGCTCACCTTTCAGCCTTGTGAGCCGGCTGCACCTCACCTCTACGACCATGATATGCAAGTCGCATTCGGATGGAACATGGCGTCCGCAGCTGATGGCTAGCATCGCTCAGCACCGGACGTTACACAATGCGAACAATCCGAGCCACACCCTTGCAACACGTGGCCAGTCGTTGGTAGCGAAGCAGCGCGGAGTACCACAGCCGGATACCGTAATTCGAAGTGATGTAGGAACAAGCAAGTACATGCATCAGCACGGAGTGTCGGATCGCAGAGTCTTCACAACGTCGCCACGGCCCACAGGGATCTTCAMAGTGCTTCTACTGGGTACAGCTTGGTTCTTGACGTACACTGGGTTGGGAACCCTTGCCCCCGTTGTAATGACGACGCTCATCATACCGCCGCCTTCCGCGGACTCCTGCTGACACACATATTATGAGCAAGAATAACCCGACAACGCCGCAGCCCCGGGGATCAACTCCTTGCTTGACTCCTGGGATGCATGGCACTGCTAAAGATTCACGTGGCAATAACTGTACGGAAAATCCCGGCTTCAAGTTCTTGGAATTCTCAACCTGGCATGGATCTTCATGAATTCCCGTGCCAAAACCGCCGGCCTTTCGTCGTTGACATACTGGAGACGTCGATGTATGGATTCGATCTCGGAATCGAAACGAATGCGAGTTACGCCAAGGGCTCAACCTGCTCCGCCGTCCAAAGTATGCGGAAGGGCCAGGCATGCCGCATGCGAGATGCCACGTGCCAAGTTTCACCGTATCCATTTGCGGGTCATGCCGTGATAAGGTGTATTGGCTGGAGGCACGACAAGAGCGGACACTTGGACTTTCATCCAACTCCAAAGTTTTGCAACGAACCCTATTGCAAAGAACGTAGAAGACGGTGCAAAACCCCATGTCTAGGGAGGACGCTTGCGAGGCTTAAACGTCGACGTACAAGATTATCCACGGATTACACTGACCGTAAGCTCGTGTTGTCTGCTGCTGCCAGCAAGGGTTATGTTCACAAATGAGTACTCCGAGGTCTCCATGCAGCGAATCCGTTGAACTTTGTACTAAATCCGTCTTCGAGACCCAGGCACAAGGCCTGATTTTTTGTATGAGCAAGATAGAGAGTATCCTTGCCTGACCCTGGTCGTTGAAGGAAGCAGACGGCTATCAATGTTGTATCACAGTATCAGAGGGTTACCAACCGGGACCTACGCGCCGTTCACTCCGGATCTACATAAGGATTGCATGATTCGATGTCACCTCAGTACTTGTTCCTTTGCTTGATATCTGACACTCGTTTACAACAATTGCTACTCATACGGAATCAGGGATCTTCGATCCGCATCACCAAAACACATTCGGACGATTGTTAGGAAGCGGCTTTAACAAACACTCAGCAATATCACTTGCGAGATGGCAGCACGAACACAACCACCTTGTCGGGAAGAATTGGAAACCAAGAACAACCTCAAAGCGACGTATATCACTGCTTTACCGCCCGTTGTTACAACAGATTCCCTCGCGACTTCGAGATTGCATCTTCCCAAAATCGATACCCCGTTGCAAGACGTGAAGCGCCCCGAGACATCAAGCAGCAGCAGCAGTTCTGACAAYGGCTTCGGCCTGATCTACGAGGCCCACATCGCAAAAACCGAAACATTGGACCTACTTGCCGACCAATACCCCTTACCAAAGATACAGGGCCCAGGATGGTACAATCGACTTCGTTATCACTACCTCTCCATGTATGTGCGGCTGCACCTCATCGTTCTTTTGGCCAATATCGGGACCCTCATTCCAATGGCCGTCGCTTCGCAACGAAAAGCACCCACATTCACCTACAAGGATGCATCCACAGCTTTTGCAGCGAATATGTTCGTTATTTTCCTTACCCGCAATGAACATTTTATCAACGGACTTTTCCGAATGTTCCGTGAGTCTCTTATCTCTGATCTGCAAGAATCTGGCAACTGACAGCACACAGGTTCAATACCACACAGCTCACCTCTATGGATGCGCCGTCATTCGGCCAAGGTGTATTGTCTGGGCGGCATCCATTCTGGCTGTGGTGTAGCAGGATTCTTTTGGTATTGGCTCTTCTCCTTCCTTTTGTTCATCCACCACGTTGGTGGTCAGACCTCGTGTGGATTGGCCATTCGATACTTGTCGATTGCGGTGTTCCTATTTCTTGTGGTGATCCTGCTGATGGCTCACCCTTGGATGCGTATCCATCATCACGATGCATGGGAATTGAGTCATCGATATCTTGGATGGACGATACTCATSCTCGTGTGGGCTCAGGTCATCCTGTTGAGCGTCGTCGGGGCATGGGCCGATAATCGAGGATTTGCAATCGCTCTGGTCGAGACTCCTGCATTCTGGCTCCAAATTGGTGTAACATGCTTGCTGGTGTACCCATGGATCCGCCTGAAGAGAGAGAAATTGGTCGTGGAGCAACTTTCCGACCACGCCATCAAGTTGAACCTCACGAATCGAACAGTACCTGTCGGCGCAGCAATCAGACTTGCTAAGAACCCTCTGGTCGAGAAACACTCATTTGCAGTCATCCCGAATCCAAATGGAAGCAAGGGATATTCCATCATCGTCTCACACGCAGGAGACTGGACAAGATCGCTGATAAGACCGGGCGATGACGGCCGTCCACAGAAGATCTGGGTCAGCGGAGTGCCCTACATTGGAGTTTACCACGTGTGTCTGATGGTGTGTACCAGCTTCGGCAGTCGTTTGGGATGTCTTTGAAGAATGCTGACAGTATCACAATAGTTCAAACCTCTTGTTCTCGTAGCCACCGGTTCTGGTATTGCACCTTGCTTGTCATTCCTCCAGATACACAAAGACTGGCCAGTACGAGTCATCTGGTCCGCAAGATTTCCCGAGGTCACCTACGGTAAAGCGATCATGGAGATGGTGCTTAGCGCAGACCCGAATGCAATAATTATCGACACGAAGAAGACTGGACGGCCTGATATGCCTGCCATCATCTACTCAGTCTATAAGGTCGGTGCCTCCAACGTCCTGAACCTCTTTGGGATATTTGCTAATTGAGGCAAACAGCAATTCGAAGCAGAAGCCGTTGTGTTCGTCAGCAACAAGCCTGTGACTGAAGAGGTCGTCTATGCGCTGGAAGCACGGAAAGTTCCCACCTATGGAGCCATCTTTGACTCTTGAGGCAGCGTTGAATATTTTTGCTTTCTACTTCTTGCTTTTGAGCGCCGAGATAGAATAATCTCGTATAGACATGGACTACTCTACGACTATTGGCTGGCAGGACCTGCCTCATGAATTGAACATCCATTTCAGAGACACCCAGAGATCACGCACTTGCCAAGGATGAGTATACTCGATCGCATGGCTGACGGTCCTCTAACTGCCATGGGTGGTGAACCTGTCTCCGGTCATACACTTCGCCCATACTATACCCGCAAGGAGCATCGGCGTGGTACTGAGCGCGGAGCCTTTTGGTCCATTGGTGTCAAGGACGACAACAAATGGGTCGCCGCAGGTCCGCTTGCCACAGAGACTCCGTCGTCTGAGAGCTCGTCGCTAACGACAGCCACGGCGCCGCCATTATATCGAGTCCAAAGCGGGTTCACCACACATAGATGCGGGAATCACGAAGTCTTGGTTCTACAGATCACATCTTCTGGTGATGAAGCTGTCTCCTTCTCCTCCCGCTACTTTGCTCGGATACCTCGCGCGCCGCAGAAGACTAAGAGACCGTACCTACCATGTTACTAGTTTGGAAGTCACACACGTCACACTCTAATTTCGGAGAAGCACCTGAGAAGGAGGCAGATGATGAAGCTGAGCTACAACTCTTTGGTACAATTCATACACTTCCCGTCCTCGAGTACCCTTCATTCACTTCCTCGAAAACTGCTCATTCCATTCACTTGCTCGATTTGGTCCGTGCAGCTGGCGGATCTCGTGGATCTCGACTTCCAATTTCTAACTAGCTTCTGACAAACAATCGGAACTTTTTCGTACTTTCTTCAATGCGAATTTTTTTTTCCCAACACCTATAACAAGTGATCGAAATCATCTTGCTGCATTCTACGCCTGATCCTCTCAAACAACCACACAGCATCTCCCTGTTGCATTGCAAACTCTCTGGCCAGGCGCGCGCGGTCACATCTCTGACTTCCACTCTACTCCAAGAGAGTTGTACCAATATCCGCACCACATCCGACTCGCTATCATGGACAGCGACAGTGGCGATGAACTGGCGGACGTGCCCGAGGAGCTCCCAAATCCATCCGATCTGATCCATGATTATCCGACACAGATTGCGATCGCAGACTTGCTCAATCCCACCATGATCAGAGTCAGCGTTTGGGATGAGGCAGAAGATCCAGCGGGAACCAAGCGAGAGACATTCAAGATCATGCGCGGCATCATATGCTCGAAGTCAGCCTACTTCGAGAAGACGTTTAACGGCAGTTTCAAGGAAGCACTGGAGGGCAAGGTGACTCTGACCGACGTCTCGCCATGGATCTTCAAGGTCTTTCTGACTTGGCTGTACACCGGGTTAGTGTACATTGACCCAGAGAATCACCGCGCGCCTGAAACCAGCAGAAAGCGCAAGTTGGACGATCACACGACAGCAGATGATAGCCGGTCTCGCAAGACGCCAAGAACACTTGATGAAACTGATCTCCAGGACGCCGATGCTCATGTTGAGGCGCCAGCGGATGCTTCTCTTGAAAACCACTATCCCACAGGGTATATTTATGACCTCCACACCTACGACCAAGAGATTTGCGACAAAAGCAAATCCATTCAGGATCCAACGACAGACGCTCTTGACGAGAAAGATCCCTCCAACCCAGTAACATGGCCGTGGCAATGGTTGTTCGACATCTATGTTTTCGCCGACCAGTATGACACCATACGTCTCCGTGAGCAGATCATGAACTTCATAMAGCTCCGCCTCGATCAGCGACGACCTCGGATGTACACCTACCCCAATCAAGTCGACACAGCGCGATGCGTTGATCGCCTTCCTACAACCTCCCCTCTACGCCGGCTACTTGTCGATCTCTGGGCCAAGAACATGCAGGTGCATCCCGACCGAAACCCAGGTATCATATCAAAGCCCATCGAAATGGACCAACTCCCTCAAAGCTTCCTTGTGGAGTGTTTCATGGGTGTGAAGCAGGAACTCGAGACTGCACGGTGTGACGCTGAAGTCTGCACCCATCCCGCTCACAATCATAGCGATGGTCGAGTCGTGCAAATCATGCGTCGTTGCAGATACCACGAGCATGAACGCACAGTCCAAGAAATGGAGCGGTGTAGTGAGCTTTGGTGGATTTTGCAGGGTAACTACTGGGCTACATCGATTGACGCAGGAGTAGTCGCGGATGAAGAGACTGCCACAGAAGTAGCCGAGGATGAAGAGACTGCCACTTGAATGTCTATAAATAAGGGACGAGTTTCCCGGCTCTGTCGAGAGAGGGGTGTTCCAACAGAATCGCGGTATCGGAGGCTTGCTCGATCGCGCGTCGAGGATGTTCGGTATCATCGTCCACGAAGCTGCTAAGACATCACCTATTAGCTCGTCAGAAGATGGAGCGTCATGGGCAAAGGAATGGTGCGACCTAGGTATCTCCACCCTGGTAGCTTTGAAAAATGTTCAAGAAAGCTATCTGCAGCATAGGAAGACTAAGTCTGGAAAGCAACCTCATGCTCGATATCCTGCACTCTTGGTACACGGTTCAAACTGAGTCCACAGAAAGCAGCAACCTTCTCAATCTTGAAATGTGTCAGTCAATAGCCGTCTAACGGCTTCATAGTTGAAGGGTACTCACGCATTGCTGCACCTTCTCAACGTCTTCTGAACTGACACCAATCCTTCTAGTCCCTCTCAAGTGCCATCCCGTTTCCCTCGGCAAATTCTGCATCATGATTCCAGAAAGTACGACGAGTTCAGTTTCCACAGGTCCCAGAATTGTATGATCGGAGAGATACAAGCCGTAGGTGATTTCCTCCGAGACCCAAAGAAAATCCTTGTGTGCAGCCATCATATTCTCATTCGATGCCATATTGTGCTGATAGATCTGATTGAGCCAATTCTTGCCACGGGCGATGTTCTCTGGACCTGATTGCCAACCTTGTCTGATGATTGTCAGATCAAATTGATTCTATATGTGGTGTTACTCACCTCGAGAAGCTGTAATCTTTATCTTCCTCCCTCTCAATCGCACCAATACTGAAGATGGCTTCCAGCGGTTTAGGAACACCGACTACACTAACAAGTTTCATCATCGCTTCCCTTAGTCTCCTGACTAGAGCTTTCCGGGCATCTGGTGTGTTGAATTCGGGTTTCGCTAAGAGATATTTGTAGAGATCTGCGGCATGTCCAGGATGGCCACCAGCTGAGATCGCAGCAATCTACAGAGTGTATGATAACTTAGCAGATGTTGTTCATCATCATAGATCTCTTTGCAATGCTTACGGCTAGGATGTACCACTTGTCGTTTCCGAGAGATGCTGAAGGAAAGTTTTGCTCTAGATCTTTGAAGAGCTCTATTGTCTCGGCCTCGGTTGGGTTCGTCTGGGCCATACTTGGACTGTTTCAGGATCTCGAAATGTACTGCAGCTTTAAGGAGTTCGGAGAAGTAGGTAGTCTCTATAGATATGTAGACTGTACATTATTGAGAGTGAGATGATGTCAGAGTCTGTGGGGCCGGGCACAAGACTAGGGTTAGACCCTATGGTTGCTGAGTCTGGCAAGGGGTACGATCGTGATTGTACAACAATGTCACTGTCGACTAGCAGAGCTACCAGGCCTTGAACGTGGAGAATAATGTTTTTCTTTCCAACAGATACTTTTCGAATCAATTGATACAGACTTTACTTTGCAGCAACAAGCCAACATAATCTCCACCCAAACCCCTACATCTTCGCCTCCCTAGCCTTCCGCTTCGCAGCTAACTCCTCCATCTTCGCACCCATTCTACGCYGTGGCTCACCCTCCACAAACCGCTCACTCAACGCCTGCCAACTCTCAAACAGCGCCAAGATTCTCGCGTCCCGCGTCTGCTTGTTCTGCAACCTCTTCATCTCCAYCATGGACTTGCCGTCTCTGTCCTTCAGCATACCGGCAAGGTACGACTGAACATCGGCATGGAAGTTCTTCACCGGGAAGATCTTGTTGACCATGCCAATCTTCTCCAGCTCCTCCACGGAAGCCTTTCCTCCAAACATGAGCCAATCGTTCGCACGATGCACGCCGATGTGCTGTGACCAGTTGGTCGCTGATCCGTTTTCGGGGATCAGGCCGAGCTGTGAGAATGTTACTTGTAGCCAGGCACCCTCTGCGGCGTAGAAGAGATCGCTGGAGCCTTGGAACCATGCAGCTCCAGCGCCAACGCCCGGGCCGTTTAGTGCGAGCACAACCACTTTCTTGTGATCGATGATGGACTTGACGAGTTCCATTCCCTCTGCGAATCTCTGCGCCCAGAAAATCTTCTTCGCACCGTCGTGCTTGAAACTCTTCGGCTGGTTTGCGACGCCTGTAAGTATTAGTCAGAGTCGATCACATTGGCATTTTCGAGGTTGCGCTCACTTGTGACATCTGCTCCTGATGCAAAGAATCGGCCCTCACCAGTGATAACAGTGAAGGTGGTGTCCGGGTGGTTGTCAAGATCGCGAAGAGCATTGATGGTGTCTGCGATCATGGTGCCACCAAATGAGTTGAGCTGCTTTGGTCGGTTGAACTTGATGGTTCCAACTCCATCTTGCACAGTGACCTGACGAGAGTTTCCAAGTTAGTTCGTGAACTTTAGTGAAGCATTGGTCGATAGACTTACTATGATATCGTCATACGTCTGCGCCATTTTGACGTCTTTTTGGGTGTCACTGCTTGGTTGATAGTAAAGTATGATAGGTTTGATGATTGTTCAAACGCAGTTGTGATATGACGGTGAGTTTTTCTCTGGTGCCAAAAGTCCGGTGATTATTCAGTACCGTGATGTTGACAATGGTGAAGTGTGTGTGTAGTAATCCAAAGGTGAAGCCGAACTGAACCTCGGTATGCATTCGCAGCCTCAATATGTGGCGGTGCAACAAGATTATTTCCCGTGATTGCCGAAGCCTTGTGATCAGTCTTGGCGGCGGTATGGTGACACTGTCTGTTCCAGCTTCACTTGTTTGCCTCAATGATCGTTGAAGCAATGTCTCGGAGATTCACACGACTTCAAATCAATCTCACAGCGGATACCATTCACCAGTGACATGGCAGCCTTACCAATCCGAAATTGTACGTCTTTTCATCGCGATGTCTCTGATTTCTTCGTGGTCGACATGGTATTTGCCGACCTTCTTCAGGTAAGAGCTTCTTTACCATTTGATCTGCTTGAAACACGAATGGATGCATCACCTGCCCCATTCCAGTCAATTATCATGGGAGAAGCTTCGACTCCAAGCCGTTCTCGCCTCGATACGGCGCGAGAGCGATCGGGATATCACCACTGTATCCTACGTCTCCCTGTGCCTCCTTCAGCATCGCAGCCGTTTTCCCCACAAGCTTTGCAATCCACCTATCGTTCACAAGCCCTCCGACCATGGCCTTTTTCATTCCATCTCGGGTATTGGTGTTCAGATCCTTTGCGATCAATTTGATATCCTGCTTCAAATCAATACTTCCCTGTTTGATATTGTGACGAATGTTCCTCGCCGTGGCTTTGAAGCCTGCAATGTCTTTGAACGACATCTTTTCGCCGCTGTTATGGTCGTGATTTTCATCATTCATCCCATCCTGAGAAGTCGGAGACGAAGGCGTCGAGGAAACCAATGTCTCATCACTGGACCCCTTTCCAGTTTCCTCTATTTCCTTTTCAAACTCGATGAGCTTCGTCGCCTTTACTAGCGCAGCGACGAAATCTAGCAGGCTTTGATCGCAACTTGCGGGAAAGCTGCCGTGGACACTCAACTTGACAGCCGCTTCGTCTTTCTTCAATGTCTCTAGACTCCTCTCAGCTTGGGTAGTCTTGGGTCCATCGTCTGCCTCTTCGATCTTGATCGCCATGTCATACTCGTCGTCGGACGTCGGTAGATCCGGGATGAGATGTTCATGATGGGGTAGCAGGTACGTTGGCAGATGGAAGGTTGCGTGGGCTCCCCCAAGACGGACGACTGGAGAGACTGTACCGGTCTGCGGTGCCGTTCGAAAGGCGACCAGGTCTTGTAAAGCTATTGCTGCATAGATGAAGGACTCTGGGCCAGTGTTGATAGGCACTGTAGCATTGCACTCCATGTCACTCAACTCTAGACAGAAGTTGGCTCCGCTCAACCATGCTGATAAGCGGTTCCAAAGTCGGCGAAGCTCCGCATTGTTCTCTGTGTGTTTCTTGAACACTTTGTCTTGCAAAATCTCGGAGACCCACTGTCCCGAGCCTGCGGCATTTACGCTGTTGATTGATATTGGGTGGAAGTAAGCCAGAGGGGCTAGAACAGCCCGAAGGAGGAATGGCAAGCGATGCATAAATCGCTTTGTCGCAGGTGGAGACATGTTTTGCAGTGTTGTGACCCGAACAGACCGTTGCGGGGGGTGACTGATTGAGGAGTATGCGTGAAGCTCGGCCGAAATGGCTGCACGGAGGTCTTTCTCGCTGTCCAGTGAGAAACCCTTGGTGCCGTCTTTGCAATTCTTTCGAACCTGCGCACGCGCTTGGTAGATGGCACTACTCGTTCGGATCTCGGTCATCAACTCCGCATACTCTTTGCTCGCCAACTCGTCGTCAGGCGACAAAGTTTCAACAGCATCAATCCCTTCTTTGGGCGAGCTGTCTTCGATATAGCTGCCACCGGCCAGARACTCGCGCAATTTCGGTCGATCCTTAAAGCTCGCGGCACCAAACGATGCAGCGCGAAGGAGGGGAGTGTGGTCGCTGAAGACGCTCACTTCGCTGACTGCATCATCTGTGGCAGCTTCCACTTCAGCAAACGTCATTTCGGCAGGCCCGCCCTTCATGTTTGCAAAAACATCACCGATCTCGATCTTTCTGAACAATCTTACCTTCACTTCGTCGACAAATATGGCCATCTCGATTTCGTTGGCCAGTTTGATTCCTGTATGCAATCAGTCGGCTGTTTTTGTATCAATCAGATTAAATAACGTACCGACTTCTACGCCATGTGCCACAATCGTCAGTGTGGAAAAGGATATCGTCACAGCCCGGATGACCATCAACCCGTCGACATCTGTGTCAATCTCCAACGCTGGCAAATTGAACATCGCGATCTTGTCCTTAACAAAATGCGATGGGTACTCTTTGAGCACTTTTCGAAGTGCTCTTCTAGCATACCTAGCGACTGTTGGAGATTGCACCAGACATGTAACCAACACCCATGGCYAACAAGCTGCGGTAAAGAAGCCATTCAATAACCAAGAGGTCGAGCACACCTAGGWAAATGATAAGAATGGTAAGCAAATCTTCCCGGTAGTTGGCGGTTCAGAGCGGAGCACGATCACTACCTGCCCATCGATCCGATCCACTTACCGCATACACGAGGTTGAGCGAAGAGATGAGAGTCCACAGGGGGACTTGGGGCAGGATCCGACATTCGGCTTCCCATCCCCAAAGGATGAGAAGTGTTTCCACGGCGGCACCAGAGTACAACCAGCTTCTTGCCCATGGAAGTGCTGAAACTAGGAGTGCCAGGAAGGAAGTTGAGAGAAAGGTGACCGCCGATGGAGGCTTCGGTCGGCTAGTTCGCTTCACACTTGGGACCGGCTTGCGTGGGATTGAGTTGGCGTTTGAAAGCTTCGCCATGATTGCTTGACGGAGAGGTCAGGGTTTGGTGGTCCTTCAAACGGCAAAGATCTTGGATATCGTCAATCCCTGCTCCTTCAAGCAAGGGATGTCATCTCGCAAGAACTTCACCTCGTCCAGAATGGCGCACTGCGCACGCTATGTACTGGAAGATTTGGTGCCTCAAGCGATCCAGATCGTTTGTTTGATGTTTGTGTGACGTTGGTCGGCGGTGACAACGAAGAAATAACAGCCACGTTCTGACGTAGCTCGTGCTCGTGCTGTGGCGTAATTGGATTCCGGAAGGCGCTCCGAGCTCCGAGGCAGGATTCTAACTTCTTCCATCTCCACAGATCTTTGCATCCTCCATCTCTTCTCCATCTCCACCCCGTGGTACTTCATCTGCACGTGTTTTCCACCTGCACGTGTCTCGCACTACTTCGGAATGATATGGAGTGGACGATTTAGCCGCCAACGACTTCTCTCCGCCATGGCGGATCCGACTGCATCTCTTGCGACACAGCAGGCCAATGGCCGGTGAGATCTCCAGCACGCGCATTGCGATAGTGTATCCGCACAATCAGACATGACGTTAAACTTGGCTTTACCACAAGAAAAATCCATATCCATATAATGTCACAGATCCGTACCACTCCGACTCACGGCCTGATTGTTCTTCTCATTTTCATTCTCACCACCACCTACTCCACCATGAAATGCCACGAGGTCGTTACGGCCATGGCGTTCTCGATGCTTGGGCATTCAGTCGCTCTGAGCGATCAATCCAGTTGTAGCGGTGGGCTCAACGTCTCGTTGGACTGGTATCCGCCCACGAAGAACTCCGTCAATGATTTGGGCAATGTCATCAACGGGACGGGAGCAAACGGCTTCGTCTTCAGTCCCAGCCAAGGCCCTTTGAACATGACCAACTGGTGCAACATGCCGCATGTTGATACCAAGACCTATGTCAAGCCAAGTAGCGAGTACAGGTTGGAGTACGTGGAGGTCATCCATCGCCACCACAAGCGTACACCCTATGCGGACAACACGTTCCCACAAGAGGGATACTCCTGGGAATGTAGCGACGAAGGTCTCTTCTATGGTGGCAAGCCCCTCAACCCGTACGGAAATCCATCAGCAGCAACATACTGGTCCGTGTACACCTCGAATTCGAATCCCATGGCGCCCACGGGCTTCAACGGATCCTGTCAGTTCCCTCAGATCACCCGTGGAGGTCTTGACGACAGTCACCAACACGGTGTCGATCTCAAGGCGGTATATGCTGACATGTTGGGATTCATCTCCACCAACTACGACCCAGAAGCTGTCTCATATCGAGTCACCAACAACGTCATCACCTCGCAAGTCGCCAGCATGCTCATCGCAGGAATGTACCCGCTCCGCAAGAATGCGGATACGCCGCTCCTCGTCCAGTCGAACAGTATCGACTCGCTCGAGCCTTCTTACAAGTGCTCTGCTGCATCCAAAAGCAACTACGGACCCGGGAGCGAGACGCCAGCATGGGAGAAACATCATGACGCCTCCGCGGGTCTTTATGATCGTCTCGATGCGCTCTCTGGCGTGGCACCGGATTCCAAGTCATGGCACAAGAGTTGGGATCATTATTTCGACAATCTCTCCGCTCGACTGTGCCACTCAAAGCCTCTGCCATGCAAGCTCGGCAGCGAGACGGATTGCGTTGGTCTCGCAGAAGCCGAAAAGGTATTCCGCCTGGGACAATACGAGTACAGCTTCATCTACCGMGATGCTCCAGAGTCATTCCCTATGAGTGTGGCCAGCTATGGCATCTACATGGCAGAGCTCGTACAGAATCTGAGGGATGTCATGAAGGGTGACGACTATGCAGGCGTCAAATATCGTCACAACGTGGCGCACGATGGATCCATGTCGAGATTGCTGTCTATCTTGCAAGTGGACAGAATGTACTGGCCGGGAATGGGCGCCGAGGTCGTCTTTGAGCTCTACAGCAAAGCGGGCTGCTATTTCGTGAGGATCCTCTGGGGCGGTCAGGTCTTGGTCTCGAGTCATCCGGCTTTTGGTCGCATGGACATGGTACCTGTCGCGRCGCTTCTTGCGTATGTCGATGGCTTAGTAGGCGTCGGTGCGTGCAAAGTACCTGCTCTTTGCGAAGGCTAGCTGAGTTGCCTGAGATTATTGTCAAATCAAAAGACCCGTTCACAACTCCCGTGTGTTTCCATAAGCTTCCAGTTGCGTAACAATGTGAGATTATAGCAGGGCTCGCTAAGGTCCAACCACACCACAGTAGCGGCGACAAGCGCATGTGTTTTCTGCCCATCATGTCTTAAATCCGCCATTCCGCCCGCTTCTAAGTGCACTCCCAACCTAAAGTCCGTGAATGGCGCCCCCGCAGCGTCATGCTTCTAAGTGCACTCCCAACCTAAAGTCCGTGAATGGCGCCCCCGCAGCGTCATGCTTCTAAGTGCACTCCCAACCTAAAGTCCATGAATGGCGCCCCCGCAGCGTCATACTTCACGATCACCACAGGATGGAAAAGTAAGACGGACCTCATATAGTCTGACAACGCCTCTCAACTTCTCCCATTCCTCACTACTGTGAATCGATTTCCAAAACAACAGAAAAACAACAACAGATCCACTCCACATCCCCGCAAGCAAAAAACCATGCAGAAAGTACAAGAACTCGCCGGCAAAGTCACCGGCGGAGCCATTGGCACCAAACTCCCCACTCGCAAGCTCGGCAAGAATGGACCCAACGTCACAGCTCTCGGATACGGCACAATGGGCCTGAGTGCCTTTTACGGACTCCCAAAGCCAGATCCCGAGCGATTCGCAGTTTTGGACAAGGCTTATGAGGAAGGAGAATTGTTCTGGGATACGGCGGACATATATGCCGACAGCGAGGATCTCTTGGGTGCGTCTCTGTGGGATTCTGGAGATTCCGTGATTGAACAAGCTGATGATTTGCTGCAGGCAAGTGGTTCAAGCAGAACCCAGGCAAGAGAGAGAAGATTTTCCTCGCGACTAAATTTGCCAACTGCGTTGATGATCAGGGTAACCGGTGGGTTGATAGCACACCTGAGTACTGCCGCAAGGCGTGTGAGAAGTCTCTTCAGAGACTCGGTGTTGAGAGTATCGATCTCTATTATGTAGGTCTGGATGAGTCGAAGATCACGCGTTGAAGGCATTGCTGATCATGTCTTTTGACTCCTAGGCGCACAGACTTGACGGCAAGACTCCAATTGAGAAGACCGTGGGCGAGATGAAGAAGCTCAAGCAGGAAGGCAAGATCAAGTACCTTGGTCTCAGCGAATGCGACGCAGACTCGCTGCGTCGTGCATGCTCTGTCGAGCACATCGATGCCCTGCAGATCGAGTACTCTCCTTTCAGCTTGGACATTGAGCAGCCGTCCATAGGCCTTCGGAAGGTCGCAAAGGAACTGGGCGTCGCCATTGTTGCCTACTCTCCAATTGGCCGTGGAATGCTTGGTGGCCAGATCAGATCTCCAGCGGACTTTAAAGAAGGTAGGTACACAACCTGTGGAACGACCTGAGAAGATGCCTATAGCGATGCCAGGTTTCAGTCTTCGACAACAGCGTACAGGACACCGCTGACTCTTTTACTCTTGTCATTATAGGAGACTTCCGCACATTCGCTCCCCGCTTCAGCGCTGAGGTAAATCTGGACCATCCTTGTGCAATCTTCCGCTGCTGATTTTTCTTTAGAACTTCCCAAAGAACCTGGAACTGGTCGATACCATCACCGCAATTGCCAAGAGGAAGGGTGTGACCTCTAGCCAGCTTACCCTGGCGTGGTTGATGGCTCAAGGCGACGATATCTTCCCGTAAGTGACACCAAATCATACGCTGATTCGCTACTGTACTCACCTCTTTCAGCATCCCCGGTACGACCGACTTGGGCCGCTTGGAAGAGAACATCGCCTCTCTGAAGGTGAAGCTCAGCAAGGAAGAAGAGCAGGAGATCCGCAGCGCGTGCGAGAGAGCGGAGCCAGCTGGCGATCGTTACCCCGAGTCGTTCGCTTCCAGCCTGTTCCAGAGCACTCCTCCATTGCAGTAGGATCGAAGCAACTTTGACGGAAATGTCAGTGAAATGCTAGCGTTGTAAACGGAACAGATTATGAGCTTAAAAGCGATATCTTAGCGACCACGAATTGAGTCGCCCTATCTTGTCGAGATTCTCCTCATCCCAATGCCCTTTCCAGCGACGCACTTCCCCAGATCTTTCTGTCCTTTGGAGTCATCGAGCGCATCGTTCGATCTGAGAACAACATCATAGCAAAGCAGCAAGGCCGAACATGGCAGCGAGAATCCCACCAGCGGGGACAGCAGCATTTGCAACAGCGGCGCCGGTTTCGGAAGCGGTTGCACTGGATGCAGAAGCAGAGTCGGTCATGGTCGAAGATTCGCTGGCGGTGCTTGTGGTGGTTGCTGCGACAGAAGAGGACGATCCCGTCGATGAAGCCGTGGCCGTGGCCTTTGTTGCAGTTCCGTAGCTGTATCTCATCATTAACACCGCCCCTCATCCTACTTTCGTTTCCAACCACTTACGCCGACGCAGCATTGCAGTTCGCGACTTTGGTTTGTTCGTGACCGAATCGATCGGGACTTGATGGGCAGTTGTTGTAGCAAGTGAGTATCTGCAAGAGAAGGGGTCAAATGTTTAGCAATGTGCGAGACAGCTTCAATGTGCCCCAATGCTCATCGTAACTCTAGAGACATGGGAGAACCACACTGGATGCCTTTGGCAGTTCGATTTACTCACAGTTTCGCTGGCCGCACACAAACAGTCCCAGTCATTCGCAGTGCAAGCTTGCAGTTGAGGCTGGGTGGTGGAAAGGCAGGTGGAAATGATTCTAGGCGGATTGATTAGAAGGTGGAGGACTGTGGGCCTTGCTGCGGTCTATTCGTACAGATCAACCTGGGATCCGCAGCCCGATAATGTTCCTGTGGTGCTTTGTGCGGCGGAGAGGCTCGCGACCGCGAGAGCAAGGAAAGCTGAGACGTGCATGCTGAATTGCTCGGGTTTGGTATGCGGTTCGAAAAGCTAGAGATCGCTATAGGTGCCGATACTTTGTTTTGGTTGAATATGTCGATTGGAATGGACTGCGGTGAATCGAATTAAATTGAACTGAATTGAATTGAAACGAGAGGCTGATGAACGATTGACCGCGCAGAAAGAGAGAGTGAGGTGTCGAAGGAGGGCAAGCAGGAACGACGGGAATTTGTATGCCTGCCGAGTTAATTATTGTAGCAACTGCTCGCACGGACATTATTGTGTTCCCATTCGGGTTCAGGCCCGTGGCTGATTGGTGGATTGAGTCGGACAACATGACTTTCTCGTATACCATCCTTGCTCTTCAACATTGTCGCTGCAGCCCGATCATCTTCTGACAATCACACTCGAGGAAGGCGTGATCCCAAGAGATGTAGAACTCTCCCCTCGTTGACGGATTGCAGGGCAAGACAAGATCCTCCCACCATGGACTGCCATGACTTGATCCGCATTGCTTTCGCCCTCAAAGTTCCGGGGAAGAGATGATGGAGATGCGCACGAGCCACCGGGTCCGTCGTGCAACCTCCCCCATGCCATGCCATGCCATGCCCATCGGTCACCTGTCCAGTCCATACAAACTCCTCTCATGAGTCGTCAATCCGTCAAATCTCTCATCGCACACAAACTCCACGAAGCCTCATCCGACATGCCCGGCTTTCATGTTGGGGAAGACGCATGATGCGAAATCGTTTCAAACAAAGGAGGACTTCACAGGGCTGTGGGACCATATGCAGGCAAGATAGACGGAAACACGATCCGCATGTCTACTCATCTCTGTCGGATCCTCATCCCCTGCACGCTCGAGCAGCTCCCAGTATTCAGTACGGCATTGAAAGCACTCGATCCCGACCACCGCACCGCACTGGAGATCTAGAATTTAACATAAGAAGTGCCGATAGCACAATTTTCCAGGCGTATTGTCGGAAGGGTTCCTTTCTGCCTCATACCGACCGACATTCTTCGAGAGAGAAGACATTCACAATTTGGTGCTGATTGATCCTCCAATGCAGGCGCAGATTCGGGCTTTGGAAGGCTTCAGGTTGAGTAATTCCCAGCAGTAGGAAAGTCAATGCATCTGGCAGCGGTTCGAGACATCCGTCCACAAAGCAGGCCGAGAAGGAAAGCTCGGATCGGAGGAGTCCTTCCTGACGCACCCAAAAGGACTTTACCAAAGGTCAGGCGTCAGAGGTGGAAAACGTTTGCGGGAATCCCCAACACCCCGATCGACATTTCCCTTCGTTTCAATCTCCTTCCCAATACCGATGCTCGCATGATTGAAGGTCTTGAGATTGTTCCAGATGGCGTTGATATTCAGCGCCGGTCACGATCTCGCAAAGTTCACAAGACTGCGCTCTGCCATTCAAGCAGCGATCGATTGTGATGGGCACCCTCGGACTATCCCGACCTTCACTGTCCTCTACGAAGACCTCGCCAGCATGAAGCTCAACCCCTCACGGATAACCTACAGCTTCGAGATCTGCTCACAACCGGCTACATTACCACTGGTTTCGAGTTCACAGGGCTTGAGCTCGCTATCAGCTGGATCTTTGGCGGGAAGTCTGAAGGATCTCGGAGATCGCGCATGCGAAACATTACTCACGAGAGTAATCCCACTCAGCTTGATAGAGCGCCTGAGCAGTCCCGAGACAGTCGACCCAGGTCGATCAATTTAACAAACATTGCATACTCATGATGGGCGTCAGGTTTGTTCATATTTCTCGCTGTTATCTCCTTCCTCTCGGCATCTCATTAATTGATGCATCCTCTCACCKCCATGTTTCCCTTCTTGCTGTCTGCATACCACCTTCCCTCTCCTCACTACTCCAATATAAAACTGTTCATAAAATAACTCCAAACACTATCCCTCCCTCAATATTCTCCCTGAATCTTCCACCAACCGTCACAGTCCTGCCGCCACACCAATCTTCCATGACGACTCTGACCAGCCGGGCAATGTCATCACGTACGCCGAACAAGATGATATCTTTTACAGGATTCGACAAAGAAGATGTGCACAGCGGAAGGATAATCGCTCCGAGCCTGGCGAGCTCTCTCCTTACTTTGCGAGTTCCATCCACCTTTATGGAGGCGGCACACCATACAACGGGACTTTGTAGATTTCACGACAAGACTGCGGAGTGGGAAGCAGAAGGGGAGGTTTGGCCGATCGAATCAGAGCTTTTGGTCCGGTGTACAAAATGAATGGTGCGTAGGTGGGCGGTTCGAGGGTTGGAGAAGAATGWAGAGATGGAAAGGGGGTGGGTTACAATGTGGCAGAGAAGCACCGAATAGCGAGTGAATAAAAGCATGCTCCAACGCTGCAAACTACCAGAAGCAGCACTACCGCACAGATATACTCATCCTTCGTCAATGATATGGGAAACGCAGAAATGGATGTRCGCCAGCCGTGTCATTCATTCTTCGCCGGTATCTACAGTTGACCTGATAGAACGTGATCCATGTCTTCTTTCCTCCCAGCGCCATGTGCCATGTCATGATAGACTCCAGAACGTAACAAAAAGAGTGCCGCAGTTTCTTACTCCTGCCCAAAGCCCACCGTCTCCTCCACAGCCCATGTGAGCTTTTGAGTGAGCGCATCATACGATTTATAAGGAGGCAGATCCAATCGGTTGAAGCAAGTATGCGATTTTGGCAGCTGTGCCTCCTCGCCACTCTTCTCAATCGTAAATCTTCGTGGTCCGTCTGAGCCTTGGAGATCCTTAAAGCCGTTGACGGGAATTCGCGAGGTTCCAGTTGCGAATTGCAGAAGACGAGATTTCTGTTCTGCGTCCCATCCGCGGATGCACTGTGGAAGATCGATCAGTAATTGTAGAGCGAGAAAAGGAGAGTGAACACAACGTACCTTCCAGAAGTTCTGCACCACCGGGTCGTTTTCCGTGTACCCACGGTAATCCGTGTGCTTCTTCCAATCATCGACGTCAATGTCCGCGATACCTCCTATGAGTAATTCCAGCTCGCGCTCGTCGAACACGTTGACCAGATCCGCGGGGATCAATTCGTGGAATCCCTGAACGAAAGCATTGAACTGCTCCTCAACACGCTTCTGAATGCGCCACTCCGTGATGAGATCAACGTATTCCTTCTTGTTGTCGTTGTCAACCTCAATGTCTCTACCGCCGGGTTTGAGATCCACAGTCACTTTCTCGCCAAAGCGTTCATCCTCCACGGAGAAGGTGCTGTAAATGACATCCGTAATGTCGTTCTCCATCGACCAGCTCAGTGTTCGGTGAAATTCGGCATCGACACCCTCCATATCCGCGAGGTTGACCTTCTTTCGCAAGATCATTTTGTAGAAAGCTCCAATAAAGAATGCGTCAAGGAATCGTCTGTGGAAGATGGCAAGACCAACGACACGTCCAATAAATTTGAAGTAGCCCAAATGCTCCGGGTTGATTCCAGAATGAGGGTTGATCTGAAGAGTGTAGTTGTCGTGTGCTGAGTACTCGAAAAGACAGTAGAAGGGATTAAACATTTCGTGACTGAGGAGGAAGAAGAACTCTCTGTAAAGTTGTCAGTATTGCATCGCCAATGGAAAGCCAATCGAGTACATACCGAGAAAGACCACCATAATCTAGACCGTCCTCTCCGTCGAACTTGATCATGAGACGCTTCTTGAGATCGTTTGGACTTTGACGCATGATCTCCGCGTAGGAATCCTCAAAGATGTGGGAACGGCGGATCTTGACATGGCATTGACCGGACAGGATCCTAAGCGCCGGTTGCGACCTAAAGTAGATCAGTTTCCTTCGGAAATCGCGCTTGTATTGTGGGACATTTTGATCCAGAGAAGATGGCAGTCGCGGATCGTCCCATGTCGTTGTCTTGGTGTTATGGTCGACAAAGTACACGCGAGCAGTATTGGTCAAGCGCATTTCCCATCCACTAGGCAGAGGGCCCAATTGAGACACTGGCTGTTGTTGGATGGTGCTGTTGCCGGCAGCATTCTGGCCGTACATCCGAATGTACTGCTGCCGCCTTGGATCCACCCATGTCGTGGTGCGCGTATTGTGGTCTACAAAGTAAGCCCGTCCTTCGGGCGTGTGACGCTGCTCCCAACCAGCTGGCAGCTCTCCGGTCCCAGCAGTAGTGGCCCCGGTCGCCACCATCTGGGCTGATGTTGCATTGTTCGGCGTCGAAGCAGCGGCAGGCGTGTGCGCGGGAGGCGAAGCATTCGCTCTGTCGGAGAGTGTGGGAGAGTTTGCTCCTGCGCGGTCCTCGGGCAGCATACGGTTCTGATGTCTGGTTCGTTCAATGTTGGTCTGCTGTTCCAATTGAGCTCGCTGCTCGCCCGCGTTGTAGTTAGCAGTGGGGCGGATCCATGTGGTCTGTCTCGAGTTGTGGTCCACGTAGTATGTTCGCCCCAAGTTGTCCTCGCGCCTTTCCCAACCAGCCGGCAATCTGCCTTGAGCATCCTCAAACGCACTGAAGCCAGACTCGGTGCCTCTCCTAGCCGGAGCACTGGTGCCATTTGCTGCGGGCAGCGTGCCTGCCGGCGGTGCGGGTCCAGTGCTTTGACGGTTCGACGGGGCGGTGTAGCTGACGGGGCGTTCGGTGCTCTGAAGCGACGCAGCTGACTGCGCGCCAACCGGGGTGGAGGTGGAAGGAGTCTGAGCGCCATTCGCAGATGGACCCGCGGAAGAGCCTGTCGGACGGGCGGCGTTGCCCTGATTGCCGCTAGCAATGGGGGCTCGCGTGTTGGTCGACAGGTTGAGGATGAGCTTGCCGTTGACGACGAGATTGTCGTTGGACTTTCGTAGGTCGCGTGTAATCATTTCTGCGAGCTGTTAGAAGGCGGGGGCCCTGATTGGCACTCTGATCACACATACCATCACCGCCAGCGTCGAGGTCAATCACGCTGCCAATACGCACGTTGACAACGCCCAAGAAGCCCTGGTCCTTTTTCTTAAACTTCTTTTGGTCAAAGATCTGAACTGCGAGAATGCTCTCCTCGGTCACACGCCTATCGGTCGGTCCATCAGCATTCAATCCTCACTTCCACGGCCTCCGCACTGAGGATGGATGGGATATCGTACATGTCGAAGCTCTCGTTCCAATAAGGATTCAACGTCTTTTTGATCACGCCCGTCGTCTTGGTYTGCTCTCCGCCGACCGTTGCGACCGCAAAAGGGTCTGGGAAGCGGAACACATCGCGCTTGTATAAGCCGTCCGCGGCGATGACTGCGGGTGCATGTTAGCCATCAAAAGTGTCCCCATCTCCGTGTATGACATGTCCTCTTGCGTACTCGTCACGCGCAGGTTCGCCTGCGTGGGAAGGTCCATGACGTGGGTTCGAAGATCTCAGATGCGCTGGATTGCGCGGTGTCTGCTCAGGTCACTGCCCGCGTGATGTCGATGTCTTCGCGGAAATCCCATGCGCCAGCCCCGGAGCGAAGGTGATGGAAGCTGCAAGGGCGCGGTCGTCGGTCGATCGGTTCGTAGAGGGGCTGTGTTCTGAAGGAAGATGAGATAATCCGGGTCGAGTTTCCGGACAAGACAAGACGTCGCTGCGCTGCGCTGCAAAACAATTCCAAACAAAGCGCTTCCAAGAGAATAAGCAATGGGGTGTACTGCCGTAGCTGGATATGGCGACGGTGCCGCTTCGATCCTCGGACTGAATGTGTTCCAGGTTGTGTTGGGTGAGGAGGGGTCTGGTCTGAAAGATCGCTTGAATGAAAGCAAGGCAAGCACCAACTCGGAATTGATTAAGCTAGAATATAACAACGTCACACGATCAATCTGCATCAGCCTGTCAACAAGATGTCTCCTATGAGACACCTTCGATTCCTTACAAGGGAATCATTGTTTGCGTTGTCCCTGACTCACATAAGCTGCTGTCACATAGAGATGCCACAAATATGAAAAGTCCTCATGGAAAGTCCTCGCCCTGGACGGAGGACTTCCTTCTGCATCACCTTCTGATGCTACATCTAATGCTTGCTATATTCGACTACCGACATGTGGAAGGATCTACTCGCCAGCATCTGGACTCCTATACTGATGTCGCTCGAGATGCAGAGTGACCTGGCTTGCCTTTTCTGGTTCAGTAAGATGATTCCGCCACCACAGTTTCAGCCAGGTGTGGGCAACAGAGCAGAATCGTCAGCGCTCTTCTCCTCTCTAGCCGAAGACCTTTTCATAGTCTGAAGTGCTCATACAATGTCGGAGCATCTAAAACAGATCGAAATTTGCACTCTTCTTCATAGCATGAAGTATTAATATCACTAATCAATAACATCTTCCTAGCATTTCATCATCATTTGAACGCAATCAAAGGCCCCTCCAGTTCCCTACTCAGGTCACTCTCAAGCAGGAATAGGTCTCTTAATGCCCATAGCGTCGTCGATCATATCTCCAAAAATCCTCTTCACCATCCCGGCCTGTTGCTCTACCGGCAGTTTTATGTTTGCGAGATTGGCCGAGACACGGTCCGCCATACTCCTAAAGTCGATGTGGAGGTACTCGTCCGATGGCGTGGTGTGGTCAGATAAAGGAAGGATGACTGCATCTGCGGACTGTCATATCGTCAGCATTGGCGTGGTTATACAATTATAGTTCCTCACCATTGTGGAAATCTGAGGGAGCATCACAGCTGGCTCTTCCGGTGCGATGGCTGCCTTGTTCTGGTTGAAGTTGATGTCTGGTAGAATTGGAACACGAATCGCTGCAATGCCAGCATCCTCCGAGCCAAGGATCTGAGGCATGAATGCAAAGTCGATGGTCGAGCTGTCGTTCACAGCCTTGAGAGTACGAGAGGTGTTGAAGTGGCGGGTTACTGGTGCTTTAGTGGAAGCCGATGGCGAAGGTCGCGTCTCAGTGCTGAACGAGCGAGAGTGTGCGATCTCGTCGGCCGTGATTCTGGCTACCAGCTAAGAAAGTGACCTGTCAGCTTACTCTATACCCGCTGAGAACGAGATGTCTTACATCACTCTTAGCTCCACTGGTTTCGATCTTTCTCCGCTTGCATTCAGCACGGAGACCTGCAAGGTCTCGTGGTAGGTTCGAGCCTCTGTGAAGTGATGGGCTGTGGAGTTGTTAGCAACTGCCTATGCTGGCTGAGTCAATGGGAAAGCTGACCTTGAGTAGGTCTGTGGACCGGTCATATGGAGGAATCGTGCATGCTGGCCGCTTGCTGAAGACTTGGCCAGATTACGGAGGGCAATAAAAGAGGTCGCTCGTGGTGCAGCCATGATCGTTTTGCTGTTGTGTGATCGAAGGGAGTCGTTGTTTTAGGTATGTGGAGTGTAGGAGCTGAGGTGGGTGAAGGTAAGGTAGGTGAGACGGTCTGGTTGTTTTGAATACCTGTAGGGTTGATGTGTTGGCAAGGCAAGTACGACAGCGGTCAGAAGCAGCAACAGAGGAGCTACAAACGTGCGAGTGCAGGACAGAAAGCTATATACGCACRAGCTGTGTCATTAATGAGACGTCTCACCTCCTCCAGCTGTCGTAAGCTCCTAATTAATCCGGCAGCCGGGGGGTGGCTCAAAAGTACCGCGAGCGATGTTTTTTGATGCTTCTTCCATTATCGTCGTACCACCAGACCTCTCGATAAGAAGGTATGCTTTGCCTGATCCTGTATAGCGCCGACGATATCAGCAGCGGGAAATACTCCCCGATAACTCAGAGGCCCACGCACGTCAGTGCGTGAAACCTCTTATCCTGGCTCAACGGTGGGGTCCGTTGCAATCATGATCCAATAGCAGCGTGATACACCACGCTCAGTCTGCATTCGAGTCCGGGCAGCTGGAAGGGATCTTGCAGCGGACGTTGTTGAATCTGTACCCCGCAAAGACCGGCACGATTAGCGCCACTTTTAAACACTTTTCGTTGAGCTTGTCAGCTTGCGAAGAACCTTGGATCATCGAGGCCAGACCTTGTCTACGGGCCTGCTTCAGTGGAATGACTTCACGTTGTGAATACCGTGATCGAGCTGACTTTCATATTTCCTTGTAGAGGCCTTTGGAAATGCGAAACGACCATCTTGCATTCTTCATAAAACATCGGATTCTAAAATTGGGTCGCGTCCGGGTTTAACTGTCCAGGCGGTGAAAGAAAGGGTCGGTCATTTTACCCTTCATCCCGTCGTTCTCGGTTTCGTGTTAGTCGGTGCCAATGCCGCTACTTGTCTTGCATGAGCTGGCTTGGCTTCGTCCTGAGGCTGGCATTCTGTATACAGCTCCGTAGTCAGGTCAACAGACAAACATTGCTTTCGAGCGAAAGGGGCTGCGGACGGTCCACATACAAGTGGGCCAGGTGGCTCTCCCTCCAACGCACCCATCGAGAGTTCGATTCACGAAAGAATGCGACGTCCGGCCTCATGGTCGCAACTTGGACTACTCTGCGTCCTTCGTTCTGTTGCTAGTTGCATAATAAGTCAGGCGGAAAATAAGGGTTAGGGTTGGGGTAGGGGGTATTGCCAACGATATCTACAATAGGCCGGTACTCCGGAATACAACAACCTGCCCGTAGTCTCATGACTTCGAGTTGTTGTGCTGGATTACCTTACTGACCGCCTTCGCTTGTTCGCGGTCACACATGACCGATGTTGCAAGTGCTCAAAGACTTTGGTGCTCGACATGCATTTGCTGGCTGAGAGTAGCATCTTTCTCCGGTCCGCGTCATGGAACGATCCCATGCCTGTCGCTCTGGTCACGGCGAGAGTCACAGACAAGGAAAAGAAGCATTCCATCGTGTGAGATAGCAGGATAAACCTGAATCATGCTCTATTCGTCTATCATATACCACTTGGAATACTCATTCCGACAATTTCTCGAATACGCTGTAACGCTGGCAATGCTCGCTGTAACGCAACACGGATTGTCTCTCGGCGCAGCTAAACTCCCTCACAGAGCATCCAAATATGGCTTGTACCAAAATGCAAGATAGCGCTCGCCTGTATGGTCCAGATGAAGTCCATTGGCTTGCCCAGGGATACATTTAGTGATCGTCTGTCTCGTATGGCTGCACGACTAGGCCTCTCAGACGGACCTTCGTACGCAATTTTATCGATTGAAATGGTCCATCAGCCTTTACATCAGACCAGCGAACACTGCCATGGCAGCAAGACCTAGACCAGTCTGGACCAAAAGCCTGAAAAGGTTACTCTCTGCCACGTCCCGCTTGCTTGCAGAAGCGGACGACTTCTTGGTCTCACTCGCAGATGGTGACGAGCCAGATGCGGATGATGCAGTCTGAGAAGTCCCCGAGCCGGAAGTCGTATCAGTACCAGTACCAGTGCTAGCAACCTGATTGCTGGAGCCAAGAGCCATGAACTCCTGTCCAACGGTAGGAAGTGGGACGTTGCCGTCGACATTCCAGAGACCAGAGGTAGATGATGGGCAGGCAGGAGGCGAGAGTGACGGAGAGTATGCGGCGGAGGAAACTCCGGTTGGAGCCAGAGTTGCCCACTGACTCTTCAGGTTCTCAAAGTCGGGGCTGACAGGCGTTGGGGTACCAGCTCGAGTAAAGCCAGCAACGATGTTGGCACCAGTGGCACCGTCCGCCGGCTTTGGTCCATACGAGATGAGGCCGTAGTTGTTTGTCTCCTGGAGGCCGAGACTGTCAGTCATGGTCGCATACATTCAAGAGAGCACAGATGAACGAACCTCGATCCACTCGTAAATGATTGCGCCGGACCAAGTGTTCATCATTTTGGGTCCCAAGATAGCAGACTGATCTTGGAACGTGCGTGGCTTTACCGTGTTGCAGCCAGTCTGTGCCAAGTCAGCATCGATATTTCATCACAGCAGTGATAGCTTCACTCCAAGATACTGACCTCGGAAAAGAAGATTGGGATGTTGTACTCGCTGGCGTTCATCTGAAGAAACTGGTAACCGCTGACTTCGAACGTAGCATCTCCGCACCACTCGTATGCATTCAGACTAAAAAAGTCGAGCGCCTCGGAAGCATTACTGCCGCACGCAAGATAGTTTTGAAGGTTGGGACGTAGTTGACCGGCATCGGTGGCGCTGTATCCCACAGGAATCTTGCGGTAGCCCATGCTGTCCCGGTGTGCCTTCATATCACGCGCAGAAGCCTTGACATATGGTGCAGCTACGCTGTCGGCACCAGTGTTCAAGCCCTCGTTACCCACGAAGAAGCCGGCAACGTTGTCGTAGTTGTGGAAGGCGTCCATGACCTCGGCGTACCGCTTGAATTGAGTGCCATTCCATTGAGGCTTGTTGGCTTCGGGCAGAATATAAGTGTCGAAGGTGTCCAGGTCGAGGAAGACGTAGATGCCGGCATCCGAAAAGGCAGACATGCATGCATCGTGATCAGCAGAAGGGTCGACGTGGTAGACCCGAATGGCGTTGGCACCGAGAGTCTTCATGAGGCTGGCATCGAGTTGGCATTGGGAGCCTTGAGCAAGTGGATCGTCCTCGGTCAGCTGGTAGGCGATTCCTGTRATTCGGAGGTATGTTAGTTGTATCTCACGAAGTGCTTCCACCATTGACGAACCTTTGATGTACCATTGGTTGCCGTCGCTGGTGAAGAACTTGGAACCCTTTGTCTCGATCGTGGGAATGGCAAGTATCGAAGACAACAGCGTTGCCAGTACGATCACAGAGGAAAGCATCTTGAGCGGCGTGGATTGGCGTCGATTGAAGGCGGCAGAAGAATTGAAGATGGAATCTTGCTGGAAGCGATAGATACCAACTGCCGGTGGTGAAGTCCAACTCTCAATGTTCGCAAGCTGAGATTCCAGCGGTGTTGTCTTTCCGAAGCGACTGTAATGGAAGCAGGCGCAGAAGGTGCAGGCTGATGAAAGATGAATTTTCAAAAGAGAAAGAGCGCACACCTACCTACCGCAGACCTGATTTGATGCTGCGACTAAACAACCTTCAAAACTTGTTATCAGTGCTCTAATCCACTTAGCTGCCGTTGTCTGCCGTCCTCCATCCCGTTGCGATCATCCCGTGGCGTCATTTGCGGAAGCGCGACTGTTTCGGCGTCGTGAGCGTGTTACCGATATCCAGTCACTGTCACACGGCATGGCACATTCAAGAAGGCCAATCGAGAGCGCGCTGCAGCTACCCGGCGTCAAACAAAGGTGACATCTCGTCCCTGGCGGAAGAAAGGGCAAAGTCTGGCGCCACGCGGACTCGTTTGAACCAAACGCCTCTCTGTGGCGTAAAGCTTGTTCCTGCCCTCGTTCTTGGATCCTGGAACCTTGCTCTGGACCCACGTGCTGTTGGGATGCTAAGGTACCTATTGTAGGAGGTACCACCAAGAAGGAATGGGTCGCAAACACTCGCCATAGTCATCGCGCTGCATGCACACTGTGCCCCGTTTCCAGTACTCCTGATTCCATCACCGAGTGCCACAAGACTGCAACAACACCGCCCTGGCCTGATTCAACAACAAGTGCATTCGGGCTGAGCTCCGTGGTGCTGACGGGGCGGTTGTGGCACCGTTCTCACGGCCACCACTTCCGAAACTCTGTATTCCAACGTCTCACGGGACGTCAAGTAGACGCGACCCCATCTGCGGCCGACCGAACTATGCTGGTGGATCATCTGTAATACCACATGAGATTTTCTGCGCTTCGCAACCTCGGGACTTTGCATTCGAGCGCGCACTATGTTGAGAAGGCCAACACGCACAAGGAAGGAAGCGGTGGCTGGAGCTCAAGAGCTGGGAAAACGCTGACCCGGACGATGGCAATCGGCGCAGCACCGTTGTATGATCGCGAGGGGACAGCTTGTTTAGGTGCTTGGAGCAAGCAGTATACGCTGAGAGACACCGCTGTCATGCGGCGGTAGCATGTCGCTTGGGGATGGCACCACATTCGACCACGCATGTGCCGGCCAGTTGTGAGCATTGAACGAAATTCCGCCTGATATGCTAGAGCACCCACCACTTCGAGTCTGCTCTATAGACGCTTCAAGAAGTCCGCACACTCGGTCGCGAAGAGACGGGTTTCCGTGGAAAGCATGACCTTCTCGAGAGTCAACAACCGCGAGGATCCACAGGAGTCCCCGAAGCCGAAGAATGAGGTACCCTCTTGTCCAGGTATGTTRACTAGCAGCAGTTGTGGTCTGGAGTGAATGAAGAGGTATCAGCGCGTCATCCCTGATATATTGGCGTACAAATACGGGGATTCGACTGGGGTCTTGCAGCATTGCAAACGATCTAGAACCACTCTCACTTCACTTCTCAAAGTCTGGCATGCATCTTTCATTCACACACCAATTTAAGCTTCTGCCTGGAGACCGCGACAGTCGCATGTTTCATTCTCTCTTTCGTATTGTCGCATTCTTTCATTCCATATCATCTTCATCTACGACTTCCACGACCTTCTCGCATCAACTACCACCGCTTGGTAGAAACTACGACATGACCAGGCCATCTAAGCCCCTGCCTGGAAACTCCGACACGAGGTCGGAGTCTAGGTCTGCGAGCAGCGCTAACACGCCGCCACTGAACTCGTACTCGCTCAACGAGCTCCACAACGAGAAATGCCGTACCATGCTCGAGGTCGTGAACGAGCTGAAGACCTGCGGCCTCGACACGCTCATCTCGCTGCCGCAGCTTGTCGTCTGTGGAGATCAGTCTTCTGGAAAGAGCTCTGTGCTCGAGGGTCTGACCGAAGTTCCGTTCCCATGCAAAGAAGGWCTCTGCACGCGCTTTGCGACCCGTTTCGAGAATCGTCCCGATGCCAAGGAGTCCATACGAACGATGATCATTCCAGATGTCAACCTCTCCGCCACGGAGAAGAAGCGGCTCTCCAGTTTCAACCATACCATTACTGACTTCAGCCAATTCGGAAGTTTGATTGAAGAGGCCACGAAGTTTATGGGTCTCAAGAGCAAGTCGGGGAAGGGAGCACGTCAGAAGGGACCGATGGCTTTTTCGTCGAACGTACTGAGCATCGAGATCAGTGGCCCTGACCGACTGCCCATCACTATCGTGGATCTTCCAGGTTTGATTCACACCGAGACTGCGGAGCAGACCGAAGAAGACAAGGAATTGATCCATGCACTTGTGAACAAGTATCTCGGARAGGAGCGTACCATTGCACTGGCCGTTGTGTCAGCCAACACCGATCTCGCGAGCAACGAGATTCTCTCAAAGTGTCGCAAAGTAGATCCAGAGGGCCACCGTACTCTTGGAATCATCACTAAGATGGACTGCTTGCCGCCCGGTTGCAAGAGGGAGAAGACCTGGCTCGACAACTCGCGAAACCTCAACATCAAGCTGAAATTGGGCTGGCATTTGCTGAAGAATCGGTACGGACAGACTTCTTCATCTCTGTGGTGTAGCACCCATGCTAATTTCTGATAGATCGGATGAAGACCATCATCAAGATTTCGCGCAGCGAAACACTTCAGAAGCGGAATTCTTCGACAAGGGCTCATACAGAGACATCCGCACCAAGAACAAAGGTATCGGATCTTTACGCACGCGCATCGCCGACCTTCTCTACGAAGATGGTAAGGAGAAGCTACCTAAAATCCGCGAAGAGGCCGTCAAGAAACTCGAAAAGGTCAACGCAAGCATCAGAGCTCTGGGCGAAAAGCGTTCGACTTTAAGTGAGCAGAGAAGTCTGCTCATGAGCATCGCCATTGATTATCACAACATCGTGAGCAATGCTGTCGAAGGTCACTACGAGCATCCTTTCTTCACATCTCGTCCGGCAGACACTGCAAATACCCAGGGCAAGTTCCTCCGTGGAGCTGCAGAGAATCTACAGGGGCAGTTCACCAGGCAGATGCTCATGTATGGTCACAAGTATCACATCCCAATGACCAAGCAGGCAGCTGGGACGGACATTGAGGAGATCTCGGGACTTAATGTTGACAAATTTCACGAAAAAGCAAAGCGCTACCAGACCATCAAAACCCGCGAGAATGCCGTGCACTGGGTGCAGGAGCTACACAACACGACCCAAGGCCGCGAGCTGCCGGGCACATTCAACTCGACGCTCGTGACGCACTTGTTCCACGAGCAGTCTGAGAACTGGGAGAAGCTGGCCTGGGAGCATGTCGACAACGTCGCGGCGCGCTGCACTTCCTTGGTGGGTCACGCGGTCCGCCACATTGCACCGCTTGAGATTGCGAAGAACATCAACGAGCGAATTGATGGCATTTTGGACCGGAGGATCGACAACGCGGAGCTGGAACTGGAGAAATTGCTCGAGGACAGAATCGGTCCCGTTGCCATCTACGAACCCTCTTTTGCCATGGATGTTCAGAAGTTGACCGACCACGAACACATCACCAGAACGGCCGAGCTGACTGCCCAGGTCCAGGCGAATCATCTTGCTTATCCTCACGGAGATCACATGAAGGCCTCGCAAGTTCTTCCCGCCACCAAGATTCATGATAGCAACCGCATGACGGCTGAAAAGGCTTTGGACAATCTGATCGCGCTCTATTTGGTAATGTATCGCCTTTCCAGCTCGAGATGTATTTGCTAACTGTCACACAGAGCAAGGTCAAGATATTCGCTGCCAACGTCACTCAGCAGGTCATTGAGCGCAACCTCCTCAAGGGCCTCGCCGACGAGACCTTCTCAGCCGCCATCGTGCACGAGTTGAGCGATGAGGACATCTCCGACCYGGCTGCTGAAACGGGCCACGTTACACGCGAGAGAGAGCATTTGGAGAATCAGAAGGAGATTCTGGAGAAGAGTCGCAAGGCCTTCAACAAGGTTCTCAACCCACGCACGCGCGACTACGACGAGAATTACCAGAACGCTATGGTCGGCGGCTCCAAACGTCTGAGACGTCGTGCGCTGGGATGAAACTTTGGCTGTCTTGGCTTCCAAGCAGTGCAACAGTGATGTGCTCACACACAGGCGATGCAGAGTATCCGGCTAGTGTCAGGAGCTCAATCGGGGCTATGGTGTAGGCTGGAGACCTCCAGGCATACCCCCATCCCAACCGGGCTTGGCACACCGCTTGGTCCTATCCAGACTGCGAAAGGGTACCTAGGTCCTAGGTCCTAGACTCCTAGATAGCTTGTGAAGGCTACTCCTGGGTAAGCCGCGAAGAGGTTTAAAGCTTCAATACTGGGTAGGCCGCGAGTTGGTTTGAAGCTTCAATACAGTCTTTAGGTCATCAAACTTGGCACGTCAGGATAAAGCTTGTTGTTCATCATGGCTCACAAGGATCGCCTGACGAGAAGCAAAGTATGACGCTTCCAACTTCCTTCCCAGCGAATTGGCTTAACGAACATCTCAAGCACAGAAGCATAGTTATCTCATCCATCTGATCTCATACCTCTCGTGATACATGACCGTAATTCATCGAAGTTCACGACCTTCAGCCGGAACCGAAATCGAAGCCGACGCAACAACACGGCTTATTAATCACGAAACGTAGGAATTCCCCATCAATGATCCAAAGGTCTTGCCTTTTCTAAGCGCCTTCATCTCCATGGCCAATGCAGGGTTGATTCCCTTCTTCTTTAACTTTTTCAACTCCATTTCGCTCAGCTCACTCGTATCGTATTCTGATGCCACGAAATTTCCATCCGAGTCGTATGTTACCGAAGCTGCGCCGCTATCCGAGCTCTTGTTGCTACCGGCAGCTGATACACTTCTTGAGCTTGATCGCTCAATCGTTTGCTCGACCGTTGTTACTTTGAGGATACTTTTAGGTATGAACGGCAACTTCGTGCTTCCGGTTGTACTGGTACTGCTACTTCTATCCGAAGGCGGAGGCCTGGTTGATGAGTTACTACTTCTTGAAGTCGTGGATGGTCCTGTCGTTGATGTGCTGCCATTTCTTGAAGAAGATCCTGATCTTCTCGCCGTTGTCATGTTGCCTTCTCTGCTTGATACGTTGGAGCGCCGTGGTGACAGCGTAAAGAATAGACTACTATCTTTTTCTGGCTGCGGTGAATCCGGCGGTATAGGCAACGTCGGATTGGAATAGCCGACCCGCTCCAGGGATTGTGGTATGTGACTCGCGGATCGGGCTATATCGCGCGTGCCGGTGCCTCTATTACTCGTGTATCTCTGATCCTTGAGACCCAGCCGCTGGGGTCGCATTCGGGAGTCGTACCCTCGCTCATCGACATCGACCTCATCAAAGCTCGGCTCGGTTGGGAGAGGGTCGAAATACGAAGGTTCTGATGGCAATGGTTCTGTTGGCAACGGCACATCTTCGTCTTCTCGTTCCGAAACGACGCTGAGGGTATCAAAAGCCTTGTGTGCTGCCTGTCCTTCGGAGGCTCGCCGCGGCCTGCTGAAGTTTGATAAAGTCATCTGCACTGCCACCTAGTCGTTTTGCGTGCGTCTGTGTGGTTCTCCTGGCAGCCTTGGTGGGTGATATCGCGTGATGGTCGTAGCAGCGTGTCTGTAGCTGTGCTCAACATGGTCAAGGAAGAAGGCCAGCCTGATGAGATGAAGTCGCTCCGGCCTCTYCCAACCCACGTTTCCAACGCCCTCCAAGCGAACCATGCAGGGCAATTTCTGGCATTGAACTTCTATCGCCGCTCCCCACGGGCGGACCCGTTGACCGTGGCGAAGCCATCCAGTCACGTCACCAAGGACCGTCGGTAAGTCACTGGGCTCGTCTGTAGGTGACCCAAAAAGTGGCACACCAGACGCGTCGCGAATGTTGTTTGGGTTACGATCGGCAAGAGGTGTGGTCGGAAACATTTCACGCCAGCCGCGATCCTGCGGGGCACGCAGATCCCTAGGCATCAAATTTGATAAGGTATCGATGGAAGATGCAGGTCATGATCTCTTGCATGCTTGATGATCCATTCTGAGCTTGTCGGACAAATTACAACCAGCCTGACCCGCAGGGCGGCAGAGGGTCCAGCGTACGATCAGTAAACATTGCAAGCTAGGGACAACGCTGTTCTCTCCGTATTCCGGAGCAGGCATGCTTAATGGCAGCTGCTGGAAAGGGAAAGGACGGATCATGAGCCTCTTCTGGTCTCCTGTCAGAACTATACTTCACTACTTCCACGCATCTCGGACGTAAGACGGGCTGAGCTACTGTCTACGCACTAACCAACGCCCTGACAGCCATATCCTACACCCATCATGCATGCTGGCAATACCGGCCTTTGAGCGGAGAATCTCCGCCCAGCGGACACCGCCAAGCTCGTCGAAGGACCTTGCTAATAGCGCACTCGGCAAAATATCTGCAACGGATCGAGGACCCAGGATAGAGGAACAAGGATAGAGGCCCAAGTGGCAGCCAAGAAGTAAGGAGTGCGGAGGGGGTGGTGCAGAGTGGACGATTCGAAGCATGTGTGAATTGCTGAGCAATAGCCAGACCTCTTCTTGCTTCAGAATCTATACCATCGCCGCGGTCTTTCATAAGTGGAGCGTCGTCCAATAAATATGTACACTCGAAGATTATGATACGCCGTCGTAAGTCCTTGTTTGAGAACGTCTCAGTCGTTAAAAGTCGCCGTCAAATGCATTCATTCCATGTCGACGTATCTCGTCGCCATCCGCCCACAAACGCCAGTATATCGCCCCGCTAAGCTCTAGATAGCCCCTTGGGCTGCAATAATCGCTAGACTCTGGAACCGCCAGAGAAACAGGCCTTGCCTGCTTGGTGAAAGACCGCTTTGTCTTTCTTACGCCGGAAAATGCAAGGCAGTAGCTGAAAATGGTCGTGGAATGTAGATTATCAGAACTTCCGATTCCACAAATGTCATTGTTCTTCCTTGAGACCTCCGTGGCTTTTCTTCCTCCCGACTTTACTGAGCCGGCCGAGCTTCTTCCACATGCCGGAGTCTCGTTTTGGACTGTTCGCATCGCTCGCATGTGGGCTGACGGGCGGCGTCATAGGGCTGTCATGCGCAGGGCTACTGGTACTGCCGCTGTCGTCTGTCATGCCTCGATCTCCCGAAGAGCCAGCACCAGCGTTATCGGAACCATCGCCGATTGATTCGTCTATTGTAGAATTCGACCACAGACCGGAAGGCGCGGAAGTAGTCGGCGACAGCTTCGTGCTGAACCTGGACCTGTGCGTGGGAGCTACGAGAGGAACAGGTGCCGACTTCCTCGAGGGCGCCGAGTTGCTATACGAGTGCTGGAGCTGTGGCGAGTTTGTGCTTTGTCGAGGTCTTCGGCCGTAGAATGAGCGATCATCCGGTGTCCTCGAAGATAGGCTTTCTGAAGATCCATTGCCGGGCCACGTAGATAACGTGCCAGCGTGCGCGCTCTGTGGATATACGCTGTTGAGAAAGGGAACCAAGACCGATTCCTCCATGAGCTCGTAAATTTTTGCAACTGCGGGATCAAGCGCCTCTGGCGTTGGGGGATGTGAGGTGGGCTTGAGGCTGAGGATCGGATCTCGCACAGATGATGGCAGGTTGACCTCACGGGACCCATTGGGCTCAATGTAAGCCTCGACTAAACGTTGCCACAAAGCTCGAACATAGTCTTGATCTTTTTCAGCGGGTAATGCGCCTTCTGCCACCCTTGCCATCATTTTCGCATAGTGCTTCTTGTACCGGCCGGCGTCCATGGTGAACTCGAGCGTCTCGAGACAGTGGTTATTTGACAGATATGCCATGAATGCAGCCAAGGTCCATGGCGGCGGTGATGTGTTGGCGAGGATTTCTCTCAAGTTCGGTCTCCGCGCCGAGTAGACACCGTGGGTACCCATGTTACTCGGAATGGCAACTGATAAAGGCCGTGGAGGATATGCGTCCTCGCCAGACATGGCGTCCTCTGAATCCGCGTCTCCTTCTACAATTATAGATCCCGTTTTCTGTGTTGAGCTGGCCGATGATGAGGTAGACGACGATGTGAACAAAGATGGCGATTTCCGTAGAATCATAACGGTCCGGCGCAGGCTTTTTTGTTTAGGGGCCGGTTCAGACGTGCAGGACAGACACTGCAAGGGCGATATGGACGCCAGTTTGACGGCTTGCGTGCCTTGGGCAGAATTGCCGTGAAATTGTATGACCAGGGCCGAATAGCCTCTGAGACTTGTATTCGCTGCAATGCCACTGTCCCACTTTTCATGCAGGTCCACCGCTCGGCCGATGGTGTTGTCTCTCGGACGGGCGTGCCGCGTTACACGAAGGCGTTGTGGCACAACACTGTGCGCACTCGCTGTCTCGACGGTCTGACCGTCGCGCTGGGCAAACGACAAAGACAGCGTGACCGAGGGGAGCGGGGAAAGCAATGAAGGAGTGACCAAAGATGTGTGCAGGGCTGATTGATTGCCAGCGTCGCGGGTGTCTGCTTCCCAGAGACGTTGGACAAGACTTCCAATCGGCCGTGCAGAATAGCAGATGCTGTGCGTGTTGCTGGGCGCGCGAGGAATGCAGCGTCCCGCGAGTCGAACGTTGGGGATCGCGTCCGCCTTCCCCCTTCACGACTCAAGTGTCTTGCTGTTTCGAAACGTTGCCGTGGTCCAGTCGCCCAGGTGTAGCGGATAAGATGGTCCGGCAGGGCTATTGCGTCAAGCAGGAACACGCAGTGTGTGGAGCTTTGTATGGCGGGTGGAAGAGCTGGCGGTGTGGCACGGAGGGGGTGGTGTGCGGTGTCCCTGCGACAGTGACAGCGACGGTCGTCGAGATGTGATCACCCAGCGTAGAGTGCGTGAGCGGGTGCGAAGAAAGAGACTCAAACCTTCTCCCGCCCTTCCATGGTCCTTCTGTCAAAGCCACCCTGCTGCTGATTGGGTTCCGCTCTCAGACGAAACTCACCTAAATGACACTAGGCCCGATCGAGTCGCGCCGCCTCCACCCACACTGCGCCAGCGGTGAAACTACTGGACGGCGGTGCTGCTTCTTTGCTTCGAGAACAAGTCCTTTTTCCAATCGTTGTCCCACAGCGTCACCTTCTCGTGCCCGCACGCCTGCCAATCTTCCGCCCGTCTCGCTTTGTCAAAATCCTTTGTCCACGCCGCGTCATTGGCGACCAGCGCACCTTGCAGCCGGCAGAATCTATGGGCGATTATCGACGATCTGTGGGAAGAAAGAGGGGAGGCAGCCCCGGCTTAGCTCCTACTGTAGCGTCGCTACCAAGGACCCAGCACAGCAGGGCCCAGCTGCGAGTTCCGCTTCCCGTTGCGCAACAGGACGACGTGTGAGCCTGCTGACGTATCTCGCAATGGCACCATTGCAAGCTCACTCTCAATGCGTCCGGCACACTTGGAAGCTTGGGGTTTCGTCGGTTTTCCAAACGTGGGCCCGACAAGAGTCATCATCGTGATGGTGAGCAAGAAGCGCCGCGGCGATCTGATCCTTGTCTGACCTTGTCTTCAGCGCTAGAAAGACTTGATGCTTCTCGAAGCATGGAACCATTCCTTCGCCGAGCCGAGAATCCGATCTCGGTCAAAACGTTAGTGCATGCACAACACGCTCGGTCTTTTACTCGGCCCATGCTCGGCGTACATCTTCTGAGTCGATGTCGTGCAAGCCAACCCAACGGCGGGCTCAATTAACAGAGTAGAGACTTCACTTTTCGTCAAGTCCACGGAGGACGCACTGGTACTGTAGGGAATACAAGAATGATCGGTTCGCCTTCTCGTTATCTCGAACTGGAAGGCCCACAACAACACCCCATCGTCCCCGAGCACACGCAACGAGTTCGCCACGGACCTACCTGTGGTCGGCCATGCGAGGACAACGAGATGTCGGGTGTATCGAGAACCACTTTTTCTTTTCTGTGCCTCTCACTTCCAGGCTTCACCCCAATCATCGTCGTCATCTTCGGCCGGTACCTGCTTGGGCTCCGCTGGTCTCTGTGCTTTCACGGCGCTGTTCGCCTTCACCACTGTGGGTCTGATTGCGGGCTTCGAAGCAACGTTCTTCTTTGCAAGTCCTTTGGGCAATGGCTTTTTACTACTGGACTTGGCCTTCGCCTGCGCATTTAGCCATCCCTCAAAGTCCGGCTCGCCACCATCATCATAGCTGATAGTCGCCATTTCAGGCCTCGAAGATATTGACGAAGGCTCAGCCCAGGGATCCGCTGGGTCATCAATCATCTCGCCCCAGCCATCACCGAAATCTTCATCTTCGGCAGGTGGTGTTGCCATTGATGTCCGCAAACTTGATGATACTTTTGGCACGACAGGAGCTGACGCGGTGTGATGTAAGGTCGGGGTGGGCTGTAACGTGATACCATGCGCTGCTAATGGCACATTCGCTGCAGGAGGCCGCGGACTGGTCCCGTCTGGCTGGATTTCCCCAGCGACTGTGCTGATTTTGTTTGTGAATGAGGAGATGGCCCAGCCCATCCATTGGCTTCCCGGTTGGTTGCCCGGCTGTGGTGTGCTCATCCTCGTGCCACCAGCTGATACCGTCTCTGGTGGTGGTAGCACGGTATCGGGTAGCGTCGTACTGTACTTGCGTACACGGTCGAGGTAGATGTTTAGTGTTTTGTTGGCCTGATCACGGATAAGCTTCTCCTTGTCCACCAAGGAAGGGCAGATCGCTGGAAGCATCTTCGTTGCACAGTCATCTTCACTGAAAACATCGGCTGTGGCCGCCAATGCCATCAGTGCAGCGTTTCGGGCATGTAGGAAAGGGTCTCGTAATGCGCGCGAAAAGGCGGCACTGAGGACTTTCGCCCGAGAGTTTGCACCTAGGTTTTTGGCTATCTTGCCCAAACAAATGGTGGTGTTGGTCCGAATCCCTGGCTGCTCGTCATTGGCTGTTTTTGCAAGGTGTCGAAGCAACTCGCCGTTAACTACACGGTCAGAGAGTTTGGATACTACAACAAGCACAGCTTTGACAGTCTGCTCGCGGACAATGGGAGCCAAATCGCCAAAGCCCGTCACCATCTGCGGGAAGATTTTGTCGCTGACGATCTTTTGGCTGAGATGATCAATCATCAAGGGCAAATTGTCCAAAAGGCAGACACGCAAGGCTCGGTCCGGGCTTGCGAACAGTCGAACAACCACTGGGGTGATCTGTACATCATATTCATCTTCAGAGAGCTTTTGAGCAATTCGCATCACCAAGGCGAAGGACTTTGGCCCACCGCCGCCGAACTCGACAGATTTGAGAAGCTCGGGAAGGACCTTTACCTTGAAAAAGTCTTCAGGAAATTCGTCCGATTCTACAATCGCCCCGAGTTCACTGTCTAGATGTCAGCTTGGCGAGACATGAATGCGTGACCTATGCTGACATACTTCAAGAACTGATCTTTCTCAGATTCGGTTTTCAGGCCCATGTTGTCAATGTTGTCGGTAAGTTGGATCAGAGGTGTATCAAAGAAGCCACCTGACCGAACACCCTGCTCGAGGAAATGAGCCAAGCTGAGGCGCATCTTCGGTGCGGCATGTGTCAATCGCTTGTAACTGCTCTGCATATCGCCGGGGATGCCTTTTGTAGACCCGATCTGGTCTGTACCAGAGAAGCCAGCGTTGAATACCTCGGATATCAGGATGCCGTAGCTGTATGCATCGACTGCGTGAGTGGGATTCCGTCTCACATTGTCCCATCCACTCTTTACAACTTCGGGGGGAGAGTATCGTCCGATGTCAGGGACCAGACTGCCTTGCGTGAAGATGACAGCGTCATCTTCCTTCATGGAGCTCAAGATGTCTAGTCCGCCAATCTTCCATTCCCCGCTTTCGCTGGTGAAAATGGACGAGGCACGAATGCTGCCATGCACCGACGCTGCCTCATCGTTGATGAACTTAAGAGTCTTCGCCACGTTGTGGAGTCCCCATTTCAAGCTCTCTTCGGCAAGTGCTTTCCGTCTTGTGGCCCAGTTCAGCGGTGTTATCCTCTCAGTGGCGATGTAAATAAGCTGGTCTGTCTACCTTGTCGTCGGATAAGCTTCTGATATTGCCCAAGACCCCTGCTATTCAGCCACCCACCTCAAGTGTGTCCAGGACTTTGACTATGCCGGGATGTCGTAGTGTCTTGAACTTTCTCAATGCGTTCTTCGCAAGCGGTAGGCGGGGCCTATTGGCGTTGATGTCGAAGGAGAATATGCTGCATTTGGAGCCGTCTTCCTGTACGCAGTCAGCGACGATATTCGTGCTGTGAGAACTGCATCTACGCCTGTCAGAGCCATACTCTTTTGGTGCCGTTATGCAGTGTCCATATAGATTGATCGATGTCCACGCGCTCGCCGAAAGAGTAGCCAAATGCAGGCCCTTTTGCTATGGAGGCCACTGCCTGCTTGAGGAAGTCCATGACTGTGAGGTGTCCACAATCGTAGCAAGGAAACAATCCAAGTCCTACGACGTCCGAGAGGAGATGGCGAGAATAGCAGTGCTCTGCAGCATGTGTTGGGAAAGCAACGTTGTTCGTGAGGATCGACCTCGAAATTCCCCGCGTCCCTTCCACGCTAGCGACACGTCGAACCCGGCTCCTCCTTCAAATCAATCATCACTCCACTTCTTCACAACATCTCCGTCAAGCATCGACCAACACGCGCAAGCTTGAATCATCACTTGATACTGTCGAAGATCCATWCACTTGCCGTCACATCTGATTGTTGGCTTTGAAAGCAACCGCGGAAGAACATTGGATCTGCTTTGCGGCTTTCACTTTCGCAGCAGAGAAGGATTTCACTCGATGCATCTCCACCCAAAATACCGCAAGAGTGCGGCATAGAAAAGGAGAAGGGAACTTGACAATCATTCACTTGGGCACGAAGAAGCGTGAACAGCGGCAAGGTGAATCATCAAGCCCGCGTGCTACGAACACGGCAAGTTACCCAACATCCCCAGAACCCTATGAGACTCATCTCGCAATGCTGTGATGATCAACTGGTAAAAGGTCCGATGGAATTGCCGACGGTCGCAGCAGTAAACTGCATGCAKCCTCGGAGATCCAGCTGATGACTTGCATAAAAACTGAAAAGACCTGAGCATTTGCAATTAGATTGCCCATCCTGGCGTGATGTTTTGGTTGCCAAGAAAATTGCTAATGCCGCGCAGACAATGTCACGTCGCGGTTTACAGGCGTCTCCACCGCCGCGTCCCCCTGGGCGGGTGTACGATAGCTATCGCCCTGCACGGCTAGACCCACCTCTACCTCCTCGGCGCTATGAGAGTTATCGAACAGAACGCTCAATATCGCCATCTCGTCGTCTACGCGATACTTTCAGACGAGAGTCTCGCGACGACTTCCACGGTGCACGAGAGCCTCTCGAGTCAGTAAATCGCTGCGGGGATGTCCACCACGGCCAAACGGTCCGTCAGACCCCAAACAATCGAGATAATTACGCGCGCAAATTCTCCTCTGCAGCTTCGCACATTGATGAGAGAAGACCCGAGCAGCATAGGCCACCAACCCAACGTCAACAAAGCATTGCCCTGCAGAGCCAACCGCCGACGAGCCAACCAGCTCGCTTCTCAAACATGACATGGGTAAAGCCAGCATCGCAGGCGCCGCAAACAGTAACGGCGCCATCGCCTGGCCAGCCTAAAAACGGCGGCCATGCGGGCCCAACCCACACAGGTAGGTCAGATGCTGGCACTGCTGCCATCAAGCAACGTGAAAGCAGACAAGACGATGAGCCAACAGGCTCTGCCCCGGACAATGTCAGCTACAGTATTAGAGGCGCTGCTGCTGCCAGCTCCAGTAAGCTTGCCACGCTTCAAGGCGCGGGGCCGAACGGATTTACCATCCGAGGTATTGCATCGGCATCATCGCCTGGCCTCAAGGCAAACTCTCCTTCTGTTGAGGTATCATGTGATGAGATACCGCAAGTCCACCGCACTGACGTTGTAGCCTCTCCGCTTGTTCCCGGCGCAGATTGCTCTTCAAGCAATGACCTCATCACGGCAAACAAGCTACAGCATCTCTCTGGTAGCATTTATAAGCAAGATAAAGACAATGCCGCATCCTCCGTTAGCGGACGGACCGGGTCAGATGTCTCATGTTCGAAGGGTCTTAAATGCCACGTTTGCAAAGTTCGAACTGGCTCTCTTGTTAAGTGTTCGACGTGTGATCGTCGATACCACAGACACTGTCACGATGATCTGCCAGACCCATGCAGTCGATGCAAGCGGGTAATGGTGGCTCTTAAACGAAGCACCACTCCAGCTTCAAGTCCCGTCCCCGGGAAATCTGCTCAGAAGAAGCAGCGACCGTCAGACCCCAGTGCAAATCAATTGGGTGGGACCGTCGACAAGCCTTCCGGCATAGAAGAGCAAGATTCCAACGATCGCTCTACCCCTTCGAGCACTGCGCTGCGGAAGAGTACTGTAGGCCGCGATTCAACGAGTGTCTGGAACGATCGACTGGACCCCATCGACCATCTCGATGAGGCTCACATGCTTGTTGACGAAAGCTTTGCGACCGCGTCTGGGAAGGCCACTCCAAAGCCAGCTGGGACGCTGAAGATCGTCAAACATAAGATCTCGGTTCCCGGTCTCGAGCACCAGAACCAGCGCCATGATGTTGCGGGGTCTGTTCCAGCCGCCGAACATACTAAAATGAATGCCGTTTCAGCGCCTGGACCCCCGATAGACAATCCCCATACTCGCTTAGGAGTAGTCGGACAGAAGTTGCAGAACGATGCAAAGGCGGAGGACGCACGAGCCAAAGTTTCGGCCTCGCCTTTCAATGACTTTCGATCCGCAGGAGGCAAGAAAGCAAAGAAGACGCCATTGCCCAAAACAAGCAAGTGCACTGCTTGCAACCAGCATTCGGTTCCTTTCAATCCACTTGGTAGGACAATCTGTCAGAAATGCAAGGACGCAGAGACAAAGATGCTTGAACCTTCGGAGCCAACAGTTGCGGCGCCGCCATGCTCACCTATGCTAGGGCACGATCATGTAGAAAATGACCCTGATGTAGCTGGCGATGTCGAAGCTGTCCTGCCGCATGATAAGCAAGTCCGGGATGCCACAGCAGGTGGGGCTAATGGTCATGCAGGAGAGACAGTTCGCCCAGACTCAGCAGTACAAGCAGGTGTTGCGCCCACGGAAGTTGCTCCAAACAACATAATGCCGAGAGGCTCGCCGGTTGGRGGAAAAGTGCCCGTCGCGGAACCCCCGACTGCTGAGCCGCAGCCAGGGGCAGAGGGAGATCAAGAGCCTTCAGCGAACGAGAAGGGGTCCTCGGACAGTACGGATGAGGAAGACGTGCCGCTTTCAACCTTGTCATTAAAACGTGCCTTGAATCCCAAGCTATCCCCTGCTGCTGCAAAGAGAACTAGGACTCGTCAGACCCGACCAGCGAGAGGACCATACGACCTTGGAGACTCCTTCGAGCGTCCCGCGAATACTTATCGACGTCTCATCCAGCTTGCGATCTCAGATACTCCTGATGGCCGGCTAAGGGCTGCTGAGGTCACGAAGTGGATTAGCAGCAACGTCCCTGGCTATAAACTCGGGCAGGGAAGCTGGGCTAATGCTATAATGGCGACTATGATATTTGRAGCAGACAACATCAGCAAAAAGCACGGAGCGCCGTATCTCAAGCGGTGCGGACCTGGTGGCGGTATGGATTGGTACGAACTGTTGCCCGAATTGAAGGAAAAGGTGGAACGCTGGGACGCTGCGCTATCCCGGCCAATTCTAAGACCCGTGAGGGAAGTAGAAGAGACGACCACAAAACCTTGTGAAGCATCTACAGTTGAGGTGGAGCCTCTAACGCGATCTGCACACAAATCAGCGCAATCGCCGCGGTCGACTGGCCAAGTCAAGACAATCGCACATACCAGAAAACAGAGCGACAAGTGGCCCGCCCAGAAAAGCCCTCCACATGAGCTGATGGAGGTTGATAGCGAACTTGTTGTCGATCAAGCTTCATCGCCCGAACAACCCTTGGCACAAGTGGCTGCGAAAAGACAAGCTGTGACCGAGCTGGTCGACATCTCTGATGTTTCCATGGAGGGATTGAATCAAACATCTCCAGTTGCAAACGGAGCAGGAATTGTCGACACGCTCGCCGGGACAACGCCAATAAGGGAACGGGCACCCATGGACGGGAGATTTGTTCAGACTTTYGCAACCACCAAGAAAGCTTCTCGATCCATACACGATATGACCTTGGAGCAAGTTCTCGCCTGCCGTCCACCGGCTGTGTACACAGAGCTCTACAAAGCCTGGCCATCACTTGATCCCCCCAAAACGGAATTTGACTACGAAGCAAAGATGGCGGAGATTAGAGCTCGTCCCGGACGAAAAGAGCGGTTTGGCCAGAAGAGACCAGTTGATGCTGAGAAGGTCTTGTCTGTTGTCGGTCCATCGGAAGAGCCACCCTGRCCACCGATCGATAACTCTTTCGGGCTCACCCAGGCTCAATTCGGTGACGAGCAGGGCCTTGAGCATTGCGAGACTTGGGATGAGTTCTTCGGGACGACTGAGCAGGTCAAGCCGTGTATTGTGGAGGGCAAGTTGGCGTACCGTCCAGTCGGGGAGAAGTCGAGGGCAGTTTTCAAGACATCGATCTGAGCAAGCCTCTGCACTACAGCGGTGCGAAAGGGAAGGCGGTGTGTGTGTGCGAGCGTATGGAACGTAGATAAACCGACCCCGGAATTACAGAGGATGTGACGGGAGTCTGCTGCAAGAAGGCTAGCGGCCCATCGATAGATCGTGTACGGAGTATACAACAACATTGTATGATAGTGTAAATAGATATACTTGCTCAAGCAATGACAAGTTGATGATCACTTTGAAGTAATTGTTGCGACATTAACCCTGTTAATCTCTGTGTTTGAAAGAATGAGCTTTCTTCTTGTTCTCCGTCAATCACGGTACAATCTTCACATGTCTCAAGCTCGTTAAGTCACTTCACGTTCACGGCAGCTCCCCGAAGCCTTTCTTTCACAAGCGCGATTCTGGATCTGTGGATGWTCGCCGGTCAAACCTTAATGACAACTTCCTGACCTACTTGAAGCTCAGCTCCCTTCTGTGCACAATTACATCCACATCACCTCCAACATTGCACATCCACGGACTATCTCCTTCCAAATACATCGGACTCGACTCGATTTGTCACTGCACCGAACTAACCAGGTACATAGCCACTCCTTCTCTCCGCTTTCGCGCCATGCCCGCAGACCTAACGCGCGCGCCCAGAACTACCGATACTACAACATCTCCGGCCTCATCCACAACCATGGCTTCCACCTCTCCAAAGCGTGAGGATGTCGAGGCTTCCGATCGCGACCTCGACCGCATGCCCGAAGACAATGAGGACGTCAATGCCGACGAGGAAGAGATCGCGGCGATGAAGAAGCGCGTCGAGGAAATGGAGGCCGAAGCCGCGAAGCTCCGCGAAATGCAAGCTTCCATCGATTCGCAAGCCAACGACTTGCGCGAGAACAAGGAGGACATTGATGCGCGCAGCATCTTTGTCGGCAACGTGGATTATGGCGCATCGCCTGAGGAGATTCAGAGTCACTTCCAGAGCTGTGGGAGCATCAACCGCGTGACGATTCTGTTGGACAAGTTCACGGGCCATCCCAAGGGATACGCGTATGTGGAGTTCTCGGAGCCGAACTTGGTGACGCCGGCGTTGGTGTTGAATGATAGCCAGTTTCGGGGTCGGAGTATCAAGGTACGTTCTAGAAGATGCGGATAGAAAAAATCGGAGCTGACTGGTCGATATACAGGTTGTGCCGAAGCGAACGAACTTGCCAGGCATGAACCGGGGTGGTCGAGGCGGTGGACGCGGAGGTCCAAGAGGTGGTCGTGGAGGTGGAGGTGGCTTCGGCGGAGGTTATGGCGCGCCGCCTCCATACATGGGAGGTGGAGGACGTGGAGGTGGTTACGGGCCCCCACCATTCGCTCCTCGCGGAGGATACCGTGGTGGATACCGTGGTCGTGGCGGAGGCGGCCGTGGGTACAATCCTTACTGAGTGAAGGCCTAAGCTTCTCACCATCAATATCATGGGAAATCAGCCGAGAGTCAGAAGGGACAACATCAAGGAGATCTTCAATGGACTGCGGTTGATACCCCGAACACCGGACGAAGCTGGACGCTCGGGCAGGAAGGCGTTTGACGAGAACGATCGGAAAAGGTCAAGGAGAAGAGCGAGACTGTGGTGGATGCTTKATTTTGCGGTTTCGTGATTTTGATCCTGGAGAAAGAAGATTTCCCCTGTTCTAAAAAAAAAAGTCGAGTCCTTGGGCGCAAAGAAGAAAAGGAAAGAAAGAAGCCACAAAACAAATTGCCTGTCGATTGAAAGACTATGATGGAGTAAGAGCCATATCGCCCGCCCTCAGCCGCTGTCCATTGCCAGTCCAAGGCTTGATGATAGAAGAGGTTGTGGAATCCCCGTGAGGACGTCAGTTACGTGACGAAATTGAGCAAGAGAAGTGCTTGCTTGCTTGCTTGCTTGCTTGCGCGTGAACAAGATGATGATGGTCAATGCATACACACAAAAACTTGAGGCGAGCTAGATTTTTGGCATGCGGATGATGTGTGCAGTGCAAAAAAGTGAAGCTCGTGAAGAAGAGATGATTGAATGAATGGGAAGAGAACCGCCGAGTTGACTGATGATGGCAACGAATGAATCTACCTTATCTGTATGTATGTTATGTGCTAGAGAGGCGTACGAAGTGCCAAGGCTGAATGATATAGGTCCTGAAGTTTGGTCGCCCTGAATGCAAGCAGTCCACTTTAGGAAAACGTGGGCAATAATGACGACAGCACCATGGAGAAGAATCAAAGGTCGACTTCTTATCATGATGCTTGTAGCTTCCCCTTCCGCGAGTGTGGTAGTCGTCGATGTACGCACGACAAGGAAGCGCAAACATAAATATTCGTGTGCCTGGACCGTAAGGCGGCATGCATGTGAAGACGAGCAATGATGACTTGAATACCACGAGCAGAGAAGATTATGACCAGTCAGTCCAGTTGCAATACGTCCCCAAGGGTATCAATACACCATCCTCCATTCCTCATTCACTATTCTGTCATACGCAATGCAATCCCAGAAACAAAACCAAAAAAAAAACAATGGTACGTGCAACCCACACCCGCCCAACGCTTCAATTCCAAAAACCAAAAAGGCACATGACTCGCCTCGAGATGGAAAGAATTCTCAAAAGAAGTAATCAAGCGGTTCTCCCACCACTCCTACTCCGCACTAATTCCCTCACAGTCCCCGCCCGTTCTTCATACAATCGCCTCAAGTCATCAACGCTCGTCTGCCTAAGATTCACCGGCTTCTCTCCTTTCCGCGCTCCTGAATCCATGGAGGAGGAAGAAGACGTGACTTCCAAACTGCTCATTCGTTTCAATAATCCCGGACTCGCAGCTCTCACGCGTGGTATGCGAGGTGGTGGGACTTGCAATTCATTGCTTGTCGATGGACGAATCGCAGAAGCCGGCCATGAAGGTTTCCGGAAGGCTGCATCTGGTTCTGTGGAAAGAGGGGTAGAAAGGGATCTCTGAGGAGGCTGTGAAGGATTGTTAATCCTGCCAGGCGCGCAAGTAATGGTACCCGGCGATTTCGAGTCCGTCGGTGGGGTGTCAAGAGTGATGCGCTGTGCGAGGTTCGTGTTGGCTTGTTGGGCGGCCATGCGTGCAAGCATGGCGTTGGTTTGTGAGGGGGACGGCAATGGCTGCGCTGGGACTTGATGATCGTCTTGAGCGACGTTGTTGCTGTGGTCCTCTACGCCGCCCGATTGGTCGTCAATCTTACTGCTCTTGGGGCTAGATCCAGCGGCAATGATCTCGGACTCCGCCTTACTCTCGCCAGAAGCTCCACGTTCAACGGGCTTTCGCCTAAAACTATTCGCCTTCGCCAAGCCTTCCAGTGGCCGTCCTACCAACTTCTCCCGGCCCTTGCTGTCCCCCTCGTAGCTGTAGTCCGCTCGCCTGGGTGGTCCGAATCCGTTCGCAGGCGTCTGGCTATCCTCAACGCCGACATCGACCAGCTGTCCGCCATTATGGTCGAAAATGGAAGAGTACCGCGGAGGTTCCGCAGTCATGCTGGCGTCGTAGATGGGATGGTTCGGCACATCATCTCGCTTCTGCGACGACCCGCCACTCGGTATAACTTGTTCTGGGGCATTATGATGCGGTGCAAGCTTTCTCTTGGGAAGAGAGGGGACCCCGAGTGCGGCCTTAATAGAGGCCGCCCTAGACCGTCGCGGAGGCAGTGCCGGAGCCTTTTCTTCATTCGAAGATGCCGATCGGGAGCGAGCTGTGCTGCCATCAGAATCGTTCATGAATATTCTGTGTCGTTCTTCTTCTACCCCTGTCGGCCTTGGTCGTGCTTCTTCCAAAGGGTCCTCGCTGTCCCTGGTGTCAGTGGGCGGCAGGAGATCAATATCGAACGCCCGACTCTCAATTCCCATCCCAGCTCTCAGTTGTGGCCACATGTCAATCGCTGACTGAAGAATCTTCCTCACTGTGGTTGATATTCTCCCATCTTCCAATTGATTAGACCCGCAGATCAGGCACATGGAGAATAAAATTGCCAGGTTCTCCGACGTCATTTTGTTGCTGGCTGCACGGCTCGCCACGATGTTGAGAAGTGGCAGCAGATGTCTTGTCAGAATCTCCCTACTTGTCTGGCTGAGGGGCGAGGTCGAACTAGCTGGAAGGATGAGATCCACCAGATCTTCAGGCGTGATCTCGCCACTGTACTTTTCTCTCAACACAGCATAGCTCGACTCGGGAAAGATGGGAGAATAAAGCTCGMGGTACCAGAGTTTGACGAGCGAGGCAGCCAAGTGGACGCCATAGGCATCTTCCAATCGGACTTCGTCAACGAGATCGGGAGAGATTCCAGGCTGGCAAAGCGTCGCGCCTTTTTCTTTCCAGACGATGTATYGCTGCCCACGATCATATGCTTCCTTCAACACGTTGATCAGAACGGAGTGTGGTGGAATGCGGAACAGACCTTCTGTTCTGGTGTTGGCTGGCAGGAGAAGGAAGCTGGTCGCCTCCCGCAGCACTCGCGGCAGTCTTGTTGCGCCTGTGTCGAGATTTCTTGGTAGAGGATGTCTGACCCCAAACGCCCGCTTCCCTGTAGCATATGGGACGTAGATTTCTGGTGCAAGTTTTCTGTCGTGTAGGTATACGCTTGGCGGAATGAGAAGTTTCTCGATTGGGAGATGCAAAGCCAGTTGGGTCAAGGTGGTGGCATGGACGATCTTGCGGCGCACTTTAGGCGAGACTATCGTCCCGAAGATGTTTATCAACACCCTCACCCACGTTCGTGGATGCACAATGTATAGTCTTTGCAGCTTCTTCCTCGTCGCCCGGCTGAGCACATGATATGCCTGCAAGAACCAGCCCGGGGAGGGAGTCTGCTTTTTGGTATCGGAGGAAGAGGCGCTTTCTGGTGTGCCGCCGGCGAAGAAGACGATCTCGTACTCGGTGCCGGACAGCAGCTCATCCTCGCCTGGCAGCCGGGCCAGGACGTAGGCCAGCAGACTGTCGTAGTCGACGTCGAAGGTGTCGGGAAAGGCAGCGGCGTTGAGGATGTAAATGGGGCGGCCTTCGGGCGATGGATCCGGGGAAAGATAGAGGATTGATGCGGCACATGCGGCCAGTTCGGGAAGGAAGTCTTGGTCGTGCTCGTCCGGGACGACGGTGGAGAGGGAGGTGGAGCGGGTGCGAGGCCCGCGGAGGGAAGTGGCGGCGGAGGTGATGGCACTCCTCATCTTGTTGACATGCTCGTTGACGCTGACGCTGACATTGGTCGAGGTGGAGGACATGGCGGTGCAGTCAGGACCTTGGGTAGTCTGCCTGCCTGCCCTTTACATCATTCGCGAGCAGGGATCCGCGACACCATTCCTTGCTCGTGAGCTACACGCGGCGTTGCGTGGCTGGCCAACGTGTGTTATGTAAGTTGGGCGTGGGTGCTCAAACTTGGCAGATGAGAGGAGGATGAATTGAACAGGATTGGRTCGGAAATAGCAGCGTCAAGACCATCCAGAGTGGAACAGGGAGGCTTGATCCACGATGGATTGATTGAATGGGGATGTCGCTGATCGGCCCGCCAAAGACATGCCTCGAATAATGTTTTCTCACATGCACGAAACGAGGGCTCATCCCATCCAAGGTTGAAGGACCCTGCGGCTTGCCGGGCGATCCTCACATGGCGTCAACTGTCACCTAAACTTAGAGTCGCAGTAAATTATGGACGATTCCATGGAGCTTCTCTGAATCTCTTCATTACTCGGGTCATAACGTGCACCGAACGGCTGCTTGATTGTATCTTGGTCTGATCTCATACCAATGTATACAATTTTGGAATAGACTGGCTGGCACGGAAGTGAGACTTTCCACCGACATGTTGACCATGGCAACCATCCACGGGCAATATCTTATCATCATTTCCTCCCATCAATATCGCGCCCTAATTCCACGCCAATTTGATTGGGTCAACCAATACTTTACAGTAGCGTGAAAGCCACCACTAAGGTAAGGGACACGCGACGGTAGGTAAGCGACTTCGGCGAATTCGAAATTGTGACTCAAGCAGCCATTGACTACATATCGTCTCGCCGAGGACCAACCCCACTACTCTCTTGTCTATTCAACAACAGCAACAACCACAAACACCTCCCACCCCGTTGTCGTGCTTCCAGCAACATACCACATCCAACGCCGCAAGACCATCCGCTTCTGGTGAATCCAAAAATCCTCCAATCGTCCCCAATCGTCTTTCACATGCTGATCAGAATGCCCCGCCAGAAACACTCGTCCTCCGCCCACCATGTGTGGCATCTTCGCCTGCCACCACCATCCGGATGTGAAGACATTCCGCCCCACCGCTCTGCGTATGGGCAAGCAGGTCAAGCACCGTGGCCCCGATTGGAGCGGCAACCACACCTCGGACCAGACCATTCTTGTGCACGAGCGTTTGTCAATTGTCGGCATTGACACGGGCGCTCAGCCCATTCTCAACAAGGACGAGAGCATTGCCCTGGCCGTCAATGGCGAGATCTACAACCACAAGGTGGGTTAATGAGAAGGAAATGTTACATTGGACATGTCTGACCCCGTTCAAGATCCTGCGAAAGCAGTTGCCAACGCCATACCCATTCAAGACACACTCCGACTGCGAGGTCATCATTCCTCTTTATGAGCAATATGGCCTGGACGCTCCCAAGTACGTTCAAAAAAGGCATGTGCTGTGTGGGTCATGTAGCTAACGGGCAGTGTGTAGACACCTGGACGGCATGTTCAGCTGGGTTTTGCACGACAAGAAGCAGGATCGTCTCGTCGCTGCACGCGACCCGATCGGCATTACCACATTCTACATTGGCCGCTCATCGAGCACACCGGGCGCCGTATACTTTGCCAGTGAACTCAAGTGCCTGCACCCTGTTTGTGACACAATCGATGCCTTCCCACCAGGCCACGTCTACGACAGCAAGACTGACACTCTTACTCGCTACTTCACACCCAAGTGGCTGATGGAGCCCACCAACGTTCCTTCCACCCCGCTCGATCTCAAGCTCATTCGTGAAACTTTTGAGCGATCCGTTCGCAAGCGGCTAATGGCCGAGGTACCATATGGTGTGCTTCTTTCCGGAGGTCTGGACAGCTCTCTTGTCGCTGCAATTGCCCAGCGTGAGACAGTCCGCCTGCAGAAGGACTACGCCAAGCAACAAGCTCTGCTCTCTGGCACTGCCAGTCCCTCCCTCAATGGCGTCGCCGCCAACATCTCTCAGGAAGGTCCTCCAGCTGACGAGGAATTGGCCGGCATCGATGAGGAGTACCACCTCAACTCTGTCCCCGTTCTTTCCCAGCTCAACTCGTTCTCCATCGGTCTCCCCGGCTCTCCCGATGGCAAAGCCGCTCTCGAAGTCGCCCGCTACCTCGGAACCCGCCACCACTCATTCACCTTTACCATTCAAGAAGGTCTCGACGCCTTGTTCGATGTCATCTACCACCTTGAGACATTCGATGTCACCACCATTCGCGCTAGCACACCCATGTTCCTCCTCTCCCGCAAGATCAAAGCCATGGGCGTGAAGATGGTGCTTTCGGGCGAGGGCTCGGACGAGATCTTTGGTGGATACCTCTACTTTGGCAACGCACCCGACAAGAAGGCATTCCACGAGGAGACGGTACGGAGAGTCAAGAACTTGCATCTTGCGGATTGTCTGCGTGCCAACAAATCCACCTCTGCGTGGGGAGTGGAAGCGCGTGTGCCATTCCTCGACAAGGAGTTCCTCGAGACTTCCATGGCGATCGACCCACAGGAGAAGATGATCGTCAAGGGTGAGAGGATTGAGAAGTACATTCTTCGCAAAGCGTTCGATACCGAGGGCGAGCCAGGCGCAAAGCCATACCTGCCCAAGCACATTCTCTGGAGACAGAAGGAGCAGTTCAGCGATGGTGTGGGATACGGCTGGATCGACGGTCTCAAAGACGAGGCGAAGAAGATGGTTACCGATGAGCAGATGGTGGAAGCGACAATTCGAAAGGACAAGCCACACTGGGGTGACGATATTCCGGATTCAAAGGAGGCATACTGGTACAGGTGTATGTTCGATGAGCACTTCCCACCATATTGCGCAAGCACGGTCATGAGGTGGACACCGACGTGGAGCAAGCAAACGGACCCTAGTGGTCGGGCTATTGACAGTCACGAGGCTGCTTACAAGGAGTAAGTGGGCGGATGGGAAATTCGGCGGACGGAAAGGAAGACGCAGGGGCGATGCGAGGAAGAACATCATCATAATACTGGGTCACTAGATTCCAGTGGCGGGTCTGGAACGTCCGGGATAGATGATGGGATGTAGATGAATAGATGAATGGGCCGACAAATTCACATGTACTGCTACTGCTGGAATTGACCTTTGATGCGAGGAAGTATCGCCCACTGTTGTTACAATGAATCCATCTCGTGAGAAAGTTAACGTACATCGGATACCGCCAGCCACCGGCATCTCCAATTATCACCCAGACCACCGACCAAACCATGAATAATATCTCTCAGGTCAAAAAGTCACATCCGCCGGCCTCTCATACTCACTCATACTCGCCGCGATCAAACTTGCCGGAATCCCAAAACTTTCCCTGGACCATATTCCCCGCAAACTCCTCGCCATCCATACCCTTGACAGCCCTCAAAGCACTCAATTGAGACGTGAATCGAACAAACACCTCCTCATTTCCGCCCATGTGTGCCCTCCGAATGAACAATCGTTCGACTTTGCCAAACATCTCTCCCATGTGATCGCCAATCTCCTGCATGAGATTGTTGTCGGCGATTTCCAAATCGACGTCCAGACCTTTGAGCATGCCTTCCAGTTTGATGACTTCGGACATGTTGCCGTGAGGGGTGTCGTCGGTGGAGTCTGTCTTCTTCTTGTTGCCGCCGACGATCTTGCCCATGGCGGGCATGGGACCGGCTTTACTGCCAGGGACACGTTTACGTTTGTCGGCTTTCATGACGATGGCGGTTGTGATACCATCGTTACTCGCTCCCAGTCCCTGGCCCTTCTCCCAGCCCATCTTCTTGAGGAGACGTTCCGCGAAGCGTTCTTGGCCGGGGCGTCTGCTAGGCTCCTCGGCGTCGGCAGATGCAGGTTCCTCCTGAGTGGGAGCTTCAGGGGCTGGGGATTGTGTCTGCGTAGCAATTCGGGCGTCCATATGAGGTGCGACACCAGGGAAACCATAGTTATAAGTTGGCGCGCCGGAGATTGTGGGAGCAAATCCAGCACCTCTCACGGCCTCTTCACGGACAGGACCTCTACTATAGGGCATGCCTGTCGAAGATGTCGTGATACTTACTTCTGGAGATGGATCTCGCTCGGGATAGTCAGGCTGCTTAAGCACTGCTTGTAGCGCATCGAGGTCCTCCTGAGTGTAGCTCTGCGCTGGTGCAGCAGCTGGAACAAAAGTTTGCCTGGCAGCTGGCGACGGCGCTCGCTCGGATATCGGTGCAGGCGTGTGTGAGGTCGCTGGCGTGGCAGTCTTTGCGGCCATTTTGGCTTTCAGCGCTGCAATCTGTTGGGCTGCTTTGGCCCGCTTCTCTAGCTCCTCGGGTGTGACGGTCTTTTGCGCAACTGATAATGGTGGCGAAGGCGCGACCGGGCGAGCTGGAGCCTCTGAACTGAGAGCAAGACGGCGGGCGTAGGCCTCCTCGGCCGTTTCTTCTCTGTTCAGGTTGGCTACCGGTGGTGCAAAAGAGGCAGGTGGTGCGAAAGACGGCGTTGCAAAGGAGGGGCGCGACATGTCATCGCGGTCGCTATCATATTTACGATACGATGAGGAGCCAGACGACTGCGGCCGACCATCGTCTAACGAGCTGAGTTCGGGTGGCGGAGCAAACATGGCATTCGACATTGCGGGCGGAGCAAAGTCCTTGTTAGTCGGGCGGACTGTGCAGGTCAGCATCAAATCACACCTCGTGGTACATGGCAACACACCTTTGGCAGTCTGTCCCAATCGCAGCCTCTCCTTCTTGTTTGCAACGAACAGTCTCATCTTCCATCGTTCCTTTGACTGAAATGCAGCCTCGGACTTCGCATACTGAGCGATATTAACAGGCATGCTCGGATCGTAGATGTCATCGTACGACCACGTCTGCTGAGGCTGCGCGTTTTTGCTCTTCTTGTTGTTGTAGTTCTTCTTCGACTTTTTCGCATTGCGATCCTGCCGTGGTCGCTCGTAGTATCCAAACTCGTCGTCGTCGTTTGCCAGCMAGTCCTCAAACCCGCGCTTCTGCGACTTTGTCGAAGCCGGAACAGCGTCCGACGACCCTAGACCTCCAGACACGTCGCCCGTGGTGGTCGACGTGCTAGAGGAGAACTTGTGCATGGCGCTGAAGTTGGGCTTGGGCTTGGGCTTTGCAGTGTTGCCGGGTTTCTTGCCCAGGTTGGTTGGCCTGAACATCAGGGAGGCTTTGCGAGGCAAGTGAGCATTTTGCCATTTGATCCATACGATTATCGTGAAACGGTACCGTCTTTCTTCTTCTTGGCCGCATCCGCCGCCGCCGCGGCCTGGTCGTCGCGAGCCTTGATCTCCGCCCGCGCATCGTCGCTGATTAAATCCTCATATCTGAATAGCATGAGCATGTGTCTCGCATATTCGAGATGTGGGGAGAGACATGGCGGCTTCGAGACATGCTCTGTGCCTTCCACACCTCAAATGGACCTACAGCGACAGGCGTCCCTTCTTGGATGGTGGTGCTGCCATGACGATGAAGGGTGATTGCGAATACGATGGCCTGGTACTATGGGTTATGATGTTGACATAGCTCTGCGAAATCCAGCTCCCGGTATGGTGCAATGTAGCGATCAATGATGGTGATGCTGGTCGAATCGATGGACAGGACGTCGAAGTCGGCGCTCTAGAGTCTGTTCTGTGACATGTGAACGGCTCGCCCCGCTTCACTTTTACCAGGTAAGAACGACATCATCTTTGCATATTAAAGTAAAGCAGCATTGAACATCAACCACACCTCACCATCACCACACTGTAAATCGCCCGCCATGGACATTCGCGTACTACATCCATCGGACATCCCGCATGTCCAACAGACCAGCAAGTCGACGATTGCGAACAACGAGCGACCACGGGATCTAACATGGCAGCAGACATCACCAATCTACCCGAAAACTACTTTTGCAAATACTACATGTACCATGCCCTTAGCTGGCCTCAACTAAGCTACGTCGCTGTTGATGTGCGTGAGAAGTCCGTCTTCAAGAAATCGCTCCTCTAACGCAGAGTATGATATAGGTTTCGCGGCCGAAGAAGACACCCTACGATGCGCCCAAGGTGGTCGGCTACGTGCTGGCGAAGATGGAGGAAGATCCGGCCGACGGCGTTCAGCACGGCCACATCACATCCCTCAGCGTCATGCGGACACATCGGCGGTTAGGGCTGGCAGAGAAGCTCATGCGCCAGAGTCGTAAGATTTGGATCAGGTCGATGGGGAGTACATGAATCTGGGAGACTGACACCATTTCTTACCAGAAAGAGCCATGTATGAGACATACAACGCCGTCTACGTTTCGCTGCATGTGCGTGTGTCCAACGTGGCGGCATTGGCCCTATACCGCGATACCCTGGGGTTCAAGGTGATTGGCACCGAAGCCAAGTATTACGCGGACGGCGAGGACGCTTTCAGCATGCGTATGGATCTGGACTATCTACGACAAGAGGCGCTAGATGCGGATGAGTCGGACGGGGAAGAGGAGACGACCGTGGGGCAGGATGAAGGTGGAGAGGTGGGGAGTGCGGGCAAGGCAGGCGAGGGAGATGATGCGGCAAACAAGGCAAAGGAGACGATGCGCAAGGTCAAGGTAGGACGGCAGTTGGGCGTTGGTGAGCTGGTCGAGCGAACGGCTGTTCAAAGCAATACCACATCATAGCAGCATTGACTGCCGGCTTCTCTGTCATGGACGATTTTATCAAGGTACTGGACCCGACTCCAATGGCCATCCACGTTTCAAGATTGCGTTCCGAATCCAGTGTTGCCATCTCTACGGTAGAGACGCCAGAGCATGACATTCGACGACAACGAAGATCTCTCTGGTCTCGTCACCCTAGCGCAGGGTCGTCCATCACAAATCTGCCCTTTCTCCGTTCTGCTCACAGTTGATCCAGAAATCGCGACGTCTCGTGGCGTCTGTTGATCGTCTCTGGCCTGCTTGTCCCGGGTGGGCAGGATCTGCTGTCGGACTGCGGCCAAAGCAACGTCTACGTCTTCATACACGCTCTGTGCAAGCATCCCGGCCGGGCAGATCTCCGCCAACGTCAACGGTCACTTGCACATGTTGCTCACCAGTTCTGTGTCTCCCACGATATGATGGCGACGGGCGCAGTGTCGATGTCGAAGTGCTAATTTTGAAGAGTTCCAGRAGATTCAAGGCCTCGRATACCAGGGACAGTCAGCAAAGATCACCTTACTGCCACCTTTGATCCTGAAATGGTCAGGGAGCTCAACTTCGGAGAGTAGTGAGTAGTGCCCTATTCAAATGAGCAATAAGCATCGGCCGCGAACCGCAACTCTAAAACCTTCCCTGCTGCGTCAACAAAGAGAGAGAGAAGACTATAGCCATGCTTATTTTGTCATCTGGCACGCATGATTGATGATTGGTGGTGGACGCTAGATTGAGTAAGCTGTGCTGTGGTGGGCTGCATCGATATATCGAACCTCGGAATTTTGTCTTCCGTCTGGTCAGACAAGCAGACCTGCTTTGTGCGACTTGATCAGAAAGGGACAACGCTCGAGCCGCAGGAGACATCATTGATCTACCAAATCATTGATCCGCCAAGGCAGATCTTCCCGGATCCGCCGGACCCTTCCAACTCTAACCATACCCCACATGCTCGCCCACAGGTTCTGTGTGTTCACCCCGAGGTGTAGCATCTGAGCGGCGCAACACCTGCAACAGAAATAACGCTTTGGTGCAAGACAACAAGCACCTTACATTCAGCTACCGTTGTATACAGCAGTTCCGCCTCGGCAGTCGTCGACACCAGTGCGAACGCACGCATACACCTCGAAATACCAACGCTCGACTATTCCCCGCAAATTCTGAAAGCATGGTGATCTCAAGGTGATCTCAACGGTTGAACTCTGGAATCTCACCAAGACAAAGATAATCATGAAGGAATCTTCTTCCATTGGTAGGCTTTCTGAACAGAATTAAATACATCAGCAGTCGTCTTGACGTTCGACGACCTTGTTACGCTCTGTACTGCCATCTTTGTGGACCTGTCGCACTCAGTGCTTTATTCTTACCAAACATGAGAAGTGACACATTGTTTTATAGGCTATTCGGCACGTGCTGGCTGGTATCCCCGCATCCAACAAATCAAAGACAAGCCATTAGCCAACGGGTATGTCAGCAACAATTACTCCATCGATGCATGCTTGACGCGGAACTGTCAAGGCAGACGCTAAAATGAAGTAGCTCGAACTCCTCGGCTCAGGATCACTTTACACCGCATGGCTCACATCTACTGTTGCATTTCAGTCTCACTCTGATCGACGTTTAGGCCCCGTCCGTCGAGGCGCTGGGTTCGCGCCATGATGATCACTGCCTATACTAGCTGGAGATCTAGCGGATTCTAGGCCAGCCAGATCTCAAGCTCGATAGGTGACTGGTCAGAGGACGCTGCCACGGTTGGATTTGAGAACAAACTCCGGGGTAGCGCGTCGAACAATGTGACCTTGTTCACTTCAGCTTTGAATTTGCGCAGAAAAGGCTAACGAGCAAGAGGAGCCGAGGCAGGTCACCGTAATTTCTAGTCTCCTTGTATGGTACTTCAATACTCGGAAGATATCATATATATCAACCTGCCACCGCGGATAGGCCCTACGTCCCCACCTGTTCGGAACGCAACAACTCCATACTCGGCAATCAAGATGGCACCAAAGTCTTTCATTTTGGCGCTGGCCGCTGCACAGAGCGCCTTCGCATACCCATGGGTTCCTCAAGTGCCTGGGGTCGACTCCTCGATGCTTCCTACTCGTCGTTCCCCGACGTTGAACACCGTCAGAGATGGACCCATGTGCCCATTCAACGCAGACCATGTTCCCGCTGCGCCCATTACGGAGAAGTACCCTTACATGGGCGCAAAGGACGGCAAGCAAGGGTCGGAGAAGGGTGGTATCCCTGTGCCCGCCCCTGGCGACACTGAACACGAGTTCCGCAAGCCTAACCCGGCCACCGACATTCGAGGACCATGCCCAGGACTCAACGTGCTGGCCAACCACGGCTTCCTCGCCCGTAAGATCAAGAACATAATCTCATCCTCGCGCAATCCGCTGACCACAGTATATCAGGCGATGGTATCACCACATACAATGAGCTCGTCGACGCTCAGCAGAATGTGTACAACACTGGTTTCGGCCTTGCCAATCTTCTCGCGATTGCTGGAGTCGGTCTCACTGGTGACTACATGGGCACCAACAAGATGAGCATTGGCTGTGACGCCACGTCTCGTACTGCTAGCAAAGCGAACCTGTTGGCTTCCGAGCCCGGTCTCAACGGCMACAACAAGTTCGAGGCAGACACCTCTCTTACCCGCAACGACTTCTACCTTGGACAGAACGGAGACGATTTCAAGATGAACGCGACTGTGAGTTCACTATGGCCTATTCCGTAAGATATGGCACTGACAAACTTGCAGTTGTTCACCAAGATGATGGCTGCATGTGGTGGCACTGACGGCGTGTGCAATCTGATCAACCTCGGACACTACCGTGGCATGCGTTGGGACGAATCCAAGAGGGATAACGAGCATTTCTTCTTCGGACCTGGATCCCTCCTTCTCTATGGAGCCGCCTCCTTCCTTTACGAGCTGATGCCTGGCTCAAGCCACACCGCCAATGAGGCAGTAAGTTGGAATGATGTCATTTACATAGACTTGAGGCTAACTCGTACAGACCATGATGTCCTTCTTCGGTGCCAGCAAGAACTCCGACGGCAGCTACTACTTCAACGGCGAAGAGAAGTTGCCCGAGAACTGGTACAACCGCAAGACTTCATACACCAACGGAGTTGGCCGCGAGATCTTCGCCATGTACGACATTGACGTAAGTAGCAATTCCGCCCGCTCACAGTGTAAAAGATACTGACAAAATTATAGCCGAGACCATTCGGAGGCAACGTCGGCAAGGACAACTTCCTCGGCCTCAACCGTAAGTCACTCATAAAAGTCTCTACGTCGACACACAATCTGACACCTCACAGTCGGCAGCTACATTAAGAACGGTACTCTCGACCCCAACGCCGCCACCAACGGACTTTGTCTCGCGTACACGGCTATTGGATTCACCCCTGGCTTGTTGGGCAACACCCTCAACCTCCCGGTGAACCTCGCCAACGCCCTCACCAAGGATGCGGCTCCCTTCTTGAAGAACTTGGGATGCCCACTCAACTCCAACGACGGAAGCACCCTTCCTGGTGAGGCGCCGCCGGCAAGCTCGTAAACATTTGTATAGGATGGCAGTTTGCGGCTTGTTGACAGTCACGAAATTTGAACGATTTGATGTCTGTATATACCTGAAGGAGTTGATGAAGATGAGTCGGTAAATCATCGACCTTTTTCTTCTCTCAAAATAATAGTCAATGAATTTGATTGGTAAGTTACCATATCAGATCGCTATGTTATCTCAGCAGATCCCTTGCCTCTATCTTCATCGATAATGTTATCCGCTCGGACAGTCTCGAGACGAGAGATGGTGGCAGCATGGCCGCCTGGCTTTGGTCTCTAACGCCGAGAAATATAGGGTTAGGGTTGGGGTAGTGTGAGAGGACTGCTCACGGTTGCCAGTCTTAGCAAATACTGTCCGATAGCAAGGTACGGTGTTCTTCTTCCTATCATTTGTTACTTGATCCCAAAACATACCCATTAGAGTTGGAGACAGATTGCAGTCGCAGAATTGGACATCACATAACGGAGAGAGTCGCCGCATCGATAAGTTGAATCATTCCACAATTTGATTTGGCTGTCAGCACGCCATCGACATTGCTGAGCCGAATAACATTCGTGCTTTACTAAGTACCTTCACGAGGGCTGTACATAATGACCCCCCTTGCTGCAAGACCTGTAGCATATCCAATACTTTAAAGGCAACGAAAGCATTCATCAGCGGCCCTGACAATCCCAATCCCGGGCTCCCTCGACTTTGTCATCCAAGACAGCCCTCCAGCTCTTCAGCTCAGTCTCCGACTTGACATCTCCTGACTTTCTGATGATGACGGTACACCAGCTATCAGTCTCAGGGAGCCACATGTCGAACGATTCCCGCAACTTGACCCGCTGTTCTTTTGGCGTCATAGATCCCACCACTGGACTGACCCTCTGGACTTCAGGATCYGCGTTGATGACACCGTGCACGAATCCTACTTCCTTGAACAGATCCTCAAGTCCCGTGAATCCATTTTGAACTTCATGATATGGCATATCCAGATGCATGGAACGTAGACTGCTCGGAGCATCCACAAGGTACATCAGACAGCAATTGAGGATGAGCATCTGATTCCTCGGCAACTTGGTCCGTTCTGCGGCCATTGCTGGTTCATGAACTCCACGGCGATGAACCAAGACGGCAAGCTTGGTGATTGATGGAGGCAGCGAATGCTCAAGGCGTGGCAATGGAACCTCGATCTCCCATGGCGCACGATCATCCGCGGTATGCTTGTCCCAAAGGGCTTGAGCTTCGACACTAAGCTCTTTCAAGTACCTCATTGAAGTGAGTCGTAGACTGTGCAGCTGCGTGCAGGATGCTCCGTACAAATCCGCCTCGCGTGGGTCGAGAACGAGCTTCTCCAACAAGGGAAAGTTTTCGCTGATCATGTCTCCAATGTACTTGTAGTCGATGGTCGTGTCGGAGGTATACACATTCTTCATATAGTCAATGCCCATGCCCGGCCAGATGATCTTGAGCGACTTGAGACCCTTGCAGATTTTCAAGGATTCGCAGAAGTCGGCGTCTGGCGTGCATCTCCACAGACAAAGCTCCTGCAATTGCGGCATGGGAGGTAAGATATCATGACTGCAGCCAAGACGGTACAGCGTGAGACACGTAATGGTCTGGAGTTGTAACAGCACGTTGAATGCACTCACGCTGACAGTCAGGGATGTGTCTCCCTCGCGAATGCCGAGAGATTGCAGTTTGCGTAGCGGTAGGGTGTCAGGTATTGTGGGTGAGAGGTCTTCGGTTTCGCCCCGGAAAAGTGTATTTGGTCTCTCTTGTGCTGTTTCCTTGACGAGGCTTTTCACCAGACTCATGTGGAAAAGTACCGGAGCCGAAAGGTCGATGGTGTGGACATTGGTGCTGAGGAAGAGCAGCAGCGCAACTTGAGCGTCTTCGTGTCCCGCCTCGGCCTTTTTGAGAAGAGCTGGAAGGAGTTTCTGGCCGAAACTAACTTTTTTGATTGTTGTCTTCCACCACCTGTATCATACACAAGTCAGCAGGGTACATTTGTATGCAAAAAGGCCATGACGAACTTGGCCAGCCCTTGGAGCATGTCGATTTCCCAACAGCCAATGGTGATGTATTTCACCATGCGAGCCAGGTCGGGTCTACCAATGAGTGTGCGGTTGAATGCTTGAAGTCCTGCAAGCGGTTGTCCAGGATAACTCTCGTACAAAAGAGGCCGACCAATAGTCTCGAAACGCTTACAGACACGCATGATGCTGCTCAGAGTGGAGAGGCCGATCCTGTGCTGCTCGTCATTCGTCTTGAGTCTTGGGAGTAACTGCTCGTGTGTGGCCATATATTGGTTGACTGCTTCTGCATCTTCGTTTGCGAATTGGATATGCTCATAACGAGCACGGCCTAGAACTTCTGGTAGTGGCGGCTGCAGAGAGCTGAAGATTTGTTTCAGCAACTCGTCGGGCACATGAGGCTTCTTTGAACTGCTTGTTGCCATGATGCCGTGAGGTCGCCACTTTTGAGAGGGTTGTGTGGGAAAGAAACGGAGGAAAGGAGGGAAGGGAACAGGACCCAGAGGAAATCGTTTGAAACACCGCTCACGTCGACATGGATGGCAATATGCACGTTTCCGCAGAGACTCCACCACTTTCCGTTTGCTGCGTCTGAAGGCCCATGACTGAGCAAGCATTCGTGGGCTCAATCAATGATGCTGCAATAGAGAGCCACTTGCTTTGCTTAGAATGTGCGGCAAATAAAGACATTTGCGCTTCGCTCTATTGCCTCGGAAAGGTCAAGATGTCTTTCTGCACCGATGTGCCCCTGTCCAAAGACCCACAGTTTTGATGTGGCAAGCTGCAGCTGGCCGCAGTGCTCTCGTCATAGCGTGCGTTTTCTTCTAGCTTCATTAAGAGAAGGCATGTCACTCARGCATGTGTTTGTCGGCGGTGCGGGAGAAGACTGCCTTGCTCTGCAATAGAGTCGAAGGCGGTGTTGTTGAAGGGAGGGAGAAAGCACACGCAAGAAGACGTCTCTGTGTGCCAATCATGTTAGCGTGCCAAGACAATTACGCGCCGCGCCGAGCACGCGCCATCTTCCAGCCATAGCTCCAAGTGAATCTATATCAGTGTATGTCCTGCTCTAATAAACTTTCCGTCTCATGATCAATGCTGCTGGCAGTATAGTCTTCCTCTAGACCCTAAAATGGGCAGTGAAGATGAGAGCACACCCAATGTGCCCCCATCAGACGACCAAGGATCATCCAAGCCAGCCGAGACCCACTTCCCCATCACACGCCCGAATGGTCTCCCGCCTCTCTACGTCGACCTGTCCGGCCTCTCGTGGGAGACCGAATCACGCAGAGCGGCCGTGGTGCGATCCATAGGGCAAAGCATGCAGACGAGCAGTGACAAAGCCGTCCAAGTACTTGGCCGTCCATACAAACAAGAAGAACTCGATGCGTGTGCCTTCCACTTTATCAAAGCGCGCAAAAACTTCCTCGATTACGGATCAGTAGGCCTCGGGATAGCGTTCGCGCTTTCATGGCTAGGCCGACACACGTTTCGTTTCCCTTTCTATGCGCCTAAATGGACCTACTTTAGTCCCGACCGCTTCCTCTTCTTCCGCGGCCGCATTGCAAGGGCACACTGGCATGCCATGAGGACAAGTGCTTATTTGATGCTTGGAATTTATTCCTCCGCGTACGCCAGTATGGTTGTGGCCGTTTCCGGGCAGCGTCGGGATCCTCGCTTAAAGGACTACCTCACCGTGGAGAGCCAAATGAACATTCGAGACATCCTACAACCATTAATTCAGGATGGAAGTGCTGAGAGGAAGACTGAGGTGACGTCCGAGATAGCAAGGCAGTGGCCTTTGCACCAGCGTCTGGACGGTAGGCACAGGGACGGTCCGGGCGATGAAGGTGAGAACAGCATGGCTGAGCACTTGGATGGCAATCCGCCCACGGAAGGACCTCTTGTCGAAGACTATCAGGACCAATATCAACAAACGGACAAGAGGGCTCTCCTCGAGGCCATTCGACGCGCGGATGGTAAGAACGTTGATGGCGAACACGGTGATCAGTGGGGCACTTCTCAGAGTCATCAGAATGCATCCTCCTCACCAATTCCTTCTCCGTTGGACCGCAAAGTCTCGACCTCATCCTCCCCGGTAGCTTCTGGATCACAACCCAGCGAAAGTGCGTGGGACAGACTGCGTCAGCAAGCCGAACGACAAGCTTCACAGCTCGATGAAGTTGCCGACTCTGGCGATGCCTTTGACGACAGATCAGAGGCACAGCGGAAATTCGACGCACAAATTGAACAAGAAAGAAAGTTCAGCACTATCAACAAGGATGGTAGTAATGGAAGTGGTGGAAGTTAGTCAGGGCCTGCGTCTCTACGTCTTCGTCGCCGTGTCTTCTTTGTCGTGATACCAAGARAGAGGCAACGGACTTCCGCTCGAGACAGTCTGTCTCCTTTCAACTGCCCTTAGTAGCCAGTATCCCAACTGGGAATTCGACCCTCTATCCTCATCGAAGTCGATGCAGGCTGATGCATAATGTGGTCGCAGATGATGGGTATGTAGCGAGCATCGCATTCTAGCCGTCTATTCGGGAGATTTCGACCACTTTGGAGTCGATCAACATAGCTTGTCGTGTGCAGGCAATGCTCTCTCAATTACTTTTCTTACCTTTAGAGAAACGGTGGAAATCATTTCATTGGCATGCTCACTCTTTCGACGAAGACAAGCATACATATAAGCGTGCGGCAGCGTAACATTACAGACACCCGCCGTGCTCCAAGTAGATTCTGCTCCACTTCTTTCCGATTCATCCCTAGCTGTTCTTCTCCAACAAGACTCCCTCAAATTCCTCCACCTCCCACGGATCCTCATAGAACATCGCGCCCCATCTTTCCAACAACTCACACCTCTCCTCCATACTCACGCACATGCCCAACATCGCAGCGTCCGGAGTAAGCGTTCGAAGGATCCACACTCCACCCTCCCCTTCCTTATCGGCCAACCCACTACAATCCCCTCCTTAGCCTCCGCTTCCGACATCTCAACAAATCCAATCACTTTCCGCACATAATTTTCCTCACTCTCCCACAATTTCGCGCCTAGTAAGCGGAGACGATTACAAAACGCATCCTCGACAACAGGATCCGGATCGCGATGTGTGATTTCTAGTCGTGGAATTCCGAGGAATTCTGCTATGGCTATGTCGAGAGGTAGTATTAGGATGCCACCGCTGGAAGGATAGCCGTGAATTTTTGGGGAAATCCGAGGAGAATTTCGTGCGGTTGTGAGTGGGATATTGGTTTGGATCGTCGGTGGGACAGGAATAGTTCTGTTGACTTGTTGGCTCCATTTCTGTGGTGAGGGTTGACCTAATGGCAAATGATCGACGATTGGCGATGTTGGCGATGAGGATTTCAAGGAGCACAGTGGTGATTGTGAAGGCGATTTAGGATTGTCCGCTTTGCTGATTTGCTATCGAAGACGCTTTGAGCCAGTGGTACCACAAGATGAAGCTCCTAGCTGTCAGGAAGACGCAGCTATCAGGTAAGGAAGCGATAAACTAAGGTCGAACATATCGAGATGTAGAAGATTCACGAGCGCTGGTCAATATATAACGGCAGCTTACACGCAATCCCATCATCCGCTTGGCTTTGGGGTATCGGAGTTCCTAACTTTAGTAACGAATTGGCCCTTCTAGCAACAAGATTGGTTGTACTCCTGCAGATGTCGGTGCCTATTTAAAACGGCAGCCTTGTTGGTGGCGATTTGCTCTGCCGCCGGCGCTTCAAGGAAGTCGTAGCGCTGCGCTCCTTCGGAGTGGGWCTACCCTAAACGAAATGCCCTAACAAAGGTTTAGGACGCGGGTCGTATTGCGAAATCATCTAATCTGTCATGTATTCACATAGTGTCAAGGTGAAGAGGATATAGCCGTACCTAGAGAAACCCCTTTCAAGTTTCTCCTATATTGACAGTCAAGCCTCCTTTTTGATAGAAGACAGAGCTAGCCAAGTCACTCGACGGAAAGATTTGCCTGTCCCATCGTAGTGGCCTTTTGCCTAGTATTAGCCAACGTAGTCTAGAACTGTTCGCAGCCTGTGCCGCAAGTCGTGATGCAGGCCAACCATTTTACCCGCCGATATTTGGTTGCATCGGACGTCGATTCGGCCAATTTAGAACCATCAAAGGAAGTGTCATGTAAATCAGAGCTAAACTGAGYTTCATGACTTCGAGTGATACATCTACAAAAGCGATCGACATTTGTATCACCCTCCTAGACAAATACCAAGTCTTCCATCTCCTTCCGGACCTCATCATCCATCATCTCCCCCAACATCATGCCCGGCACATACGCCTCTCCCTTCAATCTCCACGTCCTTCCTCCATCTCCCGCCCAGACTTCAGAAGCAACAACTGGTCTGCCATGTCCCTTGAGGATCATCAGAACATCGCCCTTGACAACACTATTCGGCACCAAACCCAAGTACCCTTGCTCCGTAACTACCAGCCTCTTTCTCTTCGTCCGCAACGCAACAGTCTTTCTAAGAGCCCATGTCTTCCAATCCACGACATGATGGTTAGAATTCCAATTTGTGAGGTGTTCTTCCAACGACACACCTCCCAGTTTAAGCCCGGCGTTTGCATCGATGAAACTCAGCGACGCGTCGAAAGTCCAAGTGTTGACGAAGGATTCGAGGAGCGGTAATTCTTGCCCGTGGGTATAAAAGCGTCCAACGCCATTCTCATCCGTACCCGCGGTGAGACACGCGGAGAAGGCAGATTTGGGAGTGAAGTGCTCGCATGGCCACGGCGAAAACTTTGTCGGTTGGGTCAAATCACCCCGAAACCGCGGATTTCGRTGGTCTGCCATTGAGCCCTCGGACGTGGGCATGATCCCGCCTAGACCGTCGACGACGTCGATAACGAAACCATGGATGGATAGTGTGCGGTCTGGTACTAGTCTGATTTCAGGTCCTGCACCGATTTCCTCCCAGCCTTCTTCGTAAAAACGACTCCATTTGAAACCCGCGCGGAAGCTCCCCTCGATGATACCGGTTTCTCTTCCCGAGGATAGATCTGGAACCCAGGAGGGAAGCCTCTCTCCTCGGGTCTCTGTTCCCATACTGCCTTTTCCTGTCCGATACTCGACCAGCTCTTCCGTCGCGCCATCAATAAGACAGATGTAATCAAGCGGGCTACTCCCTCAATTCATGCAAGCCACAGCAAACTCCTCATAGACTTTAACAATTGACTTCTTCGAATCATGCTCAATCCTCAAATCTGGCAGACAGGGCAATGCCAGAATTCCAAAAACGCGGTCTTTGGGATCGAAGCATTTGGCATAAGATATCAATTTGAAGGCCTGCCACAGAACATCACCTCGTTGTGGACCTGATGTCGGACTATTGTGGAAGTGAGTAGTCATTTGCAAGAGACTATCCATATCAAGCGGTGGCTGGATGAATTTCCGGTGGGTTTCACGCTCCAGCTGCGCGATCTTGGCAATATGTACAATGTTGTCCTGCACATCAGAACTCATTGCACCGGCGAACGCATCGCGAATGGCGGCGAAGATGAAGACGGCATCCCGAATGTATCGCCATTCCGTGACTCTATCGCCAAGAACCAGAGCCATATCCGCTGTGCCTGTGACTAGCTCCTGTATCATCCACAGACGACGCCAGTATCTGAGAGAAAAGAAGGCGTCCAGGAGATCTGAGTATAGAGGTTCCGTGTTGTGACTCCAGTCAATCAGCGAACTCAAAATCATTTTCATCTTCACGGCGGCGGAGTTCCGCCATATGAATGCGAGTCGCTGATCGACGTCGTCGTATGCTTCTTGGAACTCTGTACGATAGAGAGTCGAAAAGAATTGCACATCATCTAGGGCTTTATACAGCGTCTCATTCCCTTCGCCGAGCCAGACGAGGACGTTTCCCGCTCGCTGATAAATGGAGCTCATGATTTCCATCTGGGCATCCCGCTCATCTATATCCTTTTGGTTGATACAAATGAAATCCGCCCAAAGACGACAGCCTTTGACGAACTGCGGCATCAGACGGAGTCTTCGGAGTGCGGCGTACAAATTCTGACGGACGTAGAAGGAGGCCTCTGGTCCTCGCTCGCCGCTTGCAGAGCAGTTTGTGATGGAGATTTGCTGATCTGAAGGGCCTTCTCCCCACTCATATGAGAGTGCAACATAGTTTCCCCAAATGAATTTTGGTCCTAATTCTGTTCTTCGCTGTGGCTGTGGGCGTGGAGCTTGCTGTTGGCGTTTAAATGGACTTTCGAACATCCTCTTTGTTTTGCGAGAGATCTTCTTCAGCCCACGGCGAAGTTTTCTGCCAGCCGCCGAGGAGCCTACTTTGAACTCACTGTCGTCGTCGTCATCATCATCTGAAAGGACGATAGTCACGCCACCGCCAGTCTCTTCTGGGTGGTCTGTGATATTCAAAAAAGCCTCCAACGGAATTTTGGCTCCCTGCTTAGAAGCCTTCTTCTGATCGGCCAGCCACGGTTTWCCAACTTTGGACTTTGGGATACGGCCAGCTTTCGCATCTGCCATCAAACCAAGCACATGTGGTGTCTCTAATAGTTCTGTTGGCCGATTTTTTCGACTTGTGCGTGAAAATTCACACTGGGAACCGGGGACACGAGCGCTTCATCTGCGATACCCCGGACTAGTTGACATTTGCAGATATTGACGTGTGTTAGGAGGCATCTTATCGGGCTGGTGTTGTTGGTGTCGTAAGCTGGTTTGGGTAGGATCGAGAGTAGGCGTATGCTGAAGTATTCTTCGGGGTTGAGATTTTTGTAGACAAAGGTTCCGTCAGGGGCCATGGCGCCTGCTGTAGTCTCGCTAACAGTAAGTCACATGAATGTCCTTTCACGCCTATCTAAAGATGAATGAGGACTTCAATTGCGAAGTAGATGTATCGTACAGCGTGCTCTGTGGCTGAGCAAGGCTGTGGTGGTCGTACATGATATCTTGGCGAAGGATCTGGATTGTCCCCATCGAATGAGATTACCATGGGCTGGAAGGCGTTCAGCCTCACTGCGCTCCGGGCCACATTGGTTGGAAATCTCCGCCTCCGAGTCGTTTCAACCAGCGCCCTCACCCCTATWCACACACCTACATCTTAATCTTTTTCTTACAAGCGACCGATGTTTTCCGGAAACATTTGCATAAGAGTTATTTATATAGCCTACGGCTTACAGAGAGACATTATAAGTACAATTTTAGGGAGAGGGTTACTATAATGTTTGAAGAAGCAGTAGAGTAGGAGGTGTCGGAGCTTATATACTACAAGTATGTTAGGAAACTGAAAGAACTTGATAGCAAGATCCGTGACCAAGCCAAAATGCTCTTTCGGCACGCACGAAGCAAGGTAGCAAACGAGAGATTGATAGCTACACAGAAGATATGCTGGTCGTTGTAGAGCCGCATCGAAAGAGTATTGTGAATTCAAAGCTAACAGCCAGGTCGACCGCTCGAATAACTACTGCTCCACCAACTACACAGCAAGCAAGCGGGTGATGTATGAAAAGCAAGACATTTTGACATTTCTCGAGTCACTGCGGTCCCCAGATGACCGCCATGGAGTAAATCATCAGACTTGCCCGCTGAACCGCAACACCTTTGAGGAACAGCCCTCGCCCGGCCGTCTCTGTCATTGATTGCCGCCCAGTTGAAGACGCATTGAACCACGTTTTGGCGTCACTTCTCGATCCATATACGTCTGCCTCGGCTCCATTTGCTCCCACAAACTTGACGTGGAATGGCACGGTTCTGCCCTGTGATGGAGTGCAACGGATAGTCACGGAGACAATTCGATCCACTCCATCCATGGCGATGGCAGTCCAAGCACCTGTACCGCTTGGCGCCACGCCTGCGAAAATATTCTTACCCGTCGAGTACTCGAATTTGAAACCATATAGATCATCACCTCCCTGGTTGCAAGACAAGCCTTTGAGCTTACCATTCTCTTCATCGATCTCCCCGAGCGTGGCAGTAACACTGTCCTCTGTGAGTGTGCCTGCAATTCTCGACATGACATATCCAGGCTTCTTCCACCCATCGACAAACTTCCTCCACGATGCACTCTGCAGCTCGTCATAATCCGGACAAAAGACCTTGCGAGCCACATACTGTTCTTCCTTTGGCGCGTCAATGCCCCAGATGACGCCGACGCGGTCGTAGATCTCGCCGTAGCCGCCCCAGAATCCTTTCAACACGTACCCGGCTATAGGCGGTGTTCCTTGCCATTTTGGACGATGGGGTTGATCTGGGTAGAGATCAAATCCCTCTTTCCGTCCATCGGTTGTCCAGAACCAGGCAGCTGTCAGAGCTTGCGTCTTTCCGTCCGTGAACCTTTCCGCGAATCCTCCAAAGAGCTCGACACGGAGAATACGAATGTCATCAAGCAGCTCGATGACTCTCCTCGTGAATCCTTGATCCATGATGTTGGCAGCTGGCAGGATGGATTCCGGGAATTTATCGGTTGTGATTGCAAGCCCCACGATCGAATTATTGGCGAGGAAGAATGTAATGCGACGCACTACATCATACTCATCGACTTGGGGAATGTGCTCCCAATTGTTTCCCCCCTTGTCAGGGGAAGAACCGACCAAGGGGCCCAAGGAGAAATTCAGGCCTTTCTGGCGAAGAAGGTCAATCCGTGAGCCGTGCAGCTTCATTATCTGGGTCTGCTGATCTGGATCAATTCCTGCCAGCAGGAGCCAGCGATGAAAGTCTATGACAATCTCTCCCGGAGCTCGTATCTTCAAGTCGTAGACAAGATCAGGGACAACAAGGCCGCGCCTTATGAAGCAAAACTTCYCGACAAAGTCTAGACCATTGTCCACCCCCTTCCCGTCTCTCTTGACGAAATCATTCGCCGGGACGAATCTGAAAGGAAGGGAGGCGCTGGGTCCTTGGGCCCAGGTGAGTAAAAGTTGATCCAGCTTTTCCCCTACCTCGATGCCGTCGTATTGGGCGCCATTGCTCAATTTGACCTGTAGTCTCGTCTCCATACCGACCCCGTTTTTGAGTTTGGCCTTCCAAAACTTGGTTACGCTCGTGGAGAAATCTGCATTTTCTTGAGCATCGCTTAGCCTGACTGTCAGATTCTGAAGTTCATTTTCTTTTTGCCGCGCTACTTCTGAAGAGGCAGATAGATCTCGTTTGGCTTGTTCGATCTCTTGCTGAGACTTTGCTTGATTGGCTTGTTCCTGCTTTTGGGCCTTGGAGAAGTCAATATCACAGAATCGTCTTTTTTTTGCAAGACCGCTTACCTGTGCGAGAGCGACGATAGCAGTATCCCGCTCCTTTTTGAGGACTTCGGTCGAGGACGAAAAGTCTTTCTTGGCCTGTTCCGTTTCCTGTTGGAATTTTGCTTGATCGGCCTGGACCTTCTCTTGAACCTGCAGAATCGCAGTGTTAAGGTGCATCTCTCACGGCCGTGCTGTCTATCACTTACCTGTTCAAGAGCAACAACAGCGGCTTCTTTCTCTTTGTTGAGTACCTCACTTGAGACGACGGCAATGTCTCTCTCTTTCTCAAGTGCTTTAACCGCAACAACGGYAATATCTCGTTCCTTGCGCAATGCTTCAACAGCAGCTTCCGTATCGCTATCATCAGTGCCCGCAGGGTCAGTGCTGGCAGTCTTGCTCTGTAAGAGTCAGCGACTATGCTTCGGAGCCAAACGACCGTTCTTACTGGAATGAGCAGGCGAAAGATGGCAGGACTGATGAACTGTTGCGGCCGGTTTGCATCATTCAGAACCTGCGGGAATACAGCCAAAAGATCCACCTGCGATTCACACATCAGCTCTTTCTTCCAGAATGACGAAGAATGCTCACCCTTTTGGCAATCTTTTTCATCTCAAGATATATATCCCGGAGAGCGGTTTCCAAACCAATAATCGTAGCTTTGTATGGCAACAACGGGTTCGGGGGAAGAAGTTCGTCCAACAAGCTTACAGGCTCCGGACCGGTAGTCAACCGCCCCTGGATGAAGCCGGCGTACGGAACGAGCTGTTGTCTCGCGGCAAGAGCTGCTTTGCTATCGACGTAAAACTTGTTCATAGCCGCTGCTACTGCGGCAAAATCTTTGCGAACCTTTTGCTCGTACAGAGGAGTCGAATCTTCCTGCATATGATTGATCACTATGGAGGCGTCAACGATCGTTGGTCGTAAGTCATACCAAAGCAATGCTTACAAGCTCGAGTCCGAGATGAAAGAACTTTGTAGTCCTGGAGAAAGCAGATGTTAGTAGTGCCCTGTCTCGATGATCAAAGTTCGTACGGTGTATTGGTCCATCAAGCCATGTGCATAGAAGCCCGCGTTTTCGTAAGTCAAGGGCACTCCTCGCCGGGACTGTTGGTAGAAACTCCGCAGAGCAGTGTACTTGGTAATGATTGCGCTCACTCTGTCAGGACACTCGGCGACAGCGTCTGGAAAGTTCATCGCAGCTTCTTTCAAAGAGACAATGTCCCAGTCGGTGGCGTCCACTGGTCTGATCTTGCCGCCGCCTGTCCACGAAACCCTGTCTTTATCAGCACTGTACTTGGTTGGTACTGCTTGTTCATCAGCCTACGATGTGGACGTTTCATGCGCGCTCAGCAGATCTGCAGCGCTGACCGATCCCGTCGAGTGGCCCACTTCATTGAACCCGAGAGATCCCATTCGCCCAATGCCCAATGCTGATGTAAAGGCGCGCTCGAAGGCCTCGGGTGGTGTGGATTGGGTCAGTTTGACAGACACCAGAGCATTGAACGTACCACCCTCCAGAAAGCCGGAAACGAAACCATCGCCGTAGACTTCGGTGAAGCGCGCAGGGGGGACGTTCCTGAGCGGCACGAATTGGTTCACCTCGTGCGCGACTAGCTTCTGGTTGACGACGTCGACGTGGAAGAGATAGTTGAGGTCTGCATTCCCGAATGCGACTTCGTCCACGAAGTATCCACGCACTTTGGTATTGGTACCACGAGCGTCATTCTTGATGATATGAGCACCTTTTCACCACTCATTAGATGGTTGCGGTCACTACGATCACAGGTGAAAACCGACCAGAAAGATCCATTCTTTTTGTGACATCACTTAGATGTCGAATGATCAGGGCTTCCCATTTGATTGTCTGACTGACCTTGCCGGTCTGCCGCGCCAGATGGCCTGTTGGCGTGGAGAGGATCTCGGGGGCAGTGACGGTTTCCTTTGCGTCCAGAAAGCGCTCCGCTGCGTGTTGAAGATCTCCGTCGGTCGCTCGGACCCCGTCGAGCTTTTGCACTGCATCGTTAATGGTTGTTTCTTGGGTGAAGGTATTGTACCTTGTAAATCTGTCAGTTGAGGTACGCAGCGGTGTGCTTGCATAGCAAACCTACCCCTGTCCAAGACGCATCCCCGGGTGAAAAGGTACGACGGACGACGACATGTTGCTTGACAAAGACTCGATCAACCAGGGCACTATGTTTTGTCCTTTGCATCAAGACCACTTTGCTTGCCTCATGTCGTGTCTCGGCTGCTCCAACGGCTCGCCCTGGAGGAGTCGGGTCAATTCAGCAGGGTCAATACACCAGCAAGTGTCTTGAGCCGACGTTGCATCCAGCTGCCACTGTTGTCACGCATTGCGATTGAGGACCAGGTAGAGCGTAGCCGAGCAGAGCTTGCAGCCGTGGGCCTGAATCTGGACTGTCGAAGACAGACCATGCGATGCCTTCTTTAGGCCACCTCCTATAAGTCGCTGATGCAGATGCGGTAGGCTCAGCTCAGCTTGGCTCGGCTGCACTGTTGAGGCTGGCTGAGACGTGCTGCACTTGTTACAAACGTGCATGCATTCCACTGGCTAGTGCCGTTAGTAGTCATGTATAGACTGTCCACGGTACACACTCCGATGTACGAGGGCGACTGCCAAGCTACGTGGCTTGCATGGATGTGAGGCGTCGGTTAATGTGCAGTAGTGGATTCTATTCCACGTCGGTCTAGAACAGAACGGCTCGACTTTTACACTCCCGCTCCCACATACAACATGGAATGCATCGCTTTCAGCTCCTGCTCGATCTCAGCCCCCCGACTAAGTCAACCAATAGTGGAGCGTAGAAACAGCCAGCAGACCTCACGCACTGTAAAGCGCCGGAGGTATGCAAACGCGGACAGCAATGCATGGCCTGGCGAGACACGCCAACGCCTCGCTACACCCATTGGCTAGGAAAGGCGTTTGCATGTACTTGATACGAATGCATGGTCGTTCACTCTTGCCTTGATCTAGTACCTTTTGACTTTCTATCGCACATCACCCAGCTCAGCGTTCGATCATATACCGGGATCATTTGAAGCAGAGAAGCAGATATTCCAGTCAAGGAAGTCTTGAAGATGGCAGCCAAGAGCCCAGTGCAACAGATTTACGACATTCTCAACGGTCTCTACGGTGAGAAGTTAGACCTAATCAATCATGTTCGTATGAGTGAGGGCCCGGGAATCACAAAACACCCTCTGACCCAAGCGCGTAGCCAAATGCAAAGCCGACACAGATCTTCCAGATGGAGTTTGCGGCACGCATCTTGGACAAAGGAACCTACGACTATCCTGGTAGTGATACTATCAATGCTCAGCAGGTCAAGCCGCAGGTGGTCCAGGAAGCAGAATTTCGCCTTGCAAACGACATTTTACCACTTTCAAATGTGATGGGCGGTCCTACCGGGGCGAAGGTGGGTATGGTTGCATCACAACTCGACCTGTGCTGATGATTTCAACAGCTGGCCGACAAATACAATGATATCCTGTTTAGTCTGGTCCCCACTGTCCCGGAGCACGACACAATGGCGGATCTCATTCACTCGGATCAAGACAAGATATGTGCATGGCTACTGGAGGAAGYCCCCAATTGGATTCCCCCAAAGGATGACATATTAAAGGACATTCCTAGCGACTTTGACGAGCACAAACTGGAGAAACCTTCCAGCGTACTAGTACCGGATGACGAGGGAGAGGATCAGCGCAAGACCATTCCTCGGATTGACCTGTATCAGAAGATCTTGGATTCATACGAAATCGAACGCTTTCGATGGGTTCAATTCAAGCTGAACGCAAGACCTAAAGATATGGCGACCGCCACGCCCGCTGCCATCGACAACTACAATCGTATGCTCGCCTATTTCGCACCGGTCATTGATAAGAAACTGGAAGCAATGTGGACCATGTTGCTGATTCGCGGTCAATACCATCGGGTTCGCCGCTTCATTGGATTCGTGGATGTGGAGAGCGCTTCGGGGTCTCTTCAACGTGCCAAGGAGAGTCTACGAGCATCAGTGATGCGAAGCATAGACGATGCGGAAGACGTCTACCCCGTTTACTTCTCGCCGGCCACTTGGGCGACCAAGCTTAGCACAGCTTTCAAGCCTGAAGATCTGCTCTCTAGTGAGGAGTCGGTCCGAGAGCAAATGTTCGCCAAACAGCGAGAAAGGGGCCAGCTGCTCACGAAGAGGAACGACGTCAAGGCATCCCAGCAGGACTTGAAGCCTTTGCAGGATGCGGAGCAGGCAGCACGCAACAAGTTCATGGAAAGCCGCGACAAGATGGTCGGAGGCTATTCGGACACTGCCATTAAACTCATCAAAATGTACTTTGATGCCAAGATGCAGCATGCCAAAAACCAAGAGGCATTCTTCAATGATTTCGGTCAGGGCGCCAAGAAGGAGCTCGACGATATCATGGAGGCAGATGCCCAGCCTCCGCTCACGGCGGAGCAATTCGAGCAACTCATGACGATGCAGAAGGAATGCATCTCCAATCAAACATCGCTACAGAATGCAAGCGAAGCCTTGGCGAGGTCTCAGCTCGCGACTGCGCAGGTTCGCGGCAACGATACCTCCGCTTTCCTCTACGAACTCGAGGAGAAGATCTCGTCATTGACCCTCGACATTGAATACTTGATGCAGATCCTCGACAAGTCGTCCAATGCCACCCTCAAGGCGCTTCACGCGCCAGGCCAACCTGGTGGTCAAGACATATCCGCCACCCCCCAACACGCAGATGTAACGGAGGCTGTTGTGGTACCCCAGGATGGGGACGCCTCGATTTGGACCGAGACCAGACAAAGTCTTTCCAGGTCCACCACTTACGATTCTTCATTGAAGACCGCGTCAGGATCTCACACTGACTGGACCATCGACTTATTCTTCGGATCTGCCTCTGGAAGTCAGACCACCACTGCAGGATCCAGCCACGAGACTCACGACACCAGAAATGTCGAAATTCAAATTGCGTTCCGCAGTATGAAAGTCCAGATTTCCAGGCCCTGGTTCAACGCAGGTATATTCGACCGGTTGCCCGAGTATACGTCCACATCAGCAACTCCAGTTCAGACGATTCTACCCGCGTATCCCATCGCCTTCATCGTTGTCAAGGATGTGCACATTGTGCTCAAGCAGACCGCAGACTCCTGGGGCACCAAGGCGGCGGACTTGCAGAAGAATATGAGTGCAGGCGGTGGAGTCTTGTGCTTCAGCGTGGCCAAATCCGAGAGTTCGAGCGAGCATCGTACCGCTGCTTCCGTGTCTCAGAGCGGAGACTACTTGTCCATTCGCATTCCGGCGCCTCAGATTCTGGGTTGGATCCAGCAATACGTACCGGCCGCGACCACCCAGCCGGGGTATGGTCCTATCGACCCCAAAGAATTCCTTAGCGCTGTCAAGGACAAGGCTTCTGATAATGTCAGCGTCAAGACTTAGGCGGCTGTTAGTAGCGTCATGCTATGCTGGGCAGATTGAGCTCGGGGAGGGGCTTAGAGGCTCACTGAAAGGGGTAAAAAGTGCATTCTATAGGCAGATATCGAGTCATTTCCAGAGCTGTCGATATAAGAAATTATCGACAAGAGCAGCGCCCTTAACTGCTCTCTCGCTTAATTGACGGGCTACTCTGCTAGTGTTTAGGAATCTAGCAGGCCTAAAATCGTCGATTCTGTAGAGAGTGATGCGTTAGGTTATGGCGGGAATGAATAAGGATGATTTGTCCCGGCGAACAATCCTCATATCGACAGCTCTGGTCATTTCCTTGATCGGGGTCTACTGCCTTCTTTCTCTTGCGCTCTTGCATGTACCCGTGAGCGCTTCAAGATCTCGACATAGTTTCCATGGGACTTTGGAACAGCCTCTCCGTGCCTACTTTCACTTCGTGTGCCCGCCGGTGTACTACCGAACATCCCTGGGGTATGGCATTTGTAGACTGCGCTATAACAGAAAGAAAGGCTTGAAACTATGGACTTTCAGCACGACAGAGCGGCATTCGCATTTGGAATTGAATTGTCCTACTAAATATCACAACCTAGACAACAATACTTTCATCAGATATGTAGTCTGGGAACCAGCGCCTTATTACGCTCCACAGGTTTTTGTGGCTCAGTGCCCCCCTTTACCGGTTCAACCTTGAAGTGTTTCAAAGATGCGAATACGTTGTTGAGCTCCACCAGCTTCTTCTTCAGCGGAACTGCTGCAATGCCGAKTTTCAACCAGTCCTGTTTGCCATCCCACTCGTTTAATGTTGCAGGGCCCAATTCACGAAACTCCCAGATTGGCTGCGATATTGTCAGTGTACGAAAGATACTTCAAAATCCAACAGACTCACAACAGCTTTGTCTGCTTGACCTTGGATGCTTTCCATCAAATCGCCAAGCCGACCGATCGAGCCATCCCCCGATTCCCCATCGGTGACTGTTAATCGATCTTTGCCCTGTTCTTTCCCGATTGCTTCCAACCAATTGAAGACGGACAATTCTTTGACATTTCCCCATTTGAACGTGCCTTTTAGCACGCTCACATGCTCACCCAAGTTGATAGCGATGACTCTTGCGAGCGAATACTTGTAGCCGGTCTGGAAATTCTCCTTCATCACGGCTTTACCATTGACATGGGCGAAAAGTCTAGAAGAGTGAAAGGTATCAACAAGGTGGAACAGAAGATGGATGAGTCGAGCATCATTCGAGCAGGGCGACTTACGTATTAAAGTCATTCCTAGGAACAAGGGAGCAGACCGCTTTTGGACCAGCAAATCGATTGATTCGAGCCGCTTGGTATGCGTAGATGCTGCAAAGCGTGATGAATCCCAGGAAATTGGCCGGGACCTTGTAATTCATGTCGAGCAGCACAATATTGCGCAATTTCGAGGTACTGCAGGTGACTTTTGCTAGTAGCTCTTCTTTCACCGACAAGTCAAAGAGTTTGAATATATCGAAGTCAGCCATGCCAAGTGCCGACGGTAGCTCACTGAGATATTCAATAGGCATCGCGGTTGTGACTTGCACCTGCGCAACAGGTCTAGCAAGAGCTTTCTCGACGCGCCAGCGGCCGACATCTCTGAAAATCTCACTCTGGAGCTCGTTCAGTGGCCCTTTCAAGCTGGCGGTAAGGTACTGGAATGGCTCGAACTTCGTATCTTGCCCATCTTCACGAGTCAATGCGATGTTCTTCTACAATGAATCAGTAGGTCGGCTACGATTAAAAAGTCCATTAAGACAGGGCGATGCTTACCTGGAAAGCAATGATCTCGTCCGCAATGCGTGTGAGTTTAGACTCCACATATCCTCCATCTTCTGCTCTCTCCACCTCCTTCACTTTGAGGAGCTTCCCGTTCAAGATGTATTCGCCCTGGAGCACTGCAAAGCATTTGAGATCGTCAGAACTGGTGCCGCCATGCTCGGCCGTGAGATCCCAGTAATTGTCGTCTGGTTGTGGGATCGCTTCGCCTGGATCGTCGGCCTCTGGGTGAGCGACTCGATCCGGCGGAGATTTATCTTGAGACTTCTTATGTCTATACAAAGTAAGAGCCAAGCCTTTCACATTGTCCGCCCCAGCTCTGTAACGTGCTTTATCGGCTTCGCTTACTCGATTATTCCACCGCTTGGAAACAATTGGGTTTTCGAAGACCWGCGTCCCGACTTCCAACTCTACGCCAAGTCCAGCAGCAGGGTATAGGGGTTTGACTGGTTCGCCTGCTCCGTTGGTTCCGGGCTGTAACGTTCCGGTCGACATGTTTTATACTAGGTTAGGTTAGGTACGGCACGCCGACGTAGACTACAAAGATGGGATACACCGTGCTGTAGCTTCATGGTGACTTTAATAAATAATGCTGCCAAGCATATACTTACCCCCGACAGAATGCAACCACGGGCTTTTTCAGCTCATGCGGGTAATAAGCGAGCTGCATGATCTAGTCTTTTCAGCGTCGACTATGGCGCTTGTGGCGTTCGTGGCATTCTTTGCTCGCATAACTGCACTGCTCCCCTCTGTCGACGAATCCGGGTCGTCGTCCGCTATATCAGAACCGAGGCCGTGGGCTACCATCGTAGAACCAGTGAGTAGTTCGAGAAAGGAGGCCGGGGAAAATCGCCATACAAGGCCATGGCTTTGGCTTCCCTAGCGATGGCCATGTAGCGGATTTATGTGTTGCGACTACGAGATGGATGTTCTCCAGTTCCTAGAATGCGATTCTTGCTTGAAACTAGTCCTCAGGGATATACGGGCAGAGCGTAGTCTTCATTTGATCGCGTTAGTGAATGCCTTTCGCAATGAGAGAATACCCTATGCTGGAGATTTGCAAGCATGAGATAGCGCTCGTACTATCAAGCTTCGTCAGTTAGGAGTAAGACTTGAGAAATATAGCGCTCGTACTATCAAGCTTCGTCAGTTAGTAGTAAGACTTGAGAAATGCCCATAGATATTAAGAACTATGTAGGGTAAAAAATATCATTTGGCACATTCGACCATAGATGCATGAAAGCAAGCCATCCCGTCCGCTCTGGCCTATTGAACCATGTAATCGTTTGATCAGTACTCAGGTGGGTGACCACTGGGGAATCCCAAATGTTGAATGTTGCCAACTCTTTTTGGCCTTTTTTTACTCTAGCTCTCGATGATGTTGGCTTTCAGAACCTTATTTTTACAGCCATACATGTACAAATTACTATATAATACATCAAAGTCAGTAGACAATACATGCTTGCTGTTTGTGTACGGCTTGAGAATTTGAGCACTTTAGAGAGAGGCATCACAGAGGCGGAATTGATGGGAAATCAACACGTCAAACACAAGTTTTTCAATATCAAGTTATAACTATACGTTGTCTTGCCTGGCGCATTGGAACGAAGACATGGAGCTGCTGCATCTCCCACCCTCCTCTTCTATCCATCTCTCTCCTCTCATCGACATGCCGCAACGTGAATTCAACATCGCAGCCTCAACCGAGCCCCTCAGCCTTGCGATATCTAGCACGGCGGTCCTCCAGCAGGGGCATTATCCTTTACATAATACCCCTGGTTTTCACTACGGCAGGCCGAGCCACGAACACAATAAGGAGAGCCCTGCTGGCACTTATTAGGCGAGTACAAAATCCGATTGCCGAGATTCCGACACATGGAAGGCCGTCCATTGAAATAGTAGCAATTGGTAGATGCCACCGTATAGGCCGTCACGCCATAGCTATACCAGATGCACACGTCGCCGCCAGCATTGCCATTACAAGTGTACGTTCTGCCAGTCGAGTAGCTTTCAGATACGCTGAACCCGCCGGAGATCCAGCCATAGGCGGCATTGGCGCTCGCGGTCCAGCTGACCGAGTGCGTCTTAGAAATGGAGACGGAGCATCCGCCACCAGGGCCGCACTTGAGGGTTTGGGTGACTTGCTGTTGGAATGGGTTTTGGTGGGGGTTGCCATCGCCGACTCTGTATGAGTTGGTGCGGTAGACTCCGGACTGGCGCTTGTCGAGAGCGTGCGTGTCCAATGGGAGGCTCATTGGGTGACCCTCCTCGGTGCTCCAGAACGAGCCGTTGGCTGCCATGACGGCCACATCACTGGCTGTTGCTTTGTGCCATTTGGTGTCCAGCACGATATCCGTGGGTACTGGGACGGTAGCCAAGGGTGAGGCGTTGGCAGAGAAGCCAGCCATGGCGAAGAACGCCGCGATGAGAGGGGTGGCGAAGAACATGTTGGAAGGGATGATGGAGAAGATGTCTGGGTCTTTGCTGAACGATTCTTGCAGGTCGGTGTCAGCCCTTTTATATTCCTGTCAGGCCTCTTTGAATCCTGCCCGAATTTCAGTGCAGCGTGCCGTTGTCCCGGCTCCGGTTGGTGGTAATACCTCAAGCCGAAGCAAATCAATGATTCGGGCAAGGGGGGAAAGGTTCATTCGGTCATGGTGTTGACGAAGGCGCGCTAATGCTTTGAGTTGGAGGCGCTTGCTGCACCACTTGTTGGTCCCAACTGGTCACGCAGTACCGCCCAGGCTACGACTCAAGCCCGGATCAGACAGTTATCAGCATCGAGTGAGTCTTGCAGGCATCCCGCAGGACAACTTTGCGACCTGCGGCTGAGCCAAGCGATGGTGTTGAGATGCGAAAAGTAGAAGCCGCATGTGCTGTAGAGGGAGTGATTTGGCTTCTTTGCTGGGTGCACGATATTCGTGCCGTGTTGTCGCTTCCCGAGAATGGAGTGAAGGAGTGAAGGATTCGAACTATTGAATGTGGCAAGCTACAACACGGCACGCATAGCATGTAGCGCAGGGTAGGGTTTTGGCACACGCCGCGGACAAAGAGATGGAAGGATTGAGAAAAAAAAAGTAAAGGCCAAAACAGAGCAACGGCAAAGAAGCGGATGGTTTGGCACAAGTGCAACTGAATGCCAAGAGGAGGCTTATATTGTGTCTGGCCGGCTCCTAGGAAAACGATTGGTGGCTCCTGGAAGTCGAACACTCGCATTGCGGACGATGGAACAGCATTCTTTCCAATGAAGTGAGCAGTAGTGAGTAGGGGAGGGTTGGAAAGGAATTCTGTTGGAACGGAGGTGAGCATAGGAAAACTAGCCGACAAGCTTCACCGAAACGGGTAAGATACAAAAGGGCCGCTTGGTGGAGGGTATTAGCGGTGCGTTGGAAGACTGTGGGATTGAAGGAATGGTGGGGTTTGATGGAGTCGGGGGCGCTGCCTCATGCCGCGGAATGGAATGTTTTTGAGGTTGCTTTGGACTTTGGCAATTGCTGTTATGCGCCATGGTTGCACTTGACGAGGTGACACTCTTGGTGGGAGCCTTGCAGCATGCGGTTGTGCTTTCATCACAGGCAGCGTGGAAGACCGAAGGGCAGCATGTTGTCGTCCGAGAGGCGGGACTGTCACCCATGTGGCGCTGCACGATGAAGCATGTCGTCGTGGGCGACACATGGGCGGGGTTGGTCTAGGTGAGGCTACCGAGAAGCTAGGAGAAGAGGTGAGGATGGTATTGGCCAGCGCCTACGGTGCGCTTTTACGGAGATCTCTGCAACAAAACTTTGAAGTAATAGCGCAACACTAGCAGTAGGGGGTATAGTAACCTCGGCAATAATTAATGAACTCCGTACAATAATAATCAAGTAGCGTGATCGAATGTGCGCATAAGACTAGCATATGATTGCCTTATATCATTCTTTCCTTAAGTGATTACCGCGTAACATAGTAAGGCATTAAAAATAATAGTAAGGCAGTTATAGCATTACTTTTAGAAGTGATGCTATTTGTATAGGTGATTAATAGTAGGCGCGACGCTTTACTATATTTACTTACCTACTTATAGTCGACTCTTATCGCTTCCTAATATCTACTTTTACACCTCCTACTACTTCTACTACTAAACATTAAAGGGCGTAAACTATAACATATAACAACACTAAATAAAGTTATGCATCGTGTATTACTTAGACGAGGAGAATAATTTACTATACCTCGCCGAGTAAATAGATAGGACTATAGGCTCTTAATATAGTCCTTACTTATAGGCTAAAAGGCGATCGATTAACGTAGACACTTAGTAGTAGCGTAAAAAATAAGTAAAGAAGATTCGATAGTCTATATAAAGTTCGAACAGAAGCTGCTTTTTATAGGCCCTATATCTATACTAAGCTACTCCGCGGAGGTATTAAGCGTTCGAGCTATTAATCCCCCCCCCACTTAAGTGTCTTATTAATAACACTTAATAGGAACTAAAAGAACAGAAGTAAAGGAAGTAAAACAAAATAAGAACAACTAGTACTAGCCTATATAAAAACCGTAAAGTAAACTATTAGAAACCTACTATATGCTATACATCCCTAAGGCTATATATCTACGGATAGTTCTAGTAATAACTACCGATTAAACCGGAGGACTATAGTAACCGAGCTGTTTAGTCTCCTCCGCGGTTAACTAGTCCTTCTCCGTAAGGGAAGGAGGGTCCTACTACACCTAGTTAGGAGCAGCTAACTTATTATAGTCTCTACTATTAGCGTAGTAGCTATTTAGTAGGAAGTATAGCTTCTCTAGCTCCTTTATTCTCTAGAAGGCATCGTAGAAATTCTCGGTTACCCGCTTACGGTAACCGGCTATATATATATTATAGTTACGCTTCGTACGCAACTACTTAATCCTATAGATTTCTAGCTAGACGTCTATACTAGTCTATTTTTGCTAGGCTACTAAGGCATCCGAGATTAGCCTATTGCCGGAAAGCTTAACGGCGGCCGGGAACGGGTAGTTAATACTACCGTAGTAGTTTATATAACTAGACGGTAAGCTTAGTCTAGRYATTAGATCGCGATRTRCRATAGAGAACTTATCCTATATACCGGCTTCGTTATAGTTAATATAGCCGTCTTCCTAAACACCGTTAAACTAGGGAAGTATAGTACGGCGAACCCTAAGACCGGGATATACGCCGTAAGGGATATATAGGTAGGTAAGTCGAGCTCCTAACTTGTTATATAGCTGTAATTCCTATTTTAGACTAAGCTATCGAAGGTCTTCCTTAGAAAGCTTGCTCTTATCGATTACTATAATCTTTTAAGACTTATTAATGCTACTACGATCTCTTAACCGAGCGACCTAAAGGTCGATCTTGTCCTACTTTTACATTCCCTTTATAATAATAGTGTAGTCCTTATCTATCTCGTTATCGAAAGAAACCGAACCTTAGATCTAGCTTTAGTTCTAGTTAGCGGTAATATCGTTAGGATTTAGATCGATATGTCTAAATCCTATAGCCGAAAGGTTTAACTCGATACCGCTAGTTACTCTATATTAGTACTTAGTATAATAGGGATAGGATACTATATATATCCTCCGATCTTTACGGGCGAGGCTATAAGCTATCTAGTAATAGATGTCTTAGCGGATTAACTGTTATATTAAAGAATAGAACTTATTTCGGAGCTAGCTAAGATTCGGCTTCCTACTAATCTAGCGCTAGTACTACCGATAGACCTCTATCTCCTCTATTATAAGGTCGTAGATATCCGTTACGTTGCCTTCTCGGTCCTTATTACTTAGCTTATCGTACTATACGAACATGTCCGGAACGATAATTAAGCCCGTCTCGCGAAGCTCCGTAATCTTGTCCTTTAGACCGCTAATATCCTCTAGATGCGTAGCCTCTTCTTAAGTAAAGCATAGCCTAGACTAAAAGTCCGTTATTAGAAAGAATCGATACGGTCCGAGGTACGCGCGGGCCTTTAAGTAATTATCGGGAAGGACCTTTACTAAGAATATGTCTAGGGAAGTTATTATCTACTTGTAAAGCTGTAGCTTAGTATCGAATTATTCGTAGACTATTCTTAAGTTCTTAACGCCGAAGGGAGTCGGCTTGTTTACCTTTAGGCCGATAGAACCGAGAAGCTTCTTAAAGTAATTTAGGTAGATAGGAAGGCTTAGCGCGCTATTCTTATCTTTAGTCGTACCTAGATAGCTCTCGCTCTACACTTCTACTAATAATCCGTAGGGCTTAATAATTTTATTAATTACTAGTTAGCTGCCGGCTATATACTTAGTCTTATCTAAGTTATAGACAATATACGCGGCAGCTAGATCGCGGTATCTTAGATAGAAGGCGTTCGGCATAGAGTAGGTGCTCGAGTAGTTACTTAGATTAACAAAAGTGCTGTCGCCTTCTATACGCGGAATAGGTACCGCGTCGGAGGTAGGTAGATCCGAAAGGCTTAGATTATCTATCGATATAGAAGACTTATCTTCTAGAAGGAGTGCTTAAAGGGCTCTAGCTTCGCCGGGAGATAGAGGCCGGTTAGGGGCGGCGGGAGGCGTACTATAGCCGTCTAGTATGCCGAGTCCTAAGCCGTCGCTATTATTAAGCTTAGAGCCGCCTTCGTTTATAATTACCTCCGGAAACTAAATAGAGGAGAGGTCGCGAAATTGCTTAACTCGGGATTAGCCGGCGCTAGTCCCGATTAGGAACTAGCCCCTAGGGGCCGATTAATCTAGGGTGTTCTCCGACTTAATTTAGCTACTATTTTAACTATCGATTTCGGCCTATAAAATGTCTATAATAAACCGATTCTTAATAACCTTCTTATAGAGGCTTAGCTACGACTTAGTAGCCTTACTATCGAGTTAGACCTAGTCGACGTCGTTTAGAGCCTTATAGACTCTTAATAATATAGTGTAATTACTATTAGTAGGACCGAGACGTTCGCCGGTAGGACTAGAAAGAGTGCCTTAAATGTTACGCGCGCGCTAAATTATACACTTAGTAAGTCGAGCCGTACCCGCCTCGACATTATAGTTTATTGCCCTATTAATAAAGGACTTAACATCCTTAATTCGGTTTTAATTATCTACTACCTAGCTATAGTACGGAAAGTCTTCTAGCTCTATGCCCTAGCGTTGCTTTAGTATACTATCTAACTTCTTACGCTCGCCGCGTAGGCTCTTACCGACCTTAACGAGGGCGTAGGCTATAGGCTACTACTCCTTAAGGCTCGAGCCTCCGAGAGCTTGTAATATATACTTCTCCTTATCGTAGAAAGACTATATTATCTTCTTAACCCTAACTTCTATAAAGCTAGCGGCCTTAGTCGTAAACTTCTCGAAGTAGTCTAAGATTTGTCGGAACCCCGCCGCGCGCATTCCATTATCTTTTATTACGTACACGAAGTCTACTACCGTAGTAATAGAAGGTTGCCTAGTAAGGGCACTATACTAGATATAGGCTATTAGTTAGACATTAATGTCCGCGCTCGAGGCGCCGTTATTATTATCTTAGCGGACTACCGTCGTATCGCTATTATTATCGGCTATATTAAATAAGCCCGAGGTAGGCGCGCGTAGTACGTAGTTAGTAATACGGGACTACTACTCGATCGAGTTAGTAGAACACCTAGCCGAAGTTAGTTATCTTCGGTACTAGCGGTTAGGGTATTAGTAGTAGTCCCGGTAGGGATAGGTAGTTAAAGTAGTAGTTTAGAAGGGAAAGGGGATAGAGGAAGGTAGTAATGTCTAAAGTTAGAAGGTAGTAAAAAACAAAACGCCTTTTTATAGTAAGGAAAGTTAGCGGCGGCCCGCGAGATTAAACAATTTAGCCTTTCCGCATATATAGCAAATAACAAGTAAATAGTAAAAACGAGTAACTTCTAAAGGCGAGTAATTTGTATTACATCCGAAGGGGGGTACGTATATGCGTTATCTTTAGCTAAACGGCCGCATATACATAGCCGGTATATATAGAAAACAAATTAAATATAGGAAATAATATAAAAAAGGGGATCTATAGAGCGAAGGCCGGAAGGATATAATCGAGGGTCTAGTAGGTCGTCTATAGTCGTAGCAAAACATAAAATCTATAGTCGTAGTAGCTTAGCAAATTACGAAATCCTCTATAGGCACCCTCTAATATCTAGAAGCACCTATAAAAGGATACTTTTCTTCCGCTAAAAACCTCTTCTTCTTTATAATCCGCCGTAGCGGCGGCGGGGGGATTCCGCGGATAGATGCCGCGGAATTTAACTACGGCGCTTCTACCGTACGTAAGTAGTTTAATAATATATAGCGGTAGCGGCGCCGGCGGTACGCGCGGTTATAGCGGTACTTCTATTAGCGAAGGCGAAGGCTAGGAGGAGGCGATGCTTTTAGCTATCGTATATAGATTTCGTAAAAAAGCACTAGTTTACGTATTTATACTCCTCCCTTTCTTCTTAAGTTATACCTAAGGACTTATCTAGTATAACTACCCTAGGATTGTAGTCTTATACCGAGGTCTAATCGTTACCCGGAGGTAGTTCTTCTAGGAAACGGAAGGAAGGCACTAGCTTTAGGTTCTCTTTCGGAAAGGTTCCTTCTAAAATAGTACTATTAAGTTCCTTAATTCGATAGGCTACTCTATCC